TGGCAGGCGAGGAGGAGGAAGAGGAGTCGTCGACAGAGAGCGTGCCGTCCTCGTAGTGGATCGTGATTGGCTCCTCAAACACCTTGCTGTAGGCGAACGAGCCGGGGGGCCCGTCGTCAATTTCTGGTGGAAGGGAGGACCAGTAGTGGGGGTCAGTGGGAGGAGGATGGGTGTGAGGATGTGGAAGCAGGGTGAGATGGTGCATGTGACAGGATAGCCATGTGTGCATGCGGACAGATAAGACCGGCTGGACGCGACGCTCCAGGACTGGACAAAGGGCTGTCTGACCGTCAATCGCGTGCCTATCAGGGCCAAATAAAAGGTGCTGGAACAATGTTTTTTCCTTTGCTTAGTTCATCCGCGGTTGGTTGTACGAGGAGAGAGTGTGCAGTGCACCCCCCCCCCACCACTCACTGAGCACGCATGGCAATGGCTCATCAAAGGCGTCCCCGTTGCCCACGTTCAGGGGAGTGCATGCCAGCTTGCGTGACACGGCCAATCGGTGCCCTCCGAAGCCAAGGAACAGCGGGTCGTCCACCTCCCCCATCCCCGCCACTGTTGGTGGTTGCAGTGCAGCGAGAGAGCATTGGGGAATAAGGAATGCATGCAAATAAGGGAAAAGCAGTACTGTGGAGTAGAGTGGGAGCAAGATAGCTTTAATCAAGATTATACGCAAAGGAATGGCGTCGGCACTCGTTTCCTTTCAAGGGTAGTAAAAGCATGGTTGTGCACAGGAGCTAGTGGCATCAAGGAAGGTGGTAAAGCTACAAAGAAGAAAAGGCGTACCCTTGAGGGAGTGTGGGAGGTCGTCATCCCACACCCAGGTGACCTTGTCAGCCATGTAGACTGGATGAGCTGCAGTCGGGAAGTCACTTTTAGCAAAAGAAAGACAGTAGTACTAATCTGTATGTTGTACCCTGCTAAGTGCCAAGAAAATCAAGAAATCCGAACTCTCGATTCCACTAAAGAGATTAAAACGCAAACATGTTTCGGCTGACTGGGACAGGCCCCACGTCAAACCTTCATCAGTGCTAGCGGAAATGAAGAAGAGAGTGCAAACGAAACATTTAGGCAAACACTACGTTTCAGAAACCAAAAATCAAGGCTGGATCAACCGTGGCTGGAAATGTCAGCCAATCCTGGTCCACCTAGAGAAGTCCAAGCGGTCCAAGTCTTCATTCCTCGGGGCGTGTCGTTGAAACTGCACCCCTCGCCAGCTGTAACTTCGGGAGCCTCGCGCGAACGAGTAACTCTGCAAGCTACACCCAGCCTTCCAAGCAACAAAAACTCTATCAATATAAAAACCGCGTGTAAGTAGACGACTTTTGAGACATCTCAAAACTACCCCTAGCCCGAGGCGAGCCGACACAGGTGTGTAGGTCGTCTTCAGAGCTAGGGGTCCGCGTGTAGAGGGGATAGAGTTCTGTCATTGAAGCTGGTTCGCGAGAGTGCTGGTGAGAAGTGTCGCACGTTGTGCGAAGAGGACGCCGCTGAAGATCGGTCGCAGGAAAGCAGGTGGGTAACCCCGATCTCGAAGTCGCCGGAAGAAGGCGCGTTTCGTAGTGAGGAAAGTCGAGCGAGAGGTCGAGCGTAGCAAGTAACGCTGCAGTTCAGCCCTTATGAAACCTTCCTTACAGTGTCGGGGGTGGAAAGAGGAAAAGGGAAGGTAGAGGTACCTATTCATGGGCCTTTGAAATGTCCCAAAGTCTAGGATACCACGCTCTGTGAATCGAGGCCCTTTGGAGAGGACCACGTCCAGAAAGTCAACAGAATGTTCTGAGATGTTCCACGTGATCCGGATGTTGGGATCCAAGCCGTTGAAAGTGCGCAGGTACTCCTCTAATTCCACTTGCGACCTCGGCCAAATGATGAGGCCGTCGTCTATGTAACGGATGTGGTAAATCGGTAACACCCCAGTCCACCTTTCCTGTAGCAGCTCGTCAAGACGACTCATGAAGAGTATGGCGAAACACACGGCGACAGGAGTTCCCATCGCAGTTCCTCGCACCTGTTGATATATCCGGCCGTCAAACTCCACGAAGGAGTTTCTCATGACCCAACCCAGAAGGGCCATGAGTGGAGCAGTAAGCTGTGTCTGTTCCCTTGCTATGAAGCTGCTAACCGCATCGAGGCCTCGCTCTATGGAAATGCTGGGATAAAGCAAGGTTATGTCGTACGTAGCTAGAAGGATGTTAGGCGGAAAAGCCGTCACTTCTAACTTCGCTAGCAGTGAAAGGGAGTCGCGTAGGTAGGTGGCGCGTTTAAGTACGAGCGGTCTTAGTTGCGAATCCAGCCATCTACTCGCATTCGTAGTAACCCATGAGTGTGAAGCAGCGATCGGACGCCCCACAGGCACTTTCTTATGGAGTTTCGGTAGGATATAGAATGCCGCTGGATGCCATCCTCCTAACGGTATGTCGAAAAGGTATTTCCATAAACTGTCTGGAAAAGCAGGTCCCCACGTCGATCTAAGCTCGCTCAGCTGCTGCAGATTTGCCGGTGTCGGGTCGCGGTCGATCGGTCGGTAAACAGCTTCGTCGCTAAGATGTTCCATGCCGAGCGCAACGTAGTGTCCTCGATCCATCACGGTGATGCCGACGTTCTTATCAGCAGGTTTGATGACGATTGAGCGATCTAGAGACAGGGAACGAATCACCTCACACGTACTCCTGGAGAGGTTAAGCCCGCGCAGAGGGCGATGCGTCTTCAGCAGGAAAGATAGGTCAGCTTGCGCCTCCTTGAAGACCTGCTCCGGGACCACGTCCCGATTGGGTCGCCAGTTTGGATTCCTCACCCAGAAACGGGATGAGGTTGACGATCCTTTATCCTTGAAGAAGAAATCGAGGGAGATCCGTCGGTGCAGTTGATCCAGATCCGCAGCGATAGAAAAGTTCCAAGCAGGCGTAGGTATGAATTTGAGACCCATCCCGAGAGCTTTGGTTTCGTCGCGAGACAACACCTTAGCACTCAGGTTATGTACTCCCCGGTTCCGAACGCGTGACTGCGCCTGCCGTAGAGTCAGTCGTCCGAACTGGTGGAGTGCGAGATCCCGCGTCGTTAGTTCTTGCGCGGCCCGTTTCCTGGGCCGCCGCCACCGTTTTTTGGAACTTGGGCCGTTGAGGAAGATTGCTGGCCTTTCCCTCCGCCGCCGCCTTGAGATTTAGCTTTCTTTTTCCTTTTCCCGCGCTTCCTTGTCGCCTTCGGTACATCTGCCTTGGCGCCAGAAGATTTCTGGTCCTTGGACGGGTCCGCCTTGGGCTTCGAGGGTGCGGGGGCCGACTTGGGATCCTGCGATCCCACCGACAAGCTCTTCTTGAACTTCGCAGTAAGCTTCGCTTCGACGCTCGCTGTTATCTCCCTGCGCATCGTCTCCGCGTACTTCTTAGTAGCCTTTTGAACGAGCTCGTCGATCGCCGGGTCCGTTTCCATCTGCTCCATCTCTTCGGCAGCTGCAGCCTTCTTCAAATCTTCAGCTTCCTTAACCCTCTGCCTTTCCAACTCTTGGATGACGATGTCGTCCTTGGCGTCAGAGATCTCAGACTTGGCCTTCTCGATGCAGAAACCCTTGGTCTTCCGGTATCGCTCCTCGCTCCCTTGGGTCAGCTGTGAGGCTCTTGATGTAGTCTTCGAGCTTGGTCGCCAGAGTGGTAAGGTGTGAGGAGGAGGCTGACAGGATTTCCTCTACCTCCAACTCCTTAGACTTTATGAAATCTTGCTGAATGCGCATCTGGTTCTTCTGATGAATAGATGCAGCCAATGCAGCTGACTTTTCCCGCGTCAGAGAGTACTTCGTCTGAAACTCCACGGACTTGGTGCGGATGCTGTGTAAAATCACACCTTGTGCGTTGAGCGCTTTCATCTTCTTTAGCTTCGAATTCGCCTTGAGGAGCGTTTTGAAATCAGTCCTGAAATCCTTGACAGCCTTCGGCGTCCAGCTCTTTAAGAGCTCCGGAATTTTAAACGTCTCTTGAACAGGTGTCGGGATGGCCGGAGCAGCATCAGCGTCAGCCGTTGCAGTCTGGTCGTTCTGGACCTCCATCGCAGCAGCGGGGGGAGAATTCCCCGTATGCTTGTCAGGTACTCGATCTGCGTGGATTGAAGCAGAATTCCCAACTCCAGCCGACTCGCGCGAACGTTTGTTGGCACGAGAGTAACCAGCGTAAGTTTTCGAAGAGTGGGCTGCTCCACGCAGGACTAGTGCAAGACTCGTGTCTTCCGAACCGGCGTCACCCGAAGTAGTTGGGAGACCCCAAATACCGTCAGCCAAGTGGACTGGATGAGCTGCAGTCGGGAAGTCACTTTTAGCAGAAGAAAGACAGTAGTACTAATCTGTATGTTGTACCCTGCTAAGTGCCAAGAAAATCAAGAAATGCGAACTCTCGATTCCACTAAAGAGATTAAAACGCAAACATGTTTCGGCTGACTGGGACAGGCCCCACGTTAAACCTTCATCAGTGCTAGCGGAAATGAAGAGAGTGCAAACGAAGCATTTAGGCAAACACTACGTTTCGGAAACCAAAAATCAAGGCTGGAGCAACCGTGGCTGGAAATCTGGTCAGCCAATCCTGGTCCACCTAGAGAAGTCCAAGTGGTCCAAGTCTTCATTCCTCGGGGCGTGTCGTTTAAACTGCACCCCTTGCCAGCTGTAACTTCGGGAGCCTCGCGCGAACGAGTAACTTCTGCAAGCTACACCCAGCCTTCCAAGCAACAAAAATCAATATAAAAACCGCGTGTAAGTAGACGACTTTTGAGACGTCTCAAAAGTGACCTTGTCGCCCACATGGATGGTCGTATTGTGCTTCACTCCCGCCCGCCACTGCAACCACGCTCCGCCTGAAGGGAGACAGCACGGGAAGGAATGGCCAGATTTTAAATATGATCCGTCTGAGGTGCCATGGTGACAGGAAGACTTAAACATACAACTACACATACATACACATTGCACATACACACACATTGCATCCACATGCACGTGCAGATGCACATGCACTGCACATGTCTCATGCATCCAGCCACCACCAGGACCAGCGGCCATGAGCACCTTGAGAGCAGCCGACACCGTTGGACGAAATGATGGCATCATTGAAGGAGTGCATGAGGGCGTTCAGGCGAGCAGCAGCCACGTCCGGCACGGGCGTTACCGAGCTGACCGCCGCTGCCACCGTCTGCACCCACCGCACCATGTGCTGCGCCGAGATCATGTGCCCGATATGCCGGTACTTGAGGTAAGCAAACATGTCTGCCAGCGTCATCACCTGCTTCCCGTCTGCGCCATACATGCCATGGTCGTCACAGGGCCCCCCAGAATGGTGCACAGGGTAGCCACCATGTGCCAGCGCACGCTGCCCGGCCCTCCCAGTGTGTGTGATCGCTTTGATCCCGGCCCGTGGCCGGCGAGGCAGCGGTCCTTGGCGATGGTGAAGAACGCGCAGGATGCTGCCACCTGCAGGACGGTCAGTCGCTGCTGGTCTGTGGAGCCCAGGAGCGACCACAGGGAGGGCTCTGCGGGGTCTGCTGCGGCTGTATTTCCTTCTGCTGCCGTCGCAGTTGATACTGCTGCTGCTGGTGAACCTGCTGCTGTTTCTGCTGCTGGTGACGGTGGTGTTGACGCTGGTGTCACTTTAGGCCACTGTGCTTCCTGCTGCTGCGCTTCTGCGAATGTTGAGGCAGCAGCAGAGGCGGACGCAGCAGAAGAGGAGGCAGCAGGGGCAGCAAGAGCGTGCACTCCAGCAGAAGCGGGCAGGGAGGAGGCATCAGGGGGCCCAGTGGCGGTTGAGACAGGCCAGCGATCATAGGTGTGAGAGTGGTGGAAGCGGTAGAGCGCCTGAGAGAAGGAGAGCGGTTGGGAAGGAGAGGTTTGAAAAGGCAGGGTGGTAGTGCAAATATGTGAAGCGAGGTGATTGCAGGGGCAAACGGTGGTGCGAGGGCAGAGTGAGAGCAAGCAGTAAAAAACCGCTCTCACAAAACGGGAACCCAGACTGAGGGATAACAAGTGAATCACACACAGAGGGATGGCACGAAGTGGGGATGGCATCACCTTGCGGCGGCTGCTTTGAGGCAAACGAGCCGTTGCGTCTGAACCTGGGATGAGACAGAGAAGTGGGATTTAGTGGGGGGTTGGTAGCAGCATGCGGGGAGGGGAGGGGCAGTCAGTTAAATAGAACGTATCAGCAGAGCAGGGAGAGGCGCGGAGAGATCAAGTGGAAACACATGTATGATCAGTGAAAGGAACACACTTAAGGGGGCGTGGATGTGGCAAAAATGGAAGGAGGTGCACGATGGGGAGCATGGGATGCTGGCTCATGCAGGTGGTGCATACCTGAGACGTTGCATGGTGTGTTGGCGAACAACGATGCGATCTCGGGCTGGAGAGGGTGGGTGAAAAGGCATTGGAAGAAGAGTTGTGTGGCAGGCAGGAGAGAGGGAGAGACAGGAAGAGTGGGCTGAGGACGGGGGCAGAGAGGAAGAAGAAACGCAATGGGCTACATGTATAGGAATCACGGGGTGCGCCATGGGGCAGGGAGCGCACCATGGGGCAGGGAACACACCATGGGGCAGGGGGCGCACCATGGGGCAGGGGGCGCACCATGGGGCAGGGGGCGCACCATGGGGCAGGGAGAGGAGCAAGGGGCAAGGGACGCACCATGGGGCAGGAAGTGTCGGCGTAGGTGGTGATGGAAGAAGGTGCGATGATGCACATGCGCATGGCAAGAACGGAAGGAGGTGAGGAAGGCGAGCGTGGGGTGCTGGCACATGCAGGTAGCTAGTGCATACATACCTGAGACGTTGCATGGTGTGTTGGAAAATAGCGATGCGATATCCGGCTGGAGAGAGTGGGTGAAGGGGCATCGGAGGGGGAGATGTGTGGCAGGGGAGGGTGAGAAACAAGACAAGTGGGCCCCAAGTAATGTGCAGCATGGTGCAGGGCAGGTGGTGTGGTTGTATGAAAAAAAAAAAAAAACAAAACAAAAAACAAAAAACAAAAAACAAAAAAAAACACGAAGCACATCATGAGCAGAGCTGCACGCGACACCGCAACATGGGACAGGGAGAGGAGCAAGGGGCAAGGGACGCACCATGGGGCAGGGAGTGTCGGCGTAGGTGGTGATGGAAGAAGGTGCGACGATGCACATGCGCGCACAGTCCACGAACGCCCCTGCCACCTCCCGCTCCGTGAATGCTCGCCCACAGGTTGCTGGCAGGCAGACCACCAGCCTTGCACATGTCTGCACACAATCACGGATGAACGCACACACACATGCATGCATGCACGCATGCAATCAGTGGGATTGGCATCACATGTGATTAAAAGCATGCAAGCACTCAGCTTGAGAAGATGCCTGATGAGATTTGAGTATCTCCCACAGCGGGGGCACATGGAGCAACAACATGCTCACATCACGACAGATGTCAGGCGAAGCACCAGCAGCGCCGCCACTTGGCTCTGTCTGATTGGCTGCCGCAACGCCATCATCAAGTGCGCAGTACCCCCAGGCGGCGAGCTCAACGGTGGAGGCGGCGCCGACGACGGAGAAGCGGCGCGTGCCGGGAGGGGGCGCGTGCACGGTGCCGCGGATGCCCCCCGCGGGCGCGTTGAGCACCACCACCCAGTCGCCGTCCGGAATGTCCACCGCCACCGACACCTCCGTCTCGCCCCGTGGAAATGGCTGGAATGACTCGTACCTGGTTGCCAAGCATGCACCCCATGGGGTGGGGTGGGGTGGGGTGGGGTAGGATGGGATGGGATGAGAGGGATGGGATGGAACAGAATGGGATGGGATGGATGGGATGCGAATACTACACAGGACGGGACGGCAAGAAGGGCAAAGAGAGGCGAGAGGAGGGCGCGTATGTGCAGGCAAGGGCTGGTGTGTGGCTAGAGGGCGAGCATACCAGCAGAGGGAGACCGGGTTGACCATGCAGAGGTTCCAGGAAGATTCATCAGCAGCCTGCTGTGTGTCGAGCTGAGAGGACAATCTGACCACCACTGAGGTGAGGTTTGGAAACGTGCCGCAGTCCGCCTGGCAGCCAAAGCGGCCAAACGCGGGGAACTGGAAGGGGTGGTGGCATGTGCCGTCTCCACACGTGAGGTCCGCCCAGAGGCTCTGCAGGGGCGGCGGGGGGAGCGGCGGGCCAGAGGGGAGCAACACTGCCAATGAGTATGCGGAAAGAAACACGCATTGAAGTGAATGAGGAGCGACAACTCAGAGACGCAGAGGAGAGGGCGAGGAGCGCACCTGCACGATGCTGGTGTTGAGCCAGCTGTAGAAGTCATCCGGGCCGTTGAAGGTGTTGGACGCATCTTGACGCATGCCCTGCTCTCGTGGTGGGCGGGGAGACACACACGCAGGGCGGAGGGTGAGCGAAGAGGACTGGGAGAAAGAGGGCGCTTCTGAGGCGCCTCAAAAGTAAAATACTTCTGAGACTCCGCAAAAGTAAAATACTTCTGAGGCTCCGCAAAACTCAAAAACGTTTGAAGCGCACAAAAATCCATGCGCGCAAGAGGTATGGGGCCAGCGGAAGTGGGATACAGGCGGGTAGAGCTCGGGGGGTGCGGGGTAGGCCGTACGGGGGGAAAGAGCACTGCGTGCGCGGCGGTGATCTCGTAGCTGCGGGAGGAGTCGGCCTGGAGGTAGAGGATGGTGATGAAGAGCGCCATGAGCACCACGAACCCGCCCAGGTCGCGGTAGTACTGCACGCGCTGCTGCAGCCCCACCACGCGCAAGAACGCCTCTGCCTCACAAGGGAGGGGGGGAAGGAAAGGGGGGGATTCCGAGGGGAAGGATTACACAGGAATGGGGGAGTGTTGCAGGCAGCGGCGTGGACGCGTGGACGATGAGGCGGCTACGTGTAGCAGCGATGACGGTGGGGCTGGCGCGCAACGCCGCCAGAGGGTGCATAGCCCCACAGCCCAGCAGTCAAGCACCGCTCTGAACCTGGGCGCACCTTGCAGCACCTCTCTGTCCATCTCGTCCATCTCCGCGTCCTGCAGTGCGTCGCTCGCCGACCGCAGCAAGGTCCCGCCCGTCATGCTCTCCGTCACGCCGTTAAGCGCGCCCCGTTCCATGGCCTTATCCGCCGTCGTATCCATGGTCGACATCGTCTTCCCCTCAGTGTCGCCCGTCAAGCTGCGCTTCAAAAGAGCGGCCCCTGGCGCGGTCGCCTTCCCCTCTCCGCCCTCCGCGCCATCCGCGCAGCTCTGGTCGGGCGCGCTTGCCCGCCTGTCCTTCTTGCGGCAATGCCGCAGGAAACCACGCAGCCCCCTCTCATCCTCCGCCGCGCTCTCGTGGCTGCTTGCGCTGCTGCCGCTGTTGCCGCTGCTGCTGCTGCCGCTGCTGTCCCGCGCTCCCTTTGTCTTCAAACCTTCTCCGCCAAGTCTCCCTTCCTCCGCCATCCTCTCGGCCGCCCCACTCTCCTCGCAATCCCCCCTGAAGAAGCCGTTGCTGCCATAACCCTGATTGAACGAAGAGCTTTCTTCGACACGTGTCATGAGCTCCGCATTTTGCGGCGCGAAGCCATAGCTATCGAGGAAATCCAAGTTGTGATTCTTGTGGCTGCGAGTCCCTGAAGGCTTGCGCCTGAAGCGGGGAGGAACGGGGAAGAGTTGGAAATGGGCGGAACGAAGGGAAAAGCAGCTTGGCACGGCGGAGTTCACGTGGTGTCATGCGAACTGGAAAATGTGGCACTAAGAATCACACAGAAACTCCTGAACTGCACTTATCATGATATGATGAAAACAAGACTTCATCAGTTCCAGCTCACGGTCCATGCTGCATTCGCAGGAATTAGTAACTTGCACAGGCGAACATGGCTCATGTTCGGCTCACCTGGAAAAGGCTTCGGATTTGGATCGAGCCCACATGCGGTAGTTGGCCGCCTCATACGCGTCAAACTTCTCGTCCAGCAAACTCTCCGACCGCGTTAACACCGCTTCCCTTTCGCTATTCGCCTCCGCCTGCTTCTTCGCGCGCACTACTGCGACCGCCTCCGCCATGATCGGTACCCTGCAAGGCAAGAAGCAGACCTGCTCGGAATTTAGCTACGGCAGGTCTTTAAAAACTATAAGTTATGACGAGACATTGTTCTGTCTGTTCGACAGTATGGTAGTAGAAATAGGATAGTACAAGGATGCAGCCGGGAGGGTGTGCTGTAATCCAGAAGTAGTGAGGGTGTCTCAAGTGGGGACGACGACAAATGTCGAGAGAGGTGGACGGTCGGATGCCTCAGGTCCAGATTCTGACACTTCGGCTCTCTAGCCATATCTCGTCGTTTGTCGACGTCCCCTGAGATTGAAGGAGGGGAGTAAAAGTAGCAGGGGACTATGGGACGGGACGGGAGTGACGCACGCGACGCCAGAATAATGTAAGCTGTTTGGTATCACACAACAGAATCCAAAACTTTCAGCCGACTTGAGCTTGTTGGGTGGGATGGGAGTCCAAAATTGGTAATCAGGCGCCGATCAGGCGATACTGTACTGTATGCTTTGGGAACTCAAGTTGCAAGCCAGTTTCGCAACTGCAATATGCACAATGTTTTCGTACACGGCATCAGTTCCTGCATGTGAAGAGTTCCCATAGGCTGATCTTTTCGGGTGGGAAATAGGGTGTATACAATGGGGTACAGAACTTGCCCTTGCTGTACTTCTTCCTCACGTTCAGACATAAGGGTGGTCTTGCCCTACTGTACATTACCCACGTATCTTGTACACCAACATTTGCCAGACATCTGTGGAGTGCCAGCAATGAACGGTTGGTGATCATTGCTTTCTGTTCGTTTCTGAAAACATACTTGTGTCGTCTAAAGGGTCAGGTCCCTTTTTACATATACCACACTAACACCAAAGGTACTGGTGGAAATTTGTGATATTCCTAACACCTGCATCTTTGAATGCCCAACATTTGCATCACTCAAAGGAGAAGCATCGGTCTCGTCGTGTGCCGAATTCTCGCCCAAGCAGACGGTATCAGGTGATGGGCTTGGGAATCACAAAAACCACGAGGCAAGGAAGTTACAGATGTGGTTTGGGAAATTGCCCCCAAAATGAAATGAGGAAGCGAGGATCTTGATTTAGGAAACGAGCCGTGAGGGGAACAAGAGCATGCCACTATCCTTCCTCTGCATTGCGGTTGAGATATCTCAACAGAAACCTCTAGGGAAAGGCATGCCATCCGATCTGACGGATGCATAAACCCTCAACACCCTAAGAAGAATTTTGCCGGTGACCCACGTGTGCTGGTGGTCCAGAAGCGCCAGAATCAAAATCGCTAGTACGGTATTGGTTACTAGGAGGAGGCTGCTGCTGCCACTCCCCACCTGTCCTCAAAGGGCTCTTCCTATTCGCCGCTGTGCACTCTTTGAACGACACCCGCCTCTCGGAGCCTTGCTTTGATGCCAACAAGCTTCTGCTTGCGCTCCCTCCTGCAATGCTCAAGCTGCCTCGTACGTTCCCATGTCTCTCCTGTCCCTCCACTCCCCCCCCACCTGCCCCGGTATCGCTGAACCTTCGTGGCACCTCCCTCCTGCTTCCCGCTGGCTCCAGTGGCTGCGGGGAGTCTGTGAGGAGGTCAGAGAGAGGCGCGGGCTCTGTATGGCATCGCCGCATGCTTGAGCCCGCTGATGGATCCGCGGGAGCACCCATTGCGTGGGCGGCGTCTTCCAGAGGATGCGTGCGGGCGAGGTGGTTGAGCACGAGTGCCAACATGCCCCTCAGCTCCTTCACCGCCGCCTCGCTGCGCGCCAGATCCTCCTGCTCACATTCAAACACACACGGGGTGGAAGGGAGGGGGTGGCGTTGACGCGAGAAGGAGAAGGAGGATGACGGGATGCTGTGCACGCATGGCATGGATTTGGCACCTGAAGGGCTTATCACAGGCTCTTCACGATTTGATGACAACAACTTTCACTGCACCCGCACACACCCCTCACGCTCATTTGCAACACTCAGCGCACCGCCTTCCTTGCCCACCTTGATGTGCGCGAGGCTGAGCTTTTGAACGGGCTTCTTGACGGGCAGGGCGGACTGCTTCACCACCTCGCCGCACTGCAGCACCACCGCCTGCGACAGCTGCTCCAGCTGCTCCAGCTGCTCCTCCTCCGCAGTTTCACTCGAGGCTGCCTTTGGCCAACACGTGGGCAGCAGCTCATGCTCATGGGGCCCACCTCGCTGAGAACAAATTATGAAACATGGGAAGAGCAGTGGAGAGAGAGAGGTGCGGGGCAAGATTGATGTGAAAAGTCACGCGAAGAGTCAGCACATCGCGTTTGCTAAAAAACAAGCCACAATACATCGCTTGCCACAACGCATGGCTCAACATACCCTGGCACAACCACATAACATGGCACAACATAAGCCATAGCACAACCACATGGCATGCCACAACATATTGCTTGCCCAAGTACTCGTTTCAACAACCATGCCAGCACAAACCCACCTCCCTGTCGTGGCGGCGCTGCAGGATCATGGCGAGCGAGATGGCGTCGATGCGCTTCTCCCTCACTGTCAGCACGTGCTGCCGCCGCACCCGAGAGTCGCTGTTAGATGACTCGGGTTTGTTGTTCCCACAGTCGCCGCAGAACATGGCTCGCGTCCGTCGCTGTACCGAACGCATGCGCCGCATCCGACGATCCGACTGCAACACACAAGAGATGGAGGTTTTTGGTGAAGGCATTAGTTTGTGAAAGAAGCCAGCAGCAATCCATGCAACCGCATGCATGCACATCCTCCACCAAACAAGAAGTTGATGACTAACTTGATCCAAGGAGAAAGTCAATGTCCTATAAAGGTGAGAAGCAAATACCAACTGGGACCATGAGCAGTACGCGGGAGGGAACTCCAAGTTAGGGCCACGGAGAGCAAATTGCACACAATCAGCCTGTTGTCTGACCTCTAGCCTTGTCCACGAGGGTGACCTTCACACCCAGCCCTCACCTCAACTCGGGTGTCCTTGGCGCCCAGCTGCACGAGGCGCTCGAGAATGAAGGAGTAATGCAGGTAACGGCCACGCCAGCAGTTCCACTTGTACTTGAAGATGTGAGCAAGGTCAGAGGTTATAGAGGTGGCAACAATGTTGCTGTCCTTGACGCTCATGAAGGCATCAACGATGATGGCGATGAGGAAGTTGAGGAGGATGAAGACCATGAAGACGATGAACATGAAGAAGAAGAGCATCGCGGCGATGAGGTCCCATGATTCCAGGCGCTGGAAGAAATAGGCGGAGGAGTTGTCGTTGAGAAGTAGCAGGAAGCACGAGAACATGGACTCAAGCACCGTGGAGAACTGTGACAGTGGGCGTGGTAGGCGGGAGAGAGGGGAGATTGATGAGGTAAAAAAAAAAGACAACAAGAGGCGACAAGGTCGGCCTAGGGTAACGAAGCGTTTTGCGTAATTAACATTGTATGGATCTGACACCAAGTATGGATCTCCTTTCCCACGATTGCTCAACTTTTTATACCAAGTACACATCTCTGGCTGATGGTTGCAAAGCTGACTACAGTGAGAATCGACACTGTAATCTCTCAATTCGAAATGCAATTTCAAACGACTACGCTAACACAGACGTTCGTTATTCGAGCCGAAATGTTTCAGTCAGAAAACGACGCGACGAAATGCTTGTGTTCTTTTTTCTCTCGCTGGTCACGCTCAGCACCCACCTATCAGAGGAAGGAGAGATGCATAAGTGCCTAAGCTGCCCCCTAACTACTCCCTATGCTCAACTGCAACTAAGTTAGATGAGTCTTAGAAAGACAAGCGTTTAGTAATCTCGTACCTAACTGTGTAAAAGGATGACTTATTGGCTAATTGTTGTTTAAGCTAAGGGCCCTTTGTAAAGACTACGTATCTTTCTTGTATTTTTTAGGTTTCGTTTTTTCGTGCATAATCTACCATCCGTTTCCTCTATCCATCATCCTTACTTTTCCTTTTCGTCAGTTGCGTTTTTACCACCTCATATTTTCATGATCTCGTTCTTTTTTTCTCTCACACTTAGTTTAGAGCAGTCTTATCCAGAAACTGACGTGGTGTCGTTTCATAAGGCCTAATTTTTATGTCGGTGCGTTGATTATCTTAAATGATCTTATTGCTTTCCTTCACATATGTGTTTACCTCTCTTCCCTCTCTTCCCTCTTCTCTTTTCTCTCCTTTTTACCGTTCTCTCTCGATTCTCCCTCCCTTCTTCTATCTCTTCTTCATTTCCCCTTCTTTATCCTCTCACTACTGACGTTTTGCTGGTGCAAGTCGCGCTGGTGTGTTTTTGCTGGTGCCAGGCGCGCACCACGCTCAGCGTCATGCGCATTATCCACGGCGGCAGCAGCAAAGAAGGGCACGAGCATGTCGGCAGAACTTGGTGAGTTTAAATTTTGAAAGAGAGTGAGAGGGTAGTCATGTGCAAAAATACTATGTGATAAAGAATACCGGAGAGGCACAGATTGAGAGAGAGAGAGAGAGAGAGAGAGAGTGTGTGTGCGTATGAGGAAGAGAGCGTGAGGAGAAGAGAGCATGAGGAGAGTTGAGAAGAATGTGAAGGAGAGTATGAGTGCAAAATTAGTAGATGAAATCGACATGAGTACAATATTTCTAACCTCCTCTCCTTTCCTTACCGACTTTGTTTGAATGAGAGAGCAAGGAAGAGATAGAGTGATTCTTATTGTTTCATATTAGATACTTTTCCCCCTTTTGCTTTTTGCATGACATACTTCGTTCCTCCGTGTATGTTACTTTGTTTTTTCTGCTCTCCTTATCTTCCTCCTAACATTCTGTTCGACGTTTTTCCCATGGGGACCATTTCGAGGTAGCTCGCTAGGCAAATCAGGGTATGAGGTCAATTCGTCCTCGTTAGGCCTGTTTTCGTTCCTTTTGCTTCAATTTCTTGTGCCTATGTTATCCGCTTTTGTCTTCGATTCCCTTCCCTGTTTCTCGTTTGTCATTTTTTAATCTCGTCCACAGTCCACCCCTACCTTCTATATAGCTTCCTCTCTCATTCTATCGATTCTTTTCGTGAGATGGCAAGGCATTGCGCGTTTGAATGAATGAAAGTGATATTCTCGTGGGTATAGTTTGGCATATATTCATGAGTATGTGGAAAGTATGTGACCGTTAATACATGCAAGCGTGAGATTGCATACGATACGGGATTGCATAAATCAATAAGCATGAGGTTTCGCGACCTCATGGTTGAAGTAGTCACAATTCGTTCATAGATTCAGTTACGGCATGATAGTGTTACTTCTATTTCTAAGTATGTAAATGAGTTATCACAAACTATGAAATTGCGGATCTATTTGTATGTGTGTAGTAGCAGTGACATGGTTGTGAAGCTTTGTAGGTGTGTCTGCATAAGTTTGCTGTTTGTTTCCTTGCTCTGCTTTCGATTCACCATCAGCAGTTTGTTACCTTACCACCATTAGTTTTTTATTCTGTTTTGTTTTATGATTTTCTCCTCATCTGCCTTGCTTTCCTTTCTATTTCCTCAGCACTCTGATAATTGTTTTCTTCTCTCCCCTCTTACTTCCTTCCCTCTCCTTCATTCGGTGCTTACTTTCCAGATTTACTTTCATTCCAGATGTGTACATCTGCCAAGATTACTTGTGAAGTACATAATAGTGATGACCTGTAGGATTGTATTGTATTGATGTTTTATTATTTTTACAGTTCGTGCATTGAGCTTTTGTATTTGCCTGAATCTGTGTGATCTTGTAAATCTGTTTGTATGTTTGTGTGTATGTACCTTCGTGTGTGTGTGTGTGTGTGTGTGCGTGTGCGTGCGCGCGCGCGCGCGTGTGTGTGTGTGCGCGCGCGCGCGCATGCGTGCGTGCGTGCGTGCGTGCGTGTGTGTGTGTGTGTGCGTGTGTGTGCTATGAGTGTGCATTCATCCATATCCATTGCAATAACAATGCATGTCTATGATTTGAAAAAAAAAAGGCACAGGTCTATCATTTCACAAAAGGTTCATTGGCGCACTCAGTGACTCGTGTGCGACCACTTCGATCTGGATTTGATAGAGTTGACATTTTTTTTTTACTTCACAGATTGTGTTGTTTCATGTGACAGTTGATTATTCAAAAGCTATGCTATTGACCTCCCCCCCATGCTAGGCAGGGGATGGCGGTAGCTTAGTTTTTTTGTCGTTAACTGTCGCGCATTTTATTAGTTACATGTGCATCATGATTCATAACATATTATATTAAACATATTGCATTATATAGCAGCATTTATGCATCATGCATCTATTTATCATTACCACCGCATTATAAACGGCAATAGTAAAACATAGAATACAAATAGTTCAGCATATCTGCACTACTACGAAAAAAAAAATCATACTTCAAACAGTAGTTAAAACTGCTCAACATGTACACAGTATGGGAACGTTATCGTATTTTACGAAGTTTATTTTCATATTTTATAAATACGAAAATAAAATTTGGCCAAATCGATCGTAAACAGTTGCTTCGCAACCCAAAAAAAACAAGAAAACAAAAAACCAGTTACAACATCAACGCACGCATGGACAAACAAGGTACGCGACCAGGAGATCGGAAAAAAAAGGTGAGAATGAGCTAGAAACATACCATTTCGAGAGCGCCTCCAAACACAAGGTAACCATACATGCTGAAGCAGAAGAAGACGGCAAAGGAGAGCAGGAAGAAGTGCAGCAGCGAGGGCGTGGCGACGCTGAGGGAACGTGTGATGACCCCGAGATAAGGCTGGAAGTCCATGACCTTGAGAAGACGTGTCATCATGAAGAAAAGACTGGGTTCAAGGTTAACGGGGAGAGGAATCAAGAGAGGAGGCGGGAAGGGCAGCACAAGCTAGAAATTTAGTGTGGTGAATTAGAGATGGACGATCAACCTAGAATGACAGGTAGACATGAGGAAGGAAACAAAGTCGAGTGAAAGGTTAACCTGTTCTTTTTACTCGTAAAACGAAAATGAACACACACAAACACGCACTCACAACATACACACAACACACGCTGCAGGCAAGGCAGCTCACTTGATGCCTTGAAGGGCAGGGTGGCTCTCTTAATGCCCTACTGGCAAGGCAAGCGGCTCACTCACTTGATGCCCTGGAGGGCGAAGTAGACGGCACGGAGGTTGATGATGTTGCGCAGATCAGCAAAGGCTTGAGTGGCGCTGATGAAGCCCGTGGGCGGGTTGGGCACGGCCCAGTAGCGTGGCATCTCGAGCAGCGTGTAGTAGATGTCGTATCGTGGCTGCATGTCAAATGCGTCCACGTACCGCCACAATACCACCCTGAGCACACCACCAACCAAACAGGCGCGCATGTGAAGCAAAGTGAGAGAATGTGGGAATGTGGGAAGGGGTGGATGTGCAGTGCGGAAGGAGCTGCGATGGCAGATGAGATGCTGAAAATGGGAGGAATGGTATGGCAAAGGCCACCCCAAATACAGCTTGGCTGGTTGCTTACCAGATAACAACCGCAGCCACTTGCAGTGTGAGGGAGAGCATGTCGACCCAATTCCAGAAACAGCCAAAATAGCTGAATACATAGCCATCCTTGGCGGCGCGGTCGGCCATCTCCTGCAGCTCGCCACAAACATTCCAGAGCAGCCCCACCAGATACACCATCTCCAGCACCAGCCGTGCGATGTTGTCCGCCGATGCATCGTACATCGCCATGGCTGCCGGCTGGGACTTGATCGATACTGCCATGGCGCCCCCCGCGTTCACCATGCATTTCACAGTGGTCAGCACAAACGTGAGTGTGTCGCCTGCCAATGGGAGGTGAAGGTGGTGAGAGGGTGAAGGTGGTGAGAGGGTAAAGGTGGTGAGTGGGTGAAGGTGGTGAGAGGGTGAAGGTGGTGAGAGGGTGAAGGTGGTGAGAGGGTGAAGGTGGTGAGAGGGTGAAGGTGGTGAGAAGGTGAAGGTGGTGAGAGGGTGAAAGTGGTGAGAGGGTGAAGGTGGTGAGAGGGTGAAGGTGGTGAGAGGGTGAAGGTGGTGAGAGGGTGAAGGTGGTGAGAGGGTGAAGGTGGTGAGAGGGTGAAGGTGGTGAGAGGGTGAAGGTGGTGAGAGGGTGAAGGTGGTGAGAGGGTGAAGGTGGTGAGAGGGTGTAGGTGGTGAGAGGGTGTAGGTGGTGAGAGGGTGAAGGAGGCGGGAGGATGCATGAGACGTGAGAAAAGGGGACGGGAGACAGCAGTGAAGGTCGGTATAAGACAGAAAAAAAACACATGCGATAAAACACGATATGGTGGTTAGAAGCAAAGGCAAGTACCGTTGAAAGTTATGAAGCTGACATCGACAGTGCGAGTGCCATTGTCGATATAGCTTCCATCCACCAGGTAGTGCAGACGACGCATGGCCCCGTGATAGTCAAGATTGATATCAAACACCAAGGGGAGAGTTGTGAGGGAGTCCTGTAAACAAAAGGGTGCACAGAGGAAATCACAGTGCAAGAAAATCAATCACTAACAAAAATCAAATCCTCACAAACAACTCACCCCTTACTCATTACATGTAAACTAAAATCATTATCTGTGTTTGCATCCATATCTCGCAGCACGGACATAGCCTTGAAGAATGGGTGTTACGCACAAAGTCCACCCCCCATTGGAGAATGCATTCAGCTCAGTCCAATCCATGTTCTAACCCATTCCAGCTCATCACTCCTGCAATTAAGGAGCTTGGAGTTGCACCATACAGCCAATCCTTACACCAGCCGCATACAGTACGGCAATGCTTCGAAAAGGCAAACTATGCAGAGCACAATTGGTTGCAATAGCTGAGTATGGGGTGGATGATGAGGGCCATGGTATGACTGACCATGGGGTAGATGAAGCCGTAGGGGAGGCCCTGCGGGTTGAAGCGCAGCTTGACACCGAAGGTGCTGTTGTCGAGCTGGCTCATGTTGGCGCTGGCAGCGCTGTCGTAGATGGCCGACGTGGGCAGGAAGTGCGGGTTCACTCCAAATGGCTCTGTCGACGTTCCATTGCTGCACCACCCCTCCAGGTGCAGCAGACTGGGGAGGAGAGGAGGGGTGAGGGAGAGTGGGTGCAGTGGGGGAAGATGTAGTGCAGTGGGGGAAGATGTAGTGCAGTGGGGGAAGATGTAGTAGTGCAGTGGGGGAAGATGTAGTGCAGTGGGGGAAGATGTAGTGCAGTGGGGGAAGATATAGTGCAGTGGGGGAAGATGTAGTGCAGTGGGGGAAGATGTAGTGCAGTGGGGGAAGATGTAGTGCAGTGGGGGAAGATGTAGTGCAGTGGGGGAAGATGTAGTGCAGTGGGGGAAGATGTAGTGCAGTGGGGGAAGATGTAGTGCAGTGGGGGAAGATGTAGTGCAGTGGGGGAAGATGTAGTGCAGTGGGGGAAGATGTAGTGCAGTGGGGGAAGATGTAGTGCAGTGGGGGAAGATGTAGTGCAGTGGGGGAAGATGTAGTGCAGCTGTGTGAAAGGAAGGAGGATATGAAGAGCAAGTGAACCCTGCTGGCTGCACCCACAGCAGCAGGATCAGACGAGCATCACGAAAGCCTCGCAAGTCAAGTCAGACCTCATTCATTAGAACCACTCACCCCGTTCCGTTGCAGTGCTGTGTGCCCCACCGGTCCTGCTGCAGCACCATGCCGATCAGCAGACTGGCACGGAGAAGATGGGAGGGGGGAGGGAGGGGGTTTGGAAGGGGGATATAGAAGAGGAGGTTTGGATGCTAATCTTGGTGGGGAGCAGATGCTCTGATGGGCAAAGCGAAGCTGACGGATCACAATGATGCCACGTGGGTGTGTGCTGTGCAGCCTGCTGTGCCTTCGGTACAGATGCGAGACGACACGGTTGAGAGGAGTGCCTCTCTCAGTGGTGCAAGAAGGTGTCGGGTACAGGTGTGGCGGCTTGCAGGGCAGGCCTGGCAGGGCAGGCATGGCAGGGTCAGTAGGCACGGGGCCGTACCGGTTGCGGTGTGACACGAAGCGGTTGACAGCAAGGCCCCTCTCAGCAGCAAAGGCGAAGTTGCTCTCTGTGTAGTTGGGGCCGTAGCGCTGCAGTGAGAAGGGGAAGTTGAGATTGGCTCCCACCGCCGTGGATAGACAGCAGGCTGGTGAAAGGGAAGGGAAGGGAGGGGGGGAAGGAGGAAGAGGTGGGGAATGAGGAAGTGAGAGCAGTGATGGTTGGATGAGGAGTTTAGAATAGGAATACCAGAAATCAGTACAAGTGAAGTGAGAATACGATGAGAGCCAGAGAGGTGGGTGGAGAAGGGAGGGATAGACTGACAGCCATCGTCGCGGCGGGTGTGGCCGGGCGGGCAGGCGCAGATGCCGGGGCCGAAGAGCGGGTCGACACACGCGCAGTCGCCACCGTCAAAGGCGCACGCGGGCGTGTTGCACGCCGCATCGCACACCCCGTTTGCCAGCCGCTGCAGCCGACACCCTGGGGAACACTTGTAGGGTTCTGAGGAGGAGGAGGTGGAGGTGGATGTGGATGTGGATGGCGTGACGGTGTTGGCGATAGTGAAATGTGCGGTGCCCGAGAGAGTGCTGCTGTCAGTGGCATTCACAGCACCTGCTATGCATGCATGGCATGCACGGATGACGACAAAGAATTGATGCAGTAGGAGCGGGTAGGGGGAGAATGCAGGACGATGGAATGGTGAGGGTGAAAGAGAGGAACAAAGCACAGTGGCATGCAGTATGGCATGCAACATGGCATTGACATGCAGCATGGCATGTAGTCTAGCATGTCATATCATGTCATGCATGTCTAGCATGTGGTATGGCATGGCATGTGGTGTGGTATGTGGCATGGCATGGCATGTGGTATGACACGCATGCCGAGCTCAGCTCACCAGCAACCTCAGCTCCTGCTCGTGCAGGCAGCACAGTGAGAAGAGATGAGGCAGAGGTGGAAGAGGAGGAGGAGGAGTCATCGACAGAGAGAGTTCCATCCTCGTAGTGAATCGTGATTGGCTCGTCAAACACCTTGCTGTACGCGAAGAAGCCGGGGGACTCGTCGTCCATCTCTGGTTGAAGGGATTGGGGGAGGCGCAGGAGGGAGTGGGGGACAAGACAATGAGAGGAAGAGTGGTGTGTGAGGATGGTATCATGGTACTTGCCAAGCGAGAAGCTCTGATAATAAGAGTTGCGAGTCCGCCCAGGACAAGTCCTTGTCAGTGAGCACCAGTGGGTCACGGACGCCACAAGTAAGGGCGTATCGTAGCTGTTTGGGCCTTCAAGGAAGCGGACAACTGTTCGGCTTCGACTCAAACATGTTCGTGTTCGGGTTTTGCTCATGCCTACCACCGCTTACTGAGAACAATCCCCATCCCACTCACTAAGCACGCATGGCTGCGGTTCTTCAAAGGTGTCTCCCTGGCCCACATTCATGTGGGTGCAAGCCATCTTGCGCGACACAACCAGACGGTGCCCTCCGAAGCCCAGAAAAAGCGGGTCGTCTGCCTCACCCATCGCTGCCACTGATGGTGGTGGTAGTGGAGAAAGAGAGAATTGGGGATTAAGTAATGCAGGCAAACTAGTTGAAAACGATATCATGGAGTAGACTGGAGAGTCGAAGCGAGATAGATAAGAGAATTTGTGCGAAAGGTGCAGCATAGGTTGCACACAAGAGGTATTGGCACCAATGAAGGTGGTAGGCTGGTAGCATTGTGTACCCTTGAGGGAGTGCGGGAGGTCGTCATCCCACACCCAGGTGACCTTGTCGCCTGCATAGATGGTCGTGTTGTGCTTCACACCTGCCCGCCACGGCAACCACGCACCGCCTGACGGGGGACAGAAAGGGGAGGAGGAACCGCAACAGTCAAATATGATCCGTTTGATTGAGGTGCCATAGTGACAGCAACACTCGGACCTACACCTACACATCCATTGCACATACACCTACATGCACAGGCACATGCACATGCACTCACCACCCAAACCACCAGCCATGAGCAAGCACCCACCTTGCGAGCAGCCGACAGCATGCGAGGTGACAATGGCGTCGTCAAAGGAGTGCATGAGGGCGTTGAGGCGCGCAGCCGCCGCATCTGAAATGAGCGTCACAGAGCTCAGCGCCGCCCCCACCATCTGCACGAAGCGCCGCATGTGCTGCGCTGAAATCACACGGCCGCCCCTCACATGCGTGCTGCGCAGGTACGAATGCATGCCCGCAATAGTCACCACCTGCTGCCCTGCTGTATCCGTGAGCCGACACTCATCAAGCGTCTTGGAGGGACCCCCCAGCATTGTGCAAAAGCACGCCACCATGTTCCACCGCACGCTACCCGGCCCTCCCTGGGAGTGCTTCCTGCTTGCTCCCGGCCCGTGGCCCACCAGGCACTGATCCTTGGTCACCGTGAAGAGCGCTCGTGACACCGCCACCTGCAAGACTCTCAGTCGCTGGCGGTCCGTGGCGCCCAGGAGCGACCAGAGGGAGGGCTCTGTGGGGTCAGTTGCGGCTGCTGTTCCTTGTGCTGCCATGGCTGCTGCTGCTGCTGTTGCTGCTGCTGAACCTGTTGGCATTGCTGCTGCTGCTGGTGATGGTGGTGTTGACACTGGTGTCACTTCATATCGCTGTGCTTCCTGCGGATACGCTTCTGCGAGTGCTGTGGCAGCAGCAGAGGCAGAGGCAGCAGGAGAGTCGACAGCAGGGGCAGCAAGCGAGCGCACTCCAGCAGCGGTGGGCAGGGAGGAGGTGTCAAGGGGGCCAGGGGCAGCTGAGGCGGGCCAGCGCTCGTAGGTGTGAGAGTGGTGGAAGCGGTAGAGTGCCTGAGAGCAGAGAGCAGCCATGCACCACGGATTGCGGGAAAGGGTTGGGAAGGAGAGGTTGGGAAATAGAGGTTGTGAGAGGCTGAATGACAGAGTCAACACTGTGCCGCGAGGTGATTGCGGGAGCAACTGGAGGTGCGAGTGCAGCAGTGAGGAGGGGAGAGTGACAGCGAGCAGTCAAGTACCTCATTCAGGAAGAGGAAACACACAGAGCGATGGATAACAAGTGAGACAGGCGAAGACGAATGGCACGGAGTGGGGAGCGAGTCACCTTGCGACGGTTGCCACCAGATTCATGAACCGCTGAGTCTGAGCCTGCGATGGAACGCAAACAGTGGGATGTAGTGAGGGGGGTTGCGGCTTGCGAGGAGGGGTGAGGCACTCAGCCTCACAAAACGTATCAGCAGAGCAGGGAGCAGCAAGCAGAAGCAGGGAGCGGCAAGGAGAGATCACGTGGACAGACTTTTACAATCAGTGAAAGGAGTGCATTTGAAGGGGGCTGGTATGCGGGAAGGAATGGAAGGAGGGGCATGATGGGGAGCATGGGGTGCTGGCTGGCACATGCACTTAGTGCACTGCGTACCTGAAACGTTGCAGGGGGTGTTGGCAAACAGAGATGCGATATCCGCCTGAAGGGAATCAGCGAAAGGGCATTGGAGGGGGAGTTGTGTGGCAGGGGAGAGAGAGAACCAATCAAAGTGGGCTCAAGTGACCCCATGAAAAAAGGAAGGGGAAGAATGGAAAAGGAGACGCAATGGGGCAGAGGTGGGGCAGCATGGTGCAGGGCAGGTGGTTGCGTGAAGAGTATGAAGAGTACTGGAATTACGAAGCACAGAATGAGCAGGGATGCATGCGGCACGGCAGCATGGGGCAGGGAGCGCACCGTAGGGCAGGGAGCGCACCATGGGGCATGGAGCGCACCATGGGGCATGGAGCGCACCATGGGGCATGGAGCGCACCATGGGGCATGGAGCGCAGCATGGGGCATGGAGCGCACCATGGGGCATGGAGCGCACCATGGGGCATGGAGCGCACCATGGGGCATGGAGCGCACCATGGGGCATGGAGCGCACCATGGGGCATGGAGCGCACCATGGGGCAGGGAGCGCACCATGGGGCAGGGAGCGCACCATGGGGCATGGAGCGCACCATGGGGCAGGGAGCGCACCATGGGGCAGGGAGCGCACCATGGGGCATGGAGCGCACCATGGGGCAGGGAGCGCACCATGGGGCATGGAGCGCACCATGGGGCAGGGAGCGCACCATGGGGCAGGGAGCGCACCATGGGGCATGGAGCGCACCATGGGGCAGGGAGCGCACCATGGGGCATGGAGCGCACCATGGGGCAGGGAGCGCACCATGGGGCATGGAGCGCACCATGGGGCATGGAGCGCACCATGGGGCATGGAGCGCACCATGGGGCATGGAGCGCACCATGGGGCATGGAGCGCACCATGGGGCAGGTAAAGCCGGCGTAGGTGGTGATGGAGGAGGGTGCGACGATGCACATGCGCGCACAGTCCACGAACGCCCCTGCCACCTCCCTCTCCGTGAATGCTCGCCCACAGGTTGCTGGCAGGCAGCCCACCAGCCTTGCACACGTCTGCACACAGTCACGCATGAATGTATGCACACATGCATGCACACATACAGTCAGTGGGAGAGGCATCAACTGTGACCAATAGCATGCACAGACTCATCTTGGGAAGACGCGAGAAGAGATCTGAGTGTGGCACATGTTGCAAGCAACAACATGCTCACATCACGACAAATGTCAGGCGCAGAACCAGCAGTGCCGCCACTTGGCTCTGTCTGATTGGCTGCCGCAACGCCATCATCAAGTGCGCAGTAGCCCCAGGCGGCGAGCTCAATGGTGGAGGCGGCGCCGACGACGGAGAAGCGCTGTGTGCCGGGAGGGGGCGCGTGCACGGTGCCGCGGATGCCCCCCGCGGGCGCGTTGAGCACCACCACCCAGTCGCCGTCCGGAATGTCCACCGCCACCGATACCTCTGACTCGCCGCGCGGGAACGGCTGGAATGACTCGTACCTGCTTGCACCGCATGGCCGCCCCGAAACGGGGTGGGGCCGGGTGGGGTGTGGAATAGGGTGGCATGAGTAGAGTACACAGGATGGAACGGCAAGAAGAGCAGAGAGAGGCGGGAGGATGGAACATGCAAGGAGAGGGCGAGCATACCAGCAGAGGGAGACCGGGTTGACCATGCAGAGGTTCCAGGAAGATTCGTCTGCTGCCTGCTGCGTGTCAAGCTGAGAGGACAATCTGACCACCACTGAGGTGAGGTTTGGAAACGTGCCGCAGTCCGCCTGGCAGCCAAAGCGGCCAAACGCGGGGAACTGGAAGGGGCGGTCGCACGAGCCGTCTCCACATGTGGGGTCCGCCCACAGAGTCTGCAGGGGCGGCAGGGGGAGGGGGCGGACAGTGAGGAGGGGACGAGCTGCGCGTGTGCGGGCTGTGATGCGGGCAAGAGAGAGGTGTGATGCGGCATGGGTATGCGGTGCGGTGGGGCAGGTTTGGATGTGGGGAGCAGGGGCCAACGCACAGCAAGTGCAGGAGGAGCGATGATGCAGAGACGAGCAGGAGAGGGCGGGGAGCGCACCTGCACGATGCTGGTGTTGAGCCAGCTGTAGAAGTCACCCGGACCGGAGAAGGTGTTGGACGAGTCCTGACTCATGCCCTGCTCTCAGGCGGGGCGAGACGCACGCAGGGTGGAGGGTGAGGAGAGGCGAGTGAGAGGGGAGGCGGCAATAGTGGAGGGAGCTAAGCAAGGGCACAGCAGGAGTTCTAATGTACGTTGGCTACATTAAATGCGCGCTAAGTTGGATGCGCGATAGATTGAATGCGCACCCAAGTGAATGCGCGAAACAGGGTGAGAGCAGCGGAAGTGGGGAGCAGAGCATACAGGCGGGTAGAGGACAGAGGCAAGAAGAAGGAAAGCGTGCGGCATTTTGGAGCATACGGGGGGGAAGAGGACAGCATGCGCGGCGGTGATTTCGTAGCTGCGGGAGGAGTCGGCCTGGAGGTAGAGGATGGTGATGAAGAGCGCCATGAGCACCACGAACCCGCCCAGGTCACGGTAGTGCTGCACGCGCTGCTGCAGCGCCACCACGCGCACGAACGCCTCTGCCTCGAAAGGGAGGGGGGGAGGAGGAATACACAGAATGGGAACCTTTGCAGCCCCACCACGCGACCTTTTGCAGCCCCACCACGCGACCTTTTGCAGCCCCACCACGCGACCTTTTGCAGCCCCACCACGCGACCTTTTGCAGCCCCACCACGCGACCTTTTGCAGCCCCACCACGCGACCTTTTGCAGCCCACCACGCGACCTTTTGCAGCCCACCACGCGACCTTTTGCAGCCCCACCACGCGACCTTTTGCAGCCCCACCACGCGACCTTTTGCAGCCCCACCACGCGACCTTTTGCAGCCCCACCACGCGACCTTTTGCAGCCCCACCACGCGACCTTTTGCAGCCCCACCACGCGACCTTTTGCAGCCCCACCACGCGACCTTTTGCAGCCCCACCACGCGACCTTTTGCAGCCCCACCACGCGACCTTTTGCAGCCCCACCACGCGACCTTTTGCAGCCCCACCACGCGACCTTTTGCAGCCCCACCACGCGACCTTTTGCAGCCCCACCACGCGACCTTTTGCAGCCCCACCACGCGACCTTTTGCAGCCCCACCACGCGACCTTTTGCAGCCCCACCACGCGACCTTTTGCAGCCCCACCACGCGACCTTTTGCAGCCCCACCACGCGACCTTTTGCAGCCCCACCACGCGACCTTTTGCAGCCCCACCACGCGACCTTTTGCAGCCCACCACGCGACCTTTTGCAGCCCCACCACGCGACCTTTTGCAGCCCCACCACGCGACCTTTTGCAGCCCCACCACGCGACCTTTTGCAGCCCCACCACGCGACCTTTTGCAGCCCCACCACGCGACCTTTTGCAGCCCCACCACGCGAACTTTTGCAGCCCACCACGCGCACGAACGCCTCTGCACGCGCCGGGGGTGGGGGGAGGTGGGGCAGAGGAGCCGGGGAAATTGGGAGGGATTACAGGGGAAAGGGCGTCACGGGGAGTTGAGGCGGTTGAGAGCAGCAGTGAACGGTGCCGATGGCGCGCAACGCCAGCGGCGGTCCGTCGGCCTACAGCCCAGCAGTAAAGCACCGCTCTGAACCCACGCGCACCTTGCAGCACCTCCCTGTCCATCTCGTCCATCTCCGCGTCCTGCAGCACGTCGCTCGTCGACCGCGGCAAGCCGTTAAGCGCGTCCCGCGCCATGGTCTTCCCCGTCGTATCCTCCGTCAAGCTGCGCTTCAATAATGCCCCCGCCGCGGTCGCCTTCCCCTCTCCGCCCTCCGCGCCATCCTCGCTATCCGCGCTATCCGCGTCATCCGCGCAGCTCTCGTCGGCGCGCATGGTTGCTTGCCGGACCTTCTTGCGGCAATACCGCAGGAAGCCGCGCAGCCCCCTCTCGTCCTCCGCCGCGCTCTCAAGACTGCCACTGCTGGCGCTGCTGCTGTTGCCGCTGCTGTCTCGCGCTCCCTTAGTCTTCGAGCCACCTCCGCCAACTCTCCCTTCTTCAGTCAACCTCTCGGCCGCTCCGCTTTCCGAGAAATCCCCCCTGCAGACCCCGTCGCCGCCGTAACCCTGCTCTCCCTTGTCTCTCCTTGCGACCTGATTGATCGACGAGCTTTCTTCGACACGTGTCATGAGCTCCGCATTTTGTGGCGTGTATCCATAGCTATCGAGGAAATCCAAGTTGTGCTGCTCGTTGCTGCGAGACCCCGAAGCCTTGCGCCTTCCAAAGGCGGAGGAGGAGGGCGGAAGAGTTGGCAATTGGCGGAGCGGAAGGGAATAAATCACTTGGCAGGGTCGACTCAAAAGTCACCAAAAGTCACCTCCTAACCACGTGCTATTCTTGGAAACTGGAAGTCGCACTAAGTAGTCAACGAGGAAAACTCGTAAAGCTGCATCGCAATAGGTAACAAGCCTTCACAAGCAACGTAATTTCCAGCTCAACAAGCTGCATTAGTAAAAGTAAGCAACGCAATTTCCAGCTCACTGTATCGTAGGAACTAGCCTTCACAGTCAAACGCGATGCTCGGCTCACCTGGAAAACGCTTCGGATTTGGAGCGAGCCCACATGCGGTAGTTGGCTGCCTCATACGCGTCGAACTTCTCGTCCAGCAAACTCTCCGACCGCGTTAACACCGCCCCGTCTCTTTCGCCATTCGCCTCCGCCTTCTTCTTCGCGCGCACCACTGCGACCGCCTCCGCCATCGCTACTGGTACGGCGAGGCAAAGAAGCAGGCCTGCTCGGAATTCAGCTACAGGGCTAGAAACTTAGTAGGCCGCAACTACTTAGGGTTTTGACGATACTTTGTCCTGAGTGTGGTTGGTAGCAATCGATGCGCCAGGGGGATGGTCAAGGAGGGTGTCGCGGTGCGAAACTATGAAGAGTATAGAGAGGGTGTCTTATGTCGGGACGTCGACAAAACGTCACGAGATGTCGCGAGAGTCAACCGTCGGATGCCTGGTCCAAATCCTTACAGCTCGTCTCACTAGACTCGACATATTTCGAAGTTTCTCGACATCCCCACTTGAGACACCCCCCCAGAGATGGAAGGGGTGTTTGGGACGCCAAGAGTATGGGAGACATAAGTAGCTTTGGACGGGACAGGAAGGGACGGGAGTCGAGCCAAAAATGAAGTCACAAATTCCAGAACTCCCAGCCAGCTTGGTTGGGCATCCAAAACTGGGTTATCGAGATGCATTAGGGGAGCTTCGGGTCGGAATCCGAGTTGCAAGCCAGATTCAGCCTGTGTCAAGCAGGGCACTGTGCTGACACACATATGCAAGGTGTTTTCGTTACAGCACCACATCAAGACCGGCAGTATGGATTTTGCGAACACTGATTGCAGTTTTGCAGTTTCTTCATTGAGAAGGGGAGAGTCGCAGCGATTGTATGGTTGGTGGGAAAGAAACGAACAACAGTGCTGCCCGACTATGAAGCTCATCCTAGCACTCAGAATCAAGAGAGATCTGAGGCCCTGTGGTGAGGTGAAGCCCTGGGATGCTGTTTTCGTCTATGCCTACAGTCAGTGCTTATTTCAAGAATACCAGGTAGGCGGGCGGCATGTGCGTGAAACGTGTTTTCATGTTGCTCGCCACATTCGCCCTTGTCGCTACAGGCAAAAGTGTGACTAATCGAGTCAAGGGTTTTAATTTCGTAACCAGGTAAACTTTTCAAATGACGGGCAACCGTTGTTGTTTATGAACTGTAGATGTTTTTCTTCCTCAACTTGGTGACTGTACCCCGAAATCGGCCGAATGGTCAATTTAGTCACTCACGGGCAAAACTTTTGCGAGTGACTAAATTTCTAATTATGAGAAAAACAAATTGTGATAAGCTGAGCATCTACTGTATTTCACCAAGGCGAAGGCTGGCGAGTGAGTAACTGAAGTACACCCTACATCTTGTCATATGAAACAGCGTAAAGTCGTTGGGCAAATCGATGCTGTCTTTAACAGTGTGAGAGCATTGCGCGAGCGACTCCCGAATATCCGTTTCTTTTTCCGGATCAGCAAACCCAGTCGTTCTAACATTTACACCCAGCCTCCTGCGATGTGTGACTGTAACGTGGCTGACTCTTGGAGGCAGGAAGCTTCTACAATCCAGTCTACTCCTAACCGACTCAACAATGGTGTGAAAAAAGGTGTACAAAAAGGGGTACTTGCCCTTTCTGTCCTCTCCGCCACACGTTTTGACAAGGGGGGTGTCTTGCTCGACTGTACAGTTCCCACTCTACAAACTGGTGCACTTTCCACATTTGTCTGATTACTGCGCAGAGGCCGGTGCACAGTTGCTGATTTGTGCTTTCTGGTAGTCTCATTTGTCTTGTCTGAAGCGTGGGCAATTAGTCTCCCACACTGGGATATAAGCTCAACATGGAGTATAACATAGTAATAGCAGTACATATTACTAACAATAACGTAGAAACTGTTGATCTTCCATCAAGTGTCTGATTTCCTCTATCCTCCAATAAAAAGACCAGAACAGGTTGACAGTTTCCTACCTGCATAGTTCATGGTAGTCACATGGGAAATTTATTAGCTTCCTAACAAGCCATTGCCAGATGATAAATCACTAGCGGTACAGGATAGTTGTGAAGTGAGGCCTTATTGGCCAACCTAGAAGCACTAACAAATCATAATCTACACGCGGAATGTAGTAGTCCTTCCGCTCTTTATAAGTATCATAATTTAGTTCTCTGCGCACTCGGTGAAGTGACGGCGACAGATTTGTAGTAGGAGGGGCAGACTGCTGGGAAGAAGACTCGCCGTACACCCTCCGCCTTGATTATTGGCACAATCAGCTGAACAGCTCCCTGCAGGCACAGCCGTAACCACAAGCAGAGAAGAGGGGGGGGGGGGAGGTGGAGAGCGAGAAGGGGGAGCTTAGATCAAAGCCTCAGCTGATCTCATGGACGCATCTCACAGGTGCACACATGAGCGTCCTGGGCCGCAGCACCTGGATGGGCTTCATGCACAGCACTACCTGCCTGGCCCATACCAAACCTAACGCGCACGAGCATCCGTACCTGTATCAAGCGTGCGCCGAGCCAGACGCGGCCGGGCTTGGGGAGGGGGAGGAGGAGGCGGGCGAGGGCAAAGAAGGCGACGGCGAAGAAGTGCAGCACGAGGCTCAGTGGCTGTGGGTTGAGCCCCGAGAGCAGCGAGATGGGGCCCTCGGAGCACGCCCCGCCCAGCTGCAGGTAGTCGAAACACGCCTGCAGGGGGGAAGAAGCAGAGGTTGAGGGGCAGGGGTGTGGGGATGGGAGGGGTGGACGATAGAGAGTGCTGTGGGTTTGATGGGCTGGCACAAAAGCTGCTGATTGAGTGAGCATGGTGCAGTGAGGTGGCGGGCGCCGGGCGAGTGGCAGGGAGCTGTGGCAGCAGCAGAAAACATGGGTGACAGTAGCGTGGCAGCGAGTAGTGCCACTGGAGGGTGCAGGTGTGGGAATGCGTGGCAAGTGTCGCATCGAATTAATCGCGCGCCAATAATCTTTCATCGAAATGCCGACTTTGTACTCAGCTTCGCTCAGCAGTGGAGGGCGTGGGAGGGGAGGTGGGGAAGGGGAGGCGGGCTTACCTGGCGCATGGCCATCATGGCCTCGTCCTTGGAGGCACAGAAGACTCTGTAGAGTGCGATGGAGAGCGTGTTGATGGTCGCTGCTATGGGCTGCATGGCACACGTGGGGTGCGCGCAGGGCACATGGGGTGCAAGGCACAGGGAATGTTGTGTTAGCACAAGCTTACTGGGTTGTGGGCACAAGAAGCTGCACGAGCAAGAATCAGCTATACGCTTGGCGCTTCCATACCACGCACCATTGCATGCTGACGACAACACATTCAATCACTCACAGCCTGAAACCATCCGAGCCACTGACACAGCAACACGCTGACGCACACGGGCGAACCCCACAGACGCGCACGCACCTTGCGGCGCGTGTAGAAGGCCTCGGCGTATTCACAGACCGCCCGCGTGTTGCGGAAGACCTTGAGCGGGCGAAGGATCTGAGTCAGCACTGACACGTCAGACAGAGCCACTGTCATGCCGCCACCTGTCGTTGCGGGGCAGCAAGCAAGCACACAGAGACAAGCAGCACGACGGCATGGGACAGAGGGTGGAGAGCAGTGAGGCGCATGCGGGCGAGGGCGCGGGAGTCACGAGCGAGCGCAGGTCGGCATGAGAGGAGGGCATGCAGCAGGAGGAGGAGGAGGAGGAGGAGGAGGAGGAGGAGGAGGAGGAGGAGGAGGAGGAGGAGGAGGAGGAGGAGGAGGAGGAGGAGGAGGAGGAGGAGGAGGAGGAGGAGGAGGAACGCAATTGAGTGGCAGCAGGAGGTGGACGCACAAGAACCTGTGGGCCGCAAGATGTCATGTGATAGTGTAGAGGCTGCGAGCAACGCACCTGTGAGCGGGTGCCGCATGTTGAACGCGTCGCCCATGAGCAGCGCGCCGGGACGGGTGACGGGGACAGCTGGCATGATGCGATTGGGCATGCACCGGATGTCGCCCGCCCGCACCGCCTCTCGGAACGGCCCCTGCAGCTGCTTCGGTAGCTGGGGGTTGGAGAGGGGAGACGGGAGAAGGGGAGAGGGTACGGAGGAGGGGTGGGGATGGGAGTGAGAACCGGAGCTGAATGTGGATGCTGACCGAGGCCCGGGACGGAGAGACGCATCAGCAGGGACGATTGGCGCGAAATCAGCTGCATTGTGCGAGAGCGAAGCGCGCAGCAGGGGAGAAGAGGGGAGCGGAGGGGCGGGAGGGCAGGGGCATGTGGCGTACCTGCGGGAGGACGGCGGAGAGGAGGTAGTCCGCCATGTCGCCCGAGGCGATGGAGGGCACTTTGGTGCCGGCGGGGATGTCGACGAGGCAGCGCACCTCCGTGGTGCTGACGGGGTAGAAGAGCACGGGCGACGGGTCCGCCAGCACCACGTGCCCGTAGTTGGGGTGCGGCAAGGGGCAGTCGCGCAGCAGCAGCCCCACGAACGACGACGGCACGTCCACCTGCCAGGGGGAAAGGGGACAAGGGGGAAGCGCGGACGACGGAAGAGAGGGAGATTGAGCTAGGAAAGGGGCGCTGATGGGTCGGAAGCGCTTGGCGGAAAATTGTGGCAGGAAGAGTGTTGGGACGGAGTAAAGAAGAGAGAGGCGACGGCCGAGGAGGCGCGCGCACCTTGGATTTAGAGATGGAGCGGCGGAGGTTGGAGAAGCAGCCGTCGCACACGAACGTCAGCGGCGCCAGCATCTCGCCCTCCTCCGTCTCGCCCTTCCCGCCCACCGCGCTTGCCTCCCGCACTTCGCCCTGCGCGCTGCCCGGCACGCGCTTGGCGGCGCGGTAGCGCACGCCCGTGACGCGGTCGCCGTCCTCCAGCAGGCCCAGCACCGTCGCCTCTCTCAACGTCACTCTGCGCGCATCGCACCGTAGGGTGGGGTGGATAGAGGCAGCGGAGGAAGATGCGGGAGAAGCAGAGCAAAATCAGGGGAGAAATGAGGCGTCCTGCTCCATTGTGCGTTCCGCCAGCGCATCAATTCCCTAAGATGACTCGCTCCGTGCGCCGGCTCCGTGCCAAGCAAAGCGAATCTCACGGCCTCGCATCAATCCGCCAACCCCTCGCCCCTGCCCACGTAACCGAACGACCTCTTCTTTCTTGCAGCCCCGGCCTTAACAGAAGTAGTCCCAGCGACATCGGCCGTAGCCCGGGCCTCACCACCCATAGACCCGCCGGATCCCATTCCCGTACTCACGTGGGCAGCGACGCCGCCTTCTCGCGCAGGCGCTGCACGAACCGGCCGTTGTGGAAACCCCGCCCCGCCACCTTCCACATCTCCTCGCCCGCCGCGCTGCCCGCCGAGTCGAGGCGGTGGCCCGCGAAGAGCATGTGCAGCTGCGCCGTGGAGAGCGTCGGGTACGACACCTTGCAATCGCCGCCGTCCATGAAGAGCGCGTAGCCGTCCACGCGCTGCGCGTCAATGCCGTCCACGCAGTCTGCGCACACACGGGCGCCACGGCGACGTGAGCAGCGACAAGCGAAACACAGCGTAGAAGCATGGCTGAATCACCGCCGGGCAATGTGGGGGAAGAGACATTGGATCTGCAAGTTCCTTGCACGAGCATGGACTACCTTCGCATGGCGCAATCACGAACTAGAACTCGCCTTGCAGTGCGACGTACCTTGCATCCCCAGCTCAACAAGCTTAAGATAGCCGCCCGGCTGCAGCAACTCGCCCACGATCCGATCTGGCTCCGCCAGATCCCTCTCCAGTACCAGCACTCGCCGCCCCGTCTGCCGCACAGCACCAAGTACATGACAGATCAGGAAATGGAAATTCGAGTTACAATGTAAAGTGGTCGTCGCATAGGCGCCAAGCGGTTACAGTTCACGCTACTTTACGGTTAGGCTAGGAAATGGGCCGCGCCTAACCTTTCCGAGGGAGTAAGCGAGCGCGCATCCCGCAATGCCTGCGCCGACCACCAGCGCATCGTATTCCTCCTTGCCACCGTCCCCGATGCACGAGTCATCGCTTGTCTGCTCCGCGGCGCTGCTCTGATCTACTCGCGCATCGTGCCGCCCGGTGTCAGTTAGTCGCTCCAGCGGCATTTCTTCTAGCGGCGTGGCACTAGCGAGCGCATCTCGTTGTTTGTCGCGGGAGTATTGCATCGAGATGTACGTGGCGGCTATTAGCAGAGCTAGCGTCCATGCTAACGTGACCGTGCCGATCCCGTCAACCACGCTCCAGAACGACGCCGTCAGCGACGACATATCTGCCATGGCGCGCTGAAGCCTCCCGGTCACGGATCTAGCGTCAATTCGCTGGTGACTCACGAACGCGGGAGTGTCCTTGAAAACGCTAGCGCTACCAGGACATAGGAAGAAATGAGATGAGAACTTCGATGCAATGCAGCGATATTACTTCGAAGGTAGGCTGGCGGGGAATGCCTGGTTTTCCGCGCCAGCACAACCTTGAGGGTTGTGTTCAGCGAGAATCGACGGCAGAGCAGAAGTGCCCCTCGTTCTATCGCACGTGGCTCCCTGTAACTCGTCAACAGCTGGCGCGAAACTGGGTGGTGAATCGGGGAGCGGGAGAAGAACGGGGGAAAAGTCAGACACGTAAATCCCCAGGTAGATTCAGCCGCACAATGGGAGCCAATGCCATCCATGGAGTGTGGCACGTGTGGCGCAAATGAAATTATCGAACCTTCTGAAACCGAAGCCAATGGTCAGGGACGCGTCTGTCGACTGCAATTATTCACGGGCCAACATCATAGACATGCAGATTTGTATGGTAACCCTATCCAATGGTATGCAAAACCGTCTTACCTCAGTTTTGGATTTATTGACATGCTGCCCTAATACCGCGTTTGTTTTTAACTCAAACATTGATCCCTACCGCGCTTGCCTTCGCACTAAGACGTGATTTCTTCGGGCCAAGAAAAAAATAAAACCCAATCGGAACCGGATGCGTCAGGGAGGCATCAACCCTAAAAACAATGTCCTTTCCCGTGTTTAGGGTTGATCCCTCCCGGAAATGTGTCCAGTTCCCTAGGGGTTTTGTTGTTTTCCAGCCCTGCCCTAACACTTCTAAGTAGCAATATATTGGGTGCAATATATTGTTACAAAACGGACCCCGTATAATTTCATTCCAATGGATTTTTCGTAAATGTATCGTGCACATTCAGCGGAAAATAGTAGCCCGGAGGAATATTTGTTAGACGCCAAAAAGGGCGCGGTAAGAACCACGAAAATACGAAATCGAAAATTCAACCGATTACATCTCATATTTCTTCCTTTTTTGTGCTGCGTCAGCTGTTACACAGTGTTTTGAGTGGCGCTACCAGACAAACTTGCGCAGCAGAACTAGGGTATCTGACGGTTTTGCATACCATTGGATAGGGTTACCATACTAATTTGCATGTCTATGATGTTGGCCCATTATTCACGGGTGAGCTCAATGAAATCATTTTCACTTAGTTGCGACGAAAAGCATAGTCTGGCGATTGACAGGACTGCCAAGAAATGCAATGAGGCTCCTTTTAGCGCAGATATTCTATGGCCGGAAGGATTTTGCGGGGGACGGCGGGTTTGATGCGCCGCTCCCCCCCGACCTCGTTAGCGTGGCAGGCTTTGCGTCTGTAGCGACAAGCTCATAGGGTAACTCGCGGGTACAGACAGATACTGGTTTGGTGCATGTTCACACCAATCGATAGGTTTTCATGATCCAACCAACAAGCTCACACGTGTCTCACTCTAGATAAGGAGTCGCGTCCTATGTTTTGAAGTTCTCATCAGTGGCTCCTAAGAAGGCTTTGGTCCTTCCTCTTGTGTGCTGAGTAGGACCTTGGTGATTACTGAAAACCCCAATGGCGGCAGCACCAGAGCACGTGGATGGCGTGCATCCACCCGTACCAAGCGTTGGAGATCGTGACGTAGATCACACGCAGTCTTCAATCCCAGCCGTTAATTCTGAAGTCGTGGTTCCAGGGTTGTCGGCGGTGAGCAGCGACGGAACCGGACTTTTAACCGGTAACGTGGACGGAGACGGAAACTTAGGCAGAGACGGAGGCATGGACGGAGGCGGCGGAGCGACGGGGTTGGAGGATCAGACGACGGGCGGGGATCAGAGCGTGGCGACGCCGATGACGGAGCGGAAGCGGGAGAAGCAGATGGAGGTGTTCGTGGGCGGGCTGGACAAGGACGCGTCGGAGGAGGACGTCAAGCGCGTCTTCGGCCGCGTCGGGCAGATCGCGCACGTTCGCCTGCCGCGCGACGCCGCGACCGGGCGCAACAAGGGCTACTGCTTCGTGCAGTACGCCACTGAAGGCGCTGCGCGCCGAGCTGCCTCTGAACTGGACCGAATACTGGTACGCGCCGGTCGTTGTTAGGTTTCAAACTTTACTTTGTCGGAGCCTATGACGTCCGTTGTGGCCGGTCTACGGCAACACCCGTTGTGCTCTGCCCTGTTATCAAGATTGTTGGTCGTTCTCGCCTTTTTCTTACCCTCCTCCTATAACGTGACACGTGGCACGTGGAGGGCGCGTGTGCAGGTGCGGGGGAGGCCGGTGGGGGTGTTGGGCGGCGAGCAGGAGGACACGCTGTTCATCGGGAACATCAACAAGACGTGGTCCAAGGCCAAGGTCAGTCATGTTACAGGATTCACAAGAGCTCGTCGAGACTCAACCTCCCTGTGGCTTAGCGGCAATGTGCTCGGGGCGGCGGAACATAGAAGCGATTTTAGGGTTGTTGTCCTTCGAGGCGTCATGCATTTCGTTTCATTTCATGTACCTGCCCAAAGCTGTTTGATTCACCTTATCCGCTTCTCATTGCAATCGTTTGCAATCCCCTCCGTCCCCGCCTGCCGTGTGCTGTGTGCGCGCCATGGGTGGCAGATAGAGGCGGTGCTGGCGGGGGCTGGCGTGGGGGCGTGGGAGGCGCTGACGTTCATGGAGGACCCGCAGCACGCGGGGCACAACCGCGGCTTTGCCTTCCTTGAGTTCGCCTCGCACCGCGCCGCCGCTGCCGCCAAGCAGCGCCTGCAGCAAGCGGACGTGAGCCTGGGCGTGGACCGCCCGCCCCGCGTCTCGTGGGCCGCGCCCCTCAACGAGCCCGACCAGCGCGTCATGGCGCAGGTGCGTGGGGGCGATGGTAGGCATGGGGTGTGGGATGCTGCTGATGCGACTGTGCCCCTCCATGCGACTGTGTTGACTGGCATCACCCGCCGCTCCTCTTCACCCGCCTGCGTCCCTCACCCACCCCGCCTGGCAGGTGAAGAGCATTTTCGTGGACGGCATGCCGCCCTCGTGGGACGAGCCGCGGGCGGCGGGGTTTTTCGGGCGGTACGGGCAGATAGAGCGCGTGGTGCTGGCGCGCAACCTGCCGTCCGCCAAGCGGCAGGACTACGGGTTCATCAACTACTCCACTCGCGAGGCTGCCCTCGCTGCCATTGCTGCCCTCAACGGCTCACAAGTCGTGGATGGAAACTTCCAGGTAAGTGTTCTCATAGTGCTCACGCTCACTTGCAATGTGCACCCAAGCGTGCTCTTGCCGTGCTGCATTATCGTGCTTCATCTGCTCTTCTCGCTTCGCCTCCAGTGCTCGTCTCAACCGCCCCATGTCTTTCCCCCCGTTCCTCCCCCTCCCTCCCCCTCTCCCACCCACACCTGCAGATGAAGATGCGTGTGACTCTGGCCAAGCCGCAGGACCGCAAGCCGCGCCACCCGCCTCCCGGCGGCAGGGCGGGAGGGGGGGAGCAGCGCCGGGCGGACTTTGGGGACGGCAGCGTGACGGCACTGCTGGAGGCGCTGAGGGAGCAGGCAGAGCGCGAGGAGCGCGGGGAGGGCGCACAGGGGGCGCAAGCTGGGGAGGGGGAAGGCGCAGGGGCGGAGGTCAAAACGGAGGGTGGTGGCGATGGGTCGAGTGGAGTGGGGACAGGGGAGGGGGTGAAGCAGGAAGGAGGGGGCGTGAGGGAGCAGGAGGGAGGGTTGGCAGGGAGTGCAGCGGCGGCAGTAGAAGCAGCTCTGGCAAACGAATCCAAGGGTGCGGGCGATGGGGAGGGGGACGCAGAAGGGGAAACAGAGGAAGGGGCAGAGGGGGAGGCAGGGACGCCAGGGAAAGCGCGTGCGGGGGAGAGGGAGGGGAAGAACACGGCAGGGCTGAATCGGTTTGAGTGTGCGGTGTGTGTGTTTGGGTCGGACGACGAGAGCGAGTACCTGTCGCACCAGCTGTCGCGCGTGCACAGCATCGTGAGCATGTTCCGACAGGACCTGAAGCTGTCGAACAAGACGCCCCTCAGCATGCTCAACGAGCTCGCCATGCGCAACAAGATCGAGGTGAGCTCGCCTTGCCATGTCATGCACAAGAGGATTGAGCGACCACCCTGCCGTGCCTGCCTGCACTGGTTGTGACACTGCCTTCTCTTCTTGTCCACCTGTCTCTTCACTCATCCTATCCGCATGACCATTTTATCCGCAAAAAAAACCCTTACTCTGTGCATCTTCTCTCCCCGCGCCACCTATTCCTGGCCGCCCCTGCCAGGTGACGTACGAGCTCAAGGGCGAGCCAACAGGCCCCTTTGACGCGTCAGCTTCACTGGGGGGCGGGCCGAACGCCATCCCGTGGGTGTGTGGCGAGGCGCGCGCGGGCATGAAGCTGCGCGCCAAGCAGATGGCGGCAGCAGCGGCGCTGGAGATGCTGCTGCAGGCGGGCGTGGGGGAGAGCGAGCTCACCCGCCCGGGGCAGGCGCGCCTCAAGCAGATGGGCAAGGGCAAGGGCGGCAGAGGCTCGCCTGGAGGGGCGCAGCGCGGGGGGCGAGGGGCGTATGGCGGGCGCGGAGGGGGGGATAGGGGCCGGGCGGATAGGGATGGTGGGGGGTATGGGGGGTGGGGGACAGGGGACGTGGAAAGGGGAGTGGGTGGGTATGGTTCCTTGGGGGTGTATGGGGGAGGGGCGATCGGCACGGGGTTGGGGGAGGCGGCAGCGGGGGAGAGTTACGCAGAGAGGCTGGGGCGCATTCAGGGTATGCACTACGTGATGCGCTCGGGCCTGCCTCCTGTCTCGCCTAGCATGCAGCCTCTTGCTCCTCCCGCTGCCCCACCGCTGGGTGCGGGCTTGGGGGCAGCGGCAGGGGGATATGGTGCTCCCAGCACGGGTTATGCCGCCTCTGGGGCTGCATATGGTGGCCAGTATGGTGGCGCGCAGTACAGTGCGGTGCAGCAGTACGGTGGCAAGTATGGCGGGGCTTCGTACGGTGCGGTGCCGTACGGTGGGGCGCAGTATGGAGGGGCGGCGTACGAGGGGCAGTATGGGCGGGCAGAGGGAGCAGCGAGTGGAGGGAAGCGGCCGTACCCCCCTGCTGACAACCCTGACGGCCTTGTGAGCCACTTCCCGCCCCACCTATCCGCCCCTGGCCTCGCCTTTCCCCCCTACGCCTCGCTGTTCCTCCCTCGTGCCCTCCCTCCCCGTCATTCAATTTCCTCCGTCCCATGTTCATTCCCTTCAACACCCCCCCCCCCCCCCTCCTCCTCCCCCTCAAACCCCCCTCCATGTGTGTGTGCAGCATGCCAGCCAGCGACCACGCACCGACCCCTACGCTCCCGCCGCTCCCCCCACACGCTCTGCCTACTCCAACCCCCCGCCCGCACACCCCTACAGCGCGCCTCCGCCTCCCCACCCCTACTCCACGCCTCCCGCTCATCCCTACACCAACCCGCCACCAACACACCCGCCCCCCTCCAACCCTCCTTCCTCCTACCCCTCTGCGCACACCTATCCCGCCCCACCCTCTTACCCGCCGTCCTACTCCTACCCTCCTGCCCCTTCTGCTCCATACGGCACTGGGGGTGCATCATCCGCACCAGCCGCAGCACCACCACCAGCGCCACCCCCGTACTACCAGCAGCAGCACCCGCAGTCACAGCAGGCGGCCGGGGCGAGCAGCGGCAGCAGCGCAGGCGGTGCAGAGCGGTGAGTGCTGCTGTGAGAGGCGCTGGTTCATGTGAGGAGTGCCCACCCCTCGCCCTCTTGTCTGCCTTTGTATTCAATTCGAGTCCTTGTTTTCCCTCCATTGCCCCTCCTGTCACATGCCTCAGCTTTTTTCCCTTCTCTTCCTTCCTCATCCCTTGTCTCTCCTTCCCTTCCCTTCTCGTCCTTCTGCGTGTGATGTGGTGATGTCACTGTGAATGCCAGCTCCTACGCACACTCTCACCACTACTCGACCCAGCCGCAGCAGCAGCCGTATCAGCAGCCGTACTCACAGCAGCAGCCGCCACCCCCGCAGCAGCCGTATCAGCCACCATACGAGCAGCCACAGCAGTACCAGCAGCCACAGCAGCAGCAGCAGCAACAGCAGCGGCAGCAGGCTTATGATCAGAAGCCCCCACAGCCGCCGCAGCAGCAGCAGCAACAGCAGCAATCGGCAGCAGGGGTGGCAGAGAGAGGCCGTGGTGGAGAGGGAGGGGGACAACAGCAGGAAGTGAAGCGAGATGGGGGAGGGCAGGGGGGCTATGCAGGAGGGGCGCCGCCCCCCAGCACTGCAGGTGGTTACGGGGGTGCATATGGGGGCGCGTATGCAGGCCTGTATGGTAACACCCATGCTGCCGCCACTTCCGCAGCTCCTGCTCCTCCCGCCGCCCATGCTTCAGCGCCGCCCGCCCAGGCTCAGCCGCCACCGTCTGCTGGCCAGTCCCCTGCTCCTGCGGGTGGTGCGGGCGGTGGCGGGGGGGCAGCGGGTGCAGGCGGTGCGACGGGGACGAGTGCGTACGGGCAGTATGCGTCGGTGCCCACCACCTACTACTGACCGCCGCTCTGCCCCGCTGCTCACCTGCTCGCATGCCACAGGTGAGACGATTGGCAGTTGTGCTTCCACTTGCTCTCCATGCTCGTCCCCCACTTGCTCTCCATGCTCGTCCCCCACTTGCTCTCCATGCTCGTCCCTTTTCGATTTACTGTGCTCCCATGTGGCCCTGGGTGCCTAACCCGCCCTGCTGTTCGCTGCTGCGACGTGCATTGGCATTGGTGTGCCTCCTCGGGGGCTGTGCCGCAATCTTCTGGACGCACATGTGCCGGTTGCTGTGTGCACGCATGCGTGTATGGGTGGTGACACGTGGCAGCACCATCTTCTGCATGCTTGCAACCACAAGGTTGTCACACCTTGTGTGCACGTGCCTCACTCTTTGTGCCCCTTTTGCGCCCATTGTTTCTCTGTTGCCTTTGCCTCACAATCTTTGTGAGTCGACTTAAAAGCCATTCCGTGTGCCAATGTCAATGCTCCTGTCCCCTACAAACCTACCAGCAGCAGACACGTGTGTGTCTTCTACCGGCCAAGAGCCGGTTCGGGCTTCACCAGCCCGAACCCTCAATCCATTGCGAAACTGAAACCCCCCTGACCGCCGACATCGAAAGCGAATGTTGAAGGCCCATTATGAAGCGGCCTGCTTGCTTCGCAAGCAGTGCACTTGTGGTGCTCACGGCAGCACACTCCAAAGCATCGCTGCTGGCATTGACTGGTTGCTGCTGTCTAAATTGCAGCCCATCAGCTGCGGTCTGTGAGTCTTTGACACGCGGATCGCAGCCCCTGCTGGCTGTGAATGCTGTGTGTGCTGCCCTAGAACCACCACTTTTCCTTTCAAGCTTAGCTGAAGCTTGTAGCCGTTGACTTCCGTTGACTTCCGTTCTCTCCAGGCCTTCTGGGAGGAACCATTTCCGTGTGTGCTGCTTTATGCTTCTAGGATTCGCTCCCGTAGGCATGATACTGTGCGTCCCCCTTGCCATCATTCAGTCAGTCAATGTGGAGCATTGCATTCTGTCTGCACCACATGCTTTTGCACGTTTGATGTGCCATAGAGATTAGTAGACTAACTAAATTTGGGGAGAGGTAATTGGGGTGATTTGCAGAAATATTGAAATGAGCTGAATCGAGTAGTGGTGAAATTGCAGCCAGTCGGGAACAGCAATGGACGGTTTTGCTATATCGATCCCACCTGTTGACTCTAAATGTGAGCTGGCTAGGCATTCTTCTAATCTGTGCATTGCCAGAGAATGCCAATGTTGGAGAGGTATGCATGGGCCTGCTGGCACCACGGAGTTGCAGGTGGTGTAGATGAGAAGCAGTGGTGGTGGCGGCAAGCAAGGGTCTCTCTCTGATTGCATGTTTCTTACAATGAAGGTGGATATGGGAGAGTACTCCATGACAGAGTCATCCATCGCCCACCCCACAGCACACACACAGCCCTTCATGCCTTTCAAGGTGGACCTACATGCTACTCAAATACCGTAGCCTTTTCATCCCTTGCTTCTCTCTTTTGCTGGGGGAAAGCACATCAAACTGCTCCTTGTGCAACTCTGCTCAGCTCACTTGTTAAATCCAACAGCCCACCATGTCAGCTGCCGTACTCTCATATTGAAAGAAAAAGCCATCTGATTCACGCTTGCAAATCACCCTAATGTACTCACCTGCACGACATCAATTTCAGGCTTCAGTTGTGGTCACTGCTTGACTAGTGGTGCACAGACTGAATAAAGATTGCTACACTCCTACATAACAATGTATAGCAGTAAATAGATTCCACTCAGCTCGAGTTGGATCGGAACATAGTAGGAAAACGCAGTTTGACAGGAATTCAACCTTCTCTCGACATCTGCGAGTGGGAACTTCCTCCTGCTCTGCATGCAGGAAATACCCTGTGGCTGCCACGGCATGTGGATTCCAGGAGCAACAACATGGGTCGTGTCATGTGTGGCTTGCAGGTGAGACTCATGATGCTGTGGGGGTGACGTATGTGACGGTGGCGTGTGATGCCAGCCAGTCCAGCACCGTCTTGCCTTCCAACACCTCTGCCGCCTGGTGTGTGACGAGGGGGGGAGCACAAGAGTTGGAGAGGGCACGCAAGAAAATGTTAGCAGGGAGATGGGCAATGGACAATGGACAATGGGCAATGGACAATGGACAATGGACAACGGGCAAGGGGCAGGTAGCAGTGACAGGGACAGCGAACCGCTTGCTGTGCATGTGGTGATGCACCCTGTCCCATGCTTCTCACCGCCCACTGCCAGCCGCCCACTGCCCAGTGTCATCGGAGGGTATTCCCCCCCCCCCCCTTTTACCTGCTCGCGCACGCGCTTGGCGTCAAACTCCTGGTTGAAGCGCTTGAACTCCGCCTCTGCGCTCGCCACCTCGGCTTCCAGCTCCTCCTCACTGAACTGCATGCGCGGCACGCAGGGAGAGGTGGAAAGGAGGGGTGGAGCGTGTGCCATCATTTGAGGCGTCTCAAAACTCTGCGCTCGCCACCTCCGCCTCCAGCTCCTCCTCACTGAACTGCATGCAGGGCATGACCGTGGAACGGCAGCATTGTGAGGGGCAGTGTGAAGAGGGGAAGGGTGTCAACAGGGCAACGGGAGTCGGGGGGCGGAATGATTGTCAGTGCACTGGGGTGGCGGCAAGGTGGGAAGCAGTGAGTGGCGTGGGGCAGTGAGATGAGTGGGAGTGTGAGGTGTCCGCTACAAAGCATAGTGTGTGAGGGTACGAGAGCACGCGAGAACAGGAGAGGGAGCAGGATGAGAGCAGGCGAGGAGAGGTAGTGGAGACGGAGTGAGCGAGGGGGCAGGAGCGAGTAAGGACGAGCCTGTTGGAAGAGTTGCTAAAGACTATCTAATGTCCCGCCACGCCACGCCTCACCTGCAGCCCCTCGAGGCGGTACACCTCCTGCACGGCGAGTGATTGTTTGACTTGGCGCTCGATCTTGTCCCTCTGTGCGCGAAGGTAGTTCTCCACCATGCCCTCCGCCATCAGCGCCGCCACCTGCTCCTTCCCAACCTTGCCCTCCGTCTGTGCACGGGGCGGATGGGTGGGTGCAGGGCGCGGCACACAACGGGTGAGACAGGCCCGTGTGGAGGGTCAGGTGCAGGTGGGCAGCGGAGCAGAAGCAAGCGCATGGTTATGGCAACTCAATTCCCACAGAACAAGAAAGATGCTTGCAGCACCTCTCACCTGCAGCTCGATGAGCTTGGCGCCGTACATCTGCCGGCCCTGCTCCTCCAGCAGCGAGTTGGGTACCGCCATCTCACACACCTGCCAGGAATGCCCAACATGAAGGGAGCATGGCGGGAACAGTGGCAGGTTATGCATGGCAATATACGGAGAGCGCATTGCTAACCTTCCCCACATCCCTCCCCCATGGCCCAGCCACACCTCTCCCCTGGATATGTATTGTCTCCATGCCGCAAACTTACCTCCCCCATGTGAGCCTTGACTTCCTCATGCAAGCCCACCGTCCCAAAGCACTCCCAAGGCGTACCTCCCCCAGCCACACCTCCCGTGTTCATACCTCCCCCAGCGCGTTGACAATGGCGTTGAGGGTGGCCTGCTTGCGCTTCTGCTGCTGCTCCACCTGCCACGCCCCCGCCACCTTGCTGCGCACCTGCACGGCCCCGGGAAGGGGGGGGGAAGGGCGGATGGGGGGTGGCAGATAGCAGGTGGTGCATGGGAGCGCACAAGGCGATGGGGGTAATGAAGGGTGATTGAGTGGCATGACACTAGGGATGTAAGGAATGTGACGGATGCAAGGCATGGGAATGTGGTTGTGCCATGCATCGATAGCTCTGGTAAGTGAAACGGCATGGCGGCGTGGCAGCAGGGGGCAGCAGAGGGCAGCAGAGGGCAGCAGAGGGCAGCAGAGAGCAGCAGAGAGCAGCATAGGGCAGCAGAGGGCAGCAGGGGGCAGTAACGGGCGCATCATCTCCTTGATGTACCTCCTCGATGGTGGCCACTCCTGGGAGGAACTTCTCAGCAAGTTCGTCCGTCAGCTCAGGGAGCTCCCTCACAAACAGCTCCTGGCACTTCACCTGGCGGGGAGAGGAGGCGAGGAGTGGGGAGAGAGCAAGGGGGGGGAGTGGAAGGGGAGTTAGGAGCGATAGGTGAAGCGACATCGGGTGGGTGCAAAGCTGTGAATAAAGCATGCAGAGTGGTGTAGAAGGAGGCGCAGAGGGGTGCAGAGAGCAGCGGAGCGGAGCACAGCACACGCACGGTGAAGGTGGCGGGGAGGTTGCGGAGCGACTCGGTCTGCCAGGTGGGCGGGAAGGTGAGTTGGAACTCCCTGGTGTGGCCGCGCTGCATGCCGATGAGTGCGTCCACCATCCCTGGTAGCAGATACTCGCCCTCCTCCGTGTCCAGCTGGAAGCCTGGCGCACGGGGGATGGGGGAGAGAGAGGCGGAGGGGGAGGGACACGGTGAGGCCAAGGTGGGACGAATGTGCAGCATGGCGAAGGGCGTGCGGGTGGCGGGGTGTGGGTGGTGCTGGGTGAAGGACGGGGCCATGGGGACAGGCGCTGAGGGAACATGGGAGGGTGGGGGGTGGCGGGGCGGGGCGGGACGATGCAAGTAGAGGTGCAATGAAGCGAAAGCAGAAGGGCAGGGGGGAGGGGGGAGGGGGGTACCTTTCTGAGTGGCGGAGAGGATTGGGTCGCCCTTCTGTCCGTCTGCTGTGATGCGATGCGCCTCGATGTCCACTATGGTCACATCGCCCATCTGCATGCGTGCCAGCAGGCATACATGCACATATGGAATTACAAAGGCAGGCACAATGTGTTTAGCACGAGGGACATGCGTTTGCGTGTGCCCATGTGTGCATGTGCCCATGTGTGCCAGGCTTTTGTGTGTGCGGGCATGCATCTGCATGGGTGTGCATGTGTGCGCACGTGAGTGCGTGTGGGTGCATGGGTGGGCATGCAACAGCAGCAGCAGCACCTTGAGGCCAGAGTCCTGGGACATGTTAAGCCGCCCCATGCTCTTGAGCTGCGTGCATGCGTGTGCATGTGGGTGCATGGGTGGGCATGCAGCGCGGCACCTTGAGGCCAGAGTCCTGGGACATGTTAAGCCGCCCCATGCTCTTGAGCTGCGTGCATGCGTGTGCATGTGGGTGCATGGGTGGGCATGCAGCGCGGCACCTTGAGCCCAGAGTCCTGCGAGATGTTAAGCCGCCCCATGCTCTTGAGCTGCGTGCGGATCTGCCTGTCCGCTGCTGCCTTGGCCGCCTCGTCCCCGTCGTCCTCCACCTCCACCTCCACCTGCAGCGCTGCATACGGCCGCTCGCCCTTCCACTTCACTGACGGCGCCACGTCCACTGTCACCTCGTAGCTGATGGCGGGGCGAGGAGAGGGGCGGTGAGAGGGGTGCGGATGGCGGATGATGTGATGTGGCGCGGTGAGGAGACGGAATGCGAGGATGGGAGTGCACGAGTGAGAAAGATGCGGGGACAGAGAGATGGGGGAAGAGAGGCATCAAGCTAGGTAGTTTGCGGGGGAGGTAGGGAGCGGCGCTGACGAGAGGGGGCTGTCGGGTTGGAAGGCGGCAACGAGGTCGTCCACGTTGGATGTGATGTGCTCCGAGTCCTTTAGCGCCCTGCCCGCCACCTGATGCCCCGCACGCATGCATGCAGGGCAGCACATACACACACGCATACATGCACGCATGCAACACATATCCGCAGCACACATTGGGTCAGAAGTGGGGCATGCACACATGCATGGCATGGGGCGAGCACCAGGAGGTGCAAGAGGCACAGCCCCCGTGGGGCAGAAGCAAAGGGCATTGAATCTCGCAGGCATGGGGGCAACAGGTGGCTCAGGAGAGAGTGCGGCGGGCACGAGGAGTGCGGTGTGGGGATGGGCGTGAGGACGGTGGAGAGCGGCGAGTGCGTGATGCAGGGCACAAGGAGGCGACTGGGGGTGGGGCAAAGTGGGGAGAAGAGAGGGGGGTGCGCACGGAGGCGAGGGCGTCGGAGAGGGTGGACTGCAGGAGCAGGTCGAGCGCCTGCAGCTTGACTGGGCGCTCGCCGTACTCGCGCACCAACAGCCACTCCGGCACCCTGTCTCCCTTCCTGAACCCCTTTATCTGCCGCGCGTGAAGGGGAAGAGAAGAGAGGACGGAGGAGGAAAGGGCGAGTGAGCGTGTGCGGTTGGAGGTGGTGAGAGAGCGGCAGTGCGATGCGAATGCGTGGGCAGGGAGGAAGGTGCCGCATGGCATGGCATGGGGGTGCGGTGCAGCAGTGTCATGATAGCCTCGCAATGGCAGATAGCAACGACATGTGATGGACCAATGCCGGTCACTCCAATGCGTGCGCTGCGAGTCACCTCACCTGAGTGGTGCGCATCAGCTCTTTAACGGTCCTCTGCCACGTGTCAGCGCAGATCGCGGCGGGCACCGTCACCGTCAGTCGAACCTGCGCACAAGGCGCCGCACGACACGGCACGGGGTATAAGTAGGGGCGCGGTTGAGGGACAGGGTTCTGCGCGCGCGCGTTGCTCGTGCCGACCGCCACGGCGCGGGCACCTGTTCCCACTATTGCCCTCTCGCCTCGCTCGCCCCCCCTCGCTGTGGCTCGGCGCATCTGCCTTCCCGCGTCACTGCGTGTCGCCCGTCGCCTGTTGCCCACAATGCGCCAGTCAAGATCTAGTCTTTTCCAGGCAGCTACAAGCCCCGTGGCATTTCCCATGACGAGCGACGCAAGCGCTGTGGAAAATGTGAGCGATCGCGATTGTTCTCGCGAAGGCCTGGCGGCGAGACGACAATGCCGGCATGCGAGGATACCAGCGTCGCCGCGGCAGCTAGCGCCTGCTGCGACGAGGGCCCGCGACATGGCGTGACACGCATGAGCGCGGCTACTGACGGGCGAGGGGGAATCGATCCTCCGTGCACCAAGCAGCGCGGGTGCTGCCGCCACTCACCCGCGAGTTCTCGTCCTCCTCAGACTCCGTGACCTCCACGCGCGGCTTCTCCGCCTTCGTCTTCGCCTTCGCCTTTGACTTGCCGCCCCCCTCCGCTGACGCTGCCGCTACAGCATGCCTGGCACGTTCGCCAAGGGTCGCCGAGCGGCGTAGCTGCTTTCGCTGGCAGCATTCGTGCGACTGGCGCTTTAACGGAGCGCCCAGGAACGAGCAGGCAGGTCGAGCATTGGTGGAGGTAGCAGCGGAAGAATGGATCGCAAGGGATGCGGCGGGCGCAGAGGCGAGAACCTTGGAAGCCATGGTTGCTGATGAAAAGAGTGAAAATGCTGATCAGGGCGGGAGATATTTTGGAAACAGTTCGAGTTCTGTACTCGTTACAAAATTGCCTGACATCTCCAAATCACCAGACAGCTACACAAAATCAATTTATTCGGAGAAGCACGAACAAGGAAGAATATTTGTGAATGAACCAGAGAGCCCTCATGGTCACCTCCGGAGGGAGAGCCAATGAAGGCATGGGATGACGTGGCAGTACCATATCATAGTGGCAACAGGCTTCCTCTGGTCATCCCAGGCCAGCGTACAATTGCATTGCACAGTGCTGATTTCGGGCAGGTTTTGGTCAATGCGACCTGGTTGGTGATCACTGTTTCGTGTCCCCCGAACAAAGCGAGGATTTATATTTTCTGCAGAACTTCTGATGGGATGAATGATGTTCGAATTTCAAAGGAAACATATAAATGTTTTTGCGACTGCCGCGACCTCTTGCGTTGACGCCAGGCTGGCGCTCGATTTGTTCGAATTGACATCACGCCACGACCCGCTGAGCTGACCCCGAGAGGCGATTCGGTCTGGTGTCGCAGCCAACAACCAGGCGAACCTCCCCCCACGTCCCCCCCAACATTCGCTACCTGGCGCCCAACACTGAGGAATCATCCGCCTCTCCCTGCAATTCAGTTCCGCCTACTGTACAGCTGTTCGCTCTGCCCCCTCCCCCGCCTAACTCCCCCGTGCTCTCCTCCCCGCCTCTATTCGCTCGTGGCCAGCTCGCTAGATCGACCGCCAGCTTGCCGCAACAGGCTCACCAGAAAGCATGCACCCCCGCACCAACCCACCCACCAGGTTCGAGCCACCCATATGATGTGACATGAGACCTCGACATTGTGCGTTCTAGAATCTAGTAACTGTCGTCGCACAAGCTTGCTCGACTCTGACTAATTCACAGTGAGAGGGCGTAAATGCTCGCCTGAGTTCGGCGAAAGCATGCCCGCAGCGGCCGTCGCTGTGCTTGGGGGGAACGAGTGCATTGCAGATTATCCCGCTCACTGCGCTAGCCCCCCGCACCCGGCGCGTACCGCTCGCCATAAATCCGCTTCCCGCCCGACGGGTTGCGCAGGCATTGCCGGTGGCGTGGGTACTAGCGGGACGAGAGAGGGTGGGCCGGTTATGGAAGCACGAAGCGGTTGGGAATACGCAGGAGTAGGCAAGAGAGGTAGCCCGGGGTCACGAGGGATGCGGAGCGGTGAAGAGGTGAACATGAGACGGCGGGGCGCAGTGGACATGGATGTCTTGTGGGCGGATCCAGCGGTGGTCGGGGGGGCCGGGGATAGGGATGCGCGCGCTGATAACGGCGGGGAAGGCGGAGAGTACGACGACGATGACGAGGAGCAGGAGGCGCCGGCGCTGGAGCGACTGGAAGCCGTGTCGCGCCACTCGACCCCGTCGCGCTTTTCGTTGAACGCCTCGCCCGAGGTGCCTGGCGCGGGGAGGGAAAGGTCCGCTGAGGGCATTCCCCGACCTCGCACCGGAGGGCACGGCGCGCGCGGTATGCACGACGGCGCGCAGGCGCAGAGGGGCGACGGGGCGCCCAAGGTCCATCCGCGCACCCGCGCACTGCGCGCTTCGCACCACCGCCGCTGGGCGTCGTTCGACGGTTCTAATGCAATGCTTTGGGACGGGGAAGACATATCGCGTGCGCATTCCGCGGAGAATTCGGCACGGTTGCCATGGGGCGGCGCGGCAGAGCAACAGCTGCAGAGCTCGCTGCATCCCGACAGCCTGCTCCGCGATCCCTCCGCGTCCGCGGTCGGCTCAGCTTGCCCAAAGCCCTCCGTGCGCCGAACGCGCACGCGACAGCAGCGACAGCCGCGGGCGAACGCGAGCAGCCAGCTGCAGATGCGATCTCGATCGGACCGGCTGGGTGAGTCGGGTAACCAATCAGATGGCGAAGTTGAGGGCGGCGGCGCGTTAGCGGGTGAGGGGTCGTCGGACGACGACGAGCTATTCCGCCCCACGCCGCCGCGCATGCTGGGCGGCGTAGGAGCGCGGTCCGGCAGGTGGGCGAGCGCGAGCAGCGGGGAGCGCGGGTCCGTGCTGGCGGCGTGGCAGCAGCGCGAGCTAGCGCAGGTGGAGGAGAAACTCCGCCACGCAGGCGATGGCGGAGAGATGGCGGGGGGCGCGCTGGCGGGTGAGAGTCAGGGGCGGGGGGTGGATGGACTGGGGGACGAGAGGCGCAGGCTCGGCGGAGAGGTCTTGTGGGGGAGGGGGGAAGGGGAGGCCGAGGCGGAGACGGTGGGCGCAACGGAAGGGGACGGTAGTGAGTCAACGGTCAGGGGCGCGCAGGATGGTGCGCTGGCAAGTGAGATGATGACACGTGGACTCCTGGATGATGCTGACGTGGATGCGAGGGAGAATGGGTCGTGCAGACAGGGCGACGCGGGAAGGCGGAGAAGGGAGCAAGGGGAAGACGGGAGTGAAGGGGAAGCGGGGGAGGATGTCGGAAGGCGGGAGGGAGGCAGTGAGGGGCTGGTGGGGGGCGCAGCGGGGCAGGAGGAGGCGGAGGCGGAAACTCAAGAGGGGGAAGATGCGGAGGGGGAGGTGGGGGCGGGGGAGAGGGGGGAAGCTGACAGAGAAGATCTGGAGGGGGTGAGCAGAGTGGACGGGGCGGAGGGGGAGGGGGAAAGCGATGCGCGCATTGCAGAGGAGCACAAGGCGGAGGAGGGGGAGGAGCGCGAGCAGGGCGGGCATGGGGAGGGCGGTTGGCCCAAGTTCCTGCGGCGCAATGCAACCGCGCATCCGGGGGGGGCGAAGGGGGAGAGCGGGGGGGGCGGGGGGAGCCGGCTGGGGCAGCTGCTGCGCAACGGGACGTTCAAGCGCCCGCAGGGGGAGGGCGAGGAGCGCCACGGCAGCCGCCTGGGACGCGTAGCCACCGCCGTGCGCGCGGGACTCAAGTCCAGTGAGACGCGGGGGCAGGGGAAGGGGCGGGCGGATGTGAGGCTTTAGACATGGGGAGAGGCGGGAGAGGTAGGTTGGCAGAGGGCGTGGGGCGGAGGGGAAAAGGGCGAAGAGAATGTGAGTGCCTGGCGCCCCTTGGTCCACCTCATCTCTTGGTCCCCCTTCCTCGCCTTGTCTTCTTCTCACCACACCACACTCAACCCGGCCCCCGTGTGTGCTGTGTGGTTGTGTGCAGGCTCGTCCTTCAATGCACGCAAGCACGCTCAGCAACACCCGCAGGAGCAGCGGCAGCAGCAGCAGCAACAGGAGCAGCAACAGTGAGAGCATGCGCCCTTGCCATGCCCCCTCTCCGCCATGCCCCCTCTCCGCCATGCCCCCTCTCCGCCATGCCCCCTCTCCGCCATGCCCCCTCTCCGCCATGCCCCCTCTCCGCCATGCCCCCTCTCCGCCATGCCCCCTCTCCGCCATGCCCCCTCTCCGCCATGCCCCTTCCGCACCTTTATGCCGGAACCGCTCCCCCAGCCACTCGTTCCTGCCTCTCTCCCTCCGCCCTCACACCCGATTCCCCCCTCATTTCCGCCCAAGTATCCACCCCGGATATCTTCTCTCATACGCACCCCGTTCTCCCCTCTCCCCTCTTCCCCCCTTCTCTCTTTCCCCACCACCTCCCCCCATCCGCGCGCGCAGGGAGGGGAAGGGCTTTGAGGGGCTGGCAGCGCCCAAGCGCGTGCAGTTCCAAATCACCGAGCTGGAGGTGGGGGGGGGGGGGGAGAGAGATTGGAGGGGGAAAGACGGGGGGTTGGGGAGAGAAAAAGGGGATGGAAAGGTGCATGGGGGGAAGGATGTGCGGGGCAAGAAGCATGCTAGTAGTGATGGTGCCACGAGTTGTGCTGTTCGTGTTTCCATTCATGCTTCTTGCAGTCGTCACTGCTGCATGGGGTGTGGCTGCTGCCAGTCAGCATTGCCATGAGCAACCCCCCCCACATGCCCTGGCTCAACACCCTCTCACTGCGTCAAACCACCCGTGTCAAACCCACGTCCCCTCACTCTCCACCCTCACCCCAACACCTCCCATACGCCCTCCCGTCCCGCCCTCTCTAACCCCTCCTTGCCCTTCCCATACCCCTCCCTCCTCACCCCCACCCCCCCCCCGGGCTGCGGCCTGTCAAACTGCGCCTGCAGTTCGCCACGGACGGCTTCGCGAGGGAGAACGTGCTGGGCGAGGGCGGCTTCGGCACCGTGTACCGCGGGCTGCTACCCGTGGCGCCGCGCGTGGAGGTGGCGGTGAAGGTGTTGAAGCAGCTGGGCGTGCAGGCGGACGAGGAGTTCCACATCGAGCTCGAGCTGCTGTCGCGCCTGGACCACAAGAACCTCGTGCGCCTGCACGGCTTCTGCTCCACCGCCTCGCAGCGCATGCTCGTCTATGAGTACCTGCCTAATGGCAGCCTCACCGACCACCTCCATGGTATGCCCTGTGCTACATGCCCTGTGCTACATGCCCTGTGCTACATGCCCTGTGCTACATGCCCTGTGCTACATGCCCTGTGCTACATGCCCTGTGCTACATGCCCTGTGCTACATGCCCTGTGCTACATGCCCTGTGCTACATGCCCTGTGCTACATGCCCTGTGCTACATGCCCTGTGCTACATGCCCTGTGCTACATGCCCTGTGCTACATGCCCTGTGCTACATGCCCTGTGCTACATGCCCTGTGCTACATGCCCTGTGCTACATGCCCTGTGCTACATGCCCTGTGCTACATACATGCCCTGTGCTACACGCCCCACTCCCTAGGCCCTATGCTGCCCCACAGCCTTTGCTGTCGCCCCCCTTGTTCTTTCCCCTCCCCATTTCACTCCCACCGCCTCCCCCCGCCTCCCCCCACCCTGACCCACGTGCCGCATCTAAACCGTCTTGCTGGGCTGCGTGTGGTGTAGGAGTCAGCTGTAACAAAACCGTTTCCATGCGCTCCCCTTTCCCAGCCCCCCCGGGAACGGCGGAGCTGTCGTGGGAGCGGCGGGTGCGTATAGCAGCGGGGGCGGCGAGGGGGCTAGCTCACCTGCACCGGCAGCGACCGCAGATCCTGCACCGCGATGTGAAGGCACCCAACATCCTGCTCACCTCCAACTTCACTGCTAAGGTGCGTGCGTGTGGCTCACTGCAGCACAGCACCTCGTGTTGCTTCATGTAGCATCACATTTGATCACAACCACACTGTGCCCCATCGTGCCTTGACTGCCCTCACCCTCCCTCCTTGTGACTCGCCTCATGCAACCCCGTGCCTCCTCTCCCTGCCCTTGTACATCCTCTCTCTCTCTCTCGCTCTCTCTGAAGCCCAACCCACCCATTCCTCCCCCTGCCACCACCAGGTGGCGGACTTTGGGTGCGCCAAGCTGATACGGCGCACGGAGGTGGTGGAGGACGCGGTGACGGGGCGGCAGGTGGAGCGGCTGTGTGACAGTGTGGACTACGCCATGGGCACCCCGGGTCACATGGCGCCCGAGATGCTCATGACCGGCGAGATCAGCGCCGCCACCGATGTGTACAGGTACGGGCAGGGGGGGAAGGAGACTCCTGAGTCCACTCACAAGTGACAGCGCGTGAAATGAGGGAGTTTTTGAGACGTCTCAAGAACTCACTTTTTTCACAGTGCGAGCAGGGCTCTGCGGCTGCCAGGCTTGGCTTGTGGTGGGGGGATGGGTGATAGCTGGCAGCATGCATTCATCCAACTCACTCCCCTGTTGCTACCCTGCCGCTCACCACCTCCCCACATTGACCCTCTCTGCTGTTCGCTCTACCCCATGCTCCCTCTCGTCGTCATACCCAAAACCCACCTTCACTCCACTCACGCCTTCCTTCCGTCCTCGCCCTCCCATCCAATCCCATCCCTCCAATCCATTGCACCCCACTGCACCTTTCCCGCCGCCCGCCCAGTTTCGGCGTGGTGCTGCTGCAGCTGGTGACCGGGCGGCTGCCAATTGATGCCAACCGGCAGCAGCTGACGATGTGGGCGGCGCCACTGCTGGAGGAGGAGCGCTGGGAGGAGCTGCTGGACCCGCGCCTGCAGCGCGCCCTGCTGGGCCGCGCCAATGGGGGGGGCGCAGGGGGCGGAGGAGGGGGGCGAGGGGGGGAGGACGCGGCAGGGGCGGGGGCAGGGGCAGCGGGGGAGTTGAGGCGGCTGGTGGCGGGGCGGTCGGTGGGGCGGTGCCTGCAGCTGGCGGGCACGTGTCTTGACATGGACCCCCTGCAGCGCCCCTCCATGGAGGACGTCGCTCTCTCCCTCCTCGCCATCTACAGCTCAGGTGCCCGCCTCTCCCTCCATCCCTGCCACCCTCCCTCACCTCCACGGATTTTCAAGCGCTGCCTCTCCCGTACTGCTCACCTCTCCCTCTCATGCCCCCTTCCCCCCTCCCCCCCCTCCCCACCCTTCCTGCCCCAGCCTGCGCGGAGCGAGACGAGGCGCTGCAGCCGGCAAGCGAGGGCTTCAGAAGCGGACGAATGCTGCCGCCCGCCGGCCCGTCCGACCCCACGCGGGCGGGGTCGGGGGGGAGCGGCATGCAGGGGGCGGGTGGGGGGGGGAATGGGGCAGTGGTGGGGGGAAGTGCGCGGATGACTGCCAGTGGGGGGCTGTCAGGGTCGCCTGAGAGGCCAGCCGGCACTGCCAAGGCCAGATTCCAGAGGTGCTGCTCTGCTCGCCCACACCATGCCCCACGTGCTCTGCATTCCCTGTGCCCCCGTGTATTTCCCCTTGCTCTTGTGCATGCCCCATGTGCTGTTCCTGCCATGGCGCCTCACCCGTGTCTCTCCATCTCTCTCCCTCCCTCCCTCGCGCTACACCAGGAACCGGTCAGCCCGGCACACGAGCTTTGGATGACACTGCTCGCCCAGTGTGCATAGATGAGCAGCTTGGGCTGATGCTACTGGGGCGACGCCAAGCATACAGAGAGGCGTGGACAGAGGCGTACAAGTGTATCTATTAGCAGGGCGCGGTGGGGGTGCAGTGCCTGAGCAGGCAGAGCAGGGGGGTCCATGCGGCACCACAGCATGCCGTGTGGCTTGCCTGCCCGGCACCCTTGCGCTCGCACTGTGTGCTCATGCGCTGGCAGTGGAAGGGTGGTAGGGTGCAGTGCACGCTGTGCTGAATAATAGTCCACTTGTGTGCCGCCATGTAGGCAGCAGCAGCGAGGTGCGTTGCCGTGTGGTTCCTCTTCAATACTCCCTTGAGCCTCCCTGCTTCTCCATCCCAGGTCCGCACAGCATGCTCCCTCCCACCTGCACACATCATCCTTATCTGAGCCCAAAGCTTCTGGCCGCTGGCAGCAGTGGGAAGCAGCGGCATGTGTTCAGTCCAGTGGGTGTGCAGCAGGATGGGGATAGCTGGTACACCGAGCAGTTGGCGCACATGTGGTGCATGTGGTGCATGTGGTGCATCACATGCTCATACCAGCACTGTAGGCATGTACAACGTCTGGAGTGGATGATTAGGTGTACTACATCTGCAATAGAGTTATTATTTCATATTTGCCATTACAGTCATTATCCTGCAGGCATATCTGCCATCTAGTCATTATGGCAGAGCAGGGGTGCTACAGGCCATCTATGTAGCAGCTACTAAACTGCTGCCTTGATATTCCTATCCCCTGCCGCCACGGCAGCGCATTAGCCTTGCGCCGTTTGCTCAGCTACCAATTCACTTATGGTACGATACGGTATGGTAGGGTAGGGTAGGTATGTCGCAACACACTTGGGCCGCAATCCTCACCGCACCCACCGTGCTACTATTCCGGTAATCCCACCCCGTCATGCAATGCCGTGTTCGCGGCGCCATGTTTCATAGAAGAGGTCGACCCAGGTGTCGGGCAGGCCGGGCATGCAGGGGTGCAGGCAGTCCTGGGATTTGGGGCGCTGCGCGGCGATCATGGCGTCGGAGCGCGCGAGCGAGGGGTGCGTGATGTCTATGAGGCGGATGGTGCGGCTGCCCTGGAACACGTTCGCCTGCGTGGGGTACCACACGCGGCTCTGCGAGTTGTTGCGCTCGAAGAATGACACCTGCGCACGCGGGACCGGGGGGAAGGGGGAGTGGGGAAGCAAGAGGAGTGAGGGGGGACGCCGTGCGCTCCGTGTTCCGCGCGCGCCAGAGGCCTCTCTCTGCACATCACATCACATGCTTCTCTGCACATCACATCACATGCTTCTCTGCACATCACATCACATGCTTCTCTGCACATCACATCACATGCTTCTCTGCACATCACATCACATGCTTCTCTGCACATCACATCACATGCTTCTCTGCACATCACATCACATGCTTCTCTGCACATCACATCACATGCTTCTCTGCACATCACATCACATGCTTCTCTGCACATCACATCACATGCTTCTCTGCACATCACATCACATGCTTCTCTGCACATCACATCACATGCTTCTCTGCACATCACATCACATGCTTCTCTGCACATCACATCACATGCTTCTCTGCACATCACATCACATGCTTCTCTGCACATCACATCACATGCTTCTCTGCACATCACATCACATGCTTCTCTGCACATCACATCACATGCTTCTCTCCGTACCGCCGCACACAGCCTCACAGCAGGCCTTTGTCTCAGCTCAAGGCACTCGCAGGCGGTGAGCGGGTGGATAGGTAATTGGGCGCCCATGTGAGCGGGCGCACAGGTGATAGGGCTGGCAGCAGGCATGACGCGCCCATTGACCATCCCCCCCGCCTCCGTGCCCCCTCTACCTGCACTCACTGCCTCCCGCTCTTCTCTCCACACTGCGGTTTGCCCCAAGCCTCTTCCTCCCTCTTCCCCCAACGCACCATATCCGGAGGGCTGGCGGCCTTGGCGCCCTGGCAGCCGGCGAGGCGCGGCGGCGCGGAGAGGAAGTACATGGGTGGCAGCCGCCATCGCTTCACGCTCTTCGCGTCGAACGTGCGCGCCAGCCGCCGCAACGCCATCCTGCGGAGGAGGTGCGGGAACACGGGCGGGGTGTGGGAAGGGGAGCGGCGGACGACGCGGATGAGACGATGCGCAGGCCCATGGGGAAAGGGGTGATAGCAGTGGAGCTTGGGGCATGGGGCATGGGGCATGGGGCATTGCGAATGGCGAATGGGGCACGGTGCAGGGGGCAGGGGGCGGGGGAACGGACTCACTTGTAGGCCTGCACGGTGTTGGGTTCGGGCTTGATGAGCTGCCACTTGCGGTTCACGAAGAATCGCCGCAGCCACGTCTTGGCGTGCGGCCAGTGCGTCGCCGACTGGAACACCACCATCCCGAACCGCCCGACCTTGTCGAACCACGTGGGGTCGAACGTGTGCAGGTTGACGGCCGTGTCGCCCAGGCCGGGATTTGTGACTTTAATGCGGCGCAGCACGTCGTTTTGCGTGGAGTAGGCCATGAGGAAGGGGCTCCAGTAGTTGACGATGGTCACGTTGTATGCCGCCACGCGCCACACGAACTTGCTCAGCCCGTCGTCCGTCACCTTGCTCACCGCCGACACGCGGTGGATCTGCGCGCATTGAGAGGGGGGAGGGGAGAAGGGGACCGGTGGGGAAGGGCGGTGCGGGTGAGATGCTGGTGGCATTGGCGCCACGCGCTAGTGAAGACACTGTTGGGGTAAGAGCGAGAGGAAGGGAACGGGAGAGGGGCAGCGAGGGCGTACCTGGCAGAGCATGGAGGGAAGGAAGCCTTCGTACATGAGCGAGTCGCCCACCATCGCTATCACCCTGCGCGCCGCACCACGCAGAGGAGACAGGGAGAGGGGGCGGAGGAAGGGGAGAGGTGGTGAGGCAGCGTGGGCAGGCGAGGAAAGGCTGATTTTCACGAAAATTGGAATGCGGCAATGGGGCAGTGCGTGGACACAAACAGGCTGGTGGGATGGAGGGAGCAGCAACTCACTTGTTGCGCATGCGCATCAAGAACTTGGCTGGCGAAAATCGTATTGTGCGCCCCCCACAGCTGCGCGGTTTCCATGAGTAGTACTGCACGATACGAGCACATGGCAGCCATGACCGAATACGCGTGAGAAGACGCGTGGATAGGGAAATGTGAACCGGCAGTAAGTGAGACGCGAAAGGAGAGGGGCGACGAGAGCAGTGCATTGCGGTCGTACCATCCAGTTCGGGTTGAGTTTCCTCTTCGGGTCAAGGCAGTTAGTCGTGGGAGCGATGTCCTGCACAGCCCAGCATCACAAGTCAACGGCAGTCAACGCAGTCCAGCATGTCAGAACGGCGATGGTGAGCACGCAGCAGGCATCCTATTCGGAAACGGCTGATGTGATCTGACCCCGTGCGGATCACGGAGCGCTGCGGCAAATGCGGTCACGCGCATATGCAAACCCTGCGTCACGCGGTACATTTTGCAAAATGTAGTCGCGCGCATTAAGCGGCGGGCAATGCGGCGCACCTTGAGGAAGGGGCACGACGACATGTCGTAGGCGGGGCGGTTGGCGCGGTCCGACACCCATGAGCCGTCGTAGATGTCGCACGTCGACCCCGCCGCCTGCGTCGTCGCCACCTTGGCCTTCGCGCCGCTCGTCGTCTTCAGCGGGTTATCCGCCGCTGGCGGCGGTGGTGCCGCAGAGCTGCTTTCGGGGGACACGTCGCTATTCTGATTGCTGTTGCCGCTGCTGCTACTACTGCTGCTGTTTGCACTGCCGCTACTGCCTCTACTGGTGGTGCTGGCGGCGGTGGTGGAGGGCGAGTCGACGGAGAGCAGCGCGGGCATGTCGGCCAGCATGAGCTCCTGCTGGAACGTGTCGTCGCGATCCTTAAGCGCGCCGCTCACCGCCGTGTCGCCCGTGTGGCTGTGGCTCCGCGGGGCGGATATGAGTAGTAGCGCGCAGGCGAGTGCTATGCACGGCCATCTGAACGCGTGTGAGGATCTCATTGGCGCAACAATGGTTGATCACGACACGATGGAATTCTTACCAACCTTGCGCCCAATTCCACAGGCCGAGAGCTAGAAAAGTCTACTGGGTATTAAGCGAAGGTCTGGATAGCTGAAGGATGAAAGGACGGCTGATTGATGTGGAGGAGAGGAACAGATGCGAGGTGCATCGGCTAGCATGGATTGGGAGTTATGACTTGGTTTTATCGAGCATGTTCGAGATCTCCATTGCTGGGCTGGATGGCAGCACTTCAATTCGACATGCCACTGACGGGGAGCAAGTGAGCGAATTCACGACTGTTGTGAAAAACGTACACCATCGGATCGCACCGCATGTGCGGCTCGGGGTTGGACATTGGAGTGTGTGCGACCAGGCGTGCCTCGCACAGGCGAGGCGTCAGGTTTGAAAGCTGGGACCGCAAGCCATCAAAAGGCCAACGAGCCTTCGCCAATATATTGGCGGGCTCGCGCAAGTATATTTTGGTGTCGGTGCGAAGGTGGTTTGTCGTCGCAAATTGATCATCGCGAAAGCTTGCCCGAGCTGCGACGGCACAGAGCTTCGAAAGGAGCTTTGTGCGAGCGATGTCTCCCGCTGGCGGACAAACGCTGGAATGGAAAGGGTGCTGTGTCCACGCGTACAAAGTGTACAAAGATCGTGTACAGAGTATACGAATTTTACGGAAGGTTCATTTGTTTACTACACTTCAAATGTTCACTCTTGAGCACAAGACAGGTTCTTGTGTGCACCTGTACAGTGCATGCGTCCCGATGGATGTTGCGGAGAGTCCTCCCACTCGCATACTTCTGACCTTCACCGGCCAGGCCTTCCTTTGCGTCGCTAACGTGCAATCGCTCCTGCGACCGCCTCCCGCTTCTGCGCCTTTGCGCCGCTATTATTCCCCCGTCCCGCTCGCCACCTCTGCGCCGAACGTAACATGGCTTCTACCGCCCGGCCGCTCTGAATGGCCGCCCGGCATAGGCGGCATGAGCGGCGCAGGCGGCGCGGGCTATGAGGGCGTGCCGGCACCTCAAGTGCCCCCACCATACCACACGTCCGCGCCGCTTCCGCGCATCGTGGAACTCCGCGCACCCCTCCCTCACTTGCCTATGCCCGCTCATGCGCTCCCCCACTGGACCCCTCACATTTTCGCGGCCGGGAACGACCCCGCCTCCTTGCGAGCAATCAGAAACTGCCGCGTGGCAAACGATGACAGGCGGCCATGGGGCTATGAGTCTCGGGCGGCAGAAGCGGCCGCTGAGGCGGAAGGCGCAACGACGAGGGCGGACGATGGGGGCATGGCTGAAGGCAGGTGGGGAGAAAATACGAATTGGCGGGGAAAGAAGCGGCGGAGGGGGGAGAACGAGGGAAGCAGGTATGAGTGGGATTCGGTGCCAAGTGGTGGGCAGTGGGGGGCGGACAGGGAGGGAGGGGGAAGGGGAAACGGGAGAGGAAGCATGCATGGGGCTGGGGGCAGAGGGCGCGGCGGGAAGAAGCGCGCGGGGAAGGGTGCGAAGCGGTCCGGGGCGCAGAGAGGGGCGGGGCGGAAGACGCCCCAGCCACTGGCGTTCCAAGTCACATGCCCGGTGTGTCCTGACGTGGTGCTGACGTCACTGGGTGTGCTACAGTCGCACTTGGCGGGTCGCAAGCACCAGGCCGCCGATGCTGGGCGCGCGCAGGGGGGGGGCGCGAGGGGGGCCGGGGCGCAGGGCGGGCAGGAGCAAGGGGGCCACGCACATGACAAGCAGGGGCATGGGGGGGAGGGGCATGAGGGGAAGGGGCATGGTGGGGAGGGGCATGAGGGGGAGGGGCATGGTGGGGAGGGGCATGGGGGGGAGGGGCATGGGGGGAAGGGACATTGGGGGGAGGGGCATTGGGGGAAGGGGCTTGCGGAGAAGGGACATGCTGACAGGCATAGGGGTGAGGGGAGCAGTGGCGCACTGAATGGGGAAGATGGAGGGGGGGGTGTGGGTGGCACGGGGGGAGTGCAAGGGGAAACGGGGTTGGCGCATGGGGAACATGGTGGGTATGCGGTGCATGGGGGGCATGAGTCGCGATGGCCGTTGGAGGAAGAGTGGCAGGATGAGGAAAAACCGTACGTGCGGGAGTGGCGTGATGGGGGTGTGAAGGTGGAGCAGACAGTAGAGATCATCGACCTGGAGGAGGATGAGAAGAAAGAGGAGGAGGAGGTGGAGATATTGGAGTTGGATGAGAGCCAAGGGGACGAGGTGAAAGAGGAGGGGAGTGATGATGTCCCGCGGCAGGGCAAGAGAGCGAGGGCCATGGGATGGGCAAGTGTGGGGCCACCGTTTGTGGGGGGCTGGTGTGCGGTGTGTGGGGCGACGTGTTTGAATGAGAGCAACTACAAGTTCCACCTCAATGGCAAACGCCACCGTGCTGCCCTCGCTGCCTCTCACACAGCTGCTGCTGCTGCTACACGTGTGCCATGATGCTTGCAGTGCCTGCAGCTGCTGTGGCATTTAAGTAAGGTATTGCACGGGGCGACTACTGTATCCAGAGTGGAGGATTCTGCTGCTGCCAGTGCTGTCGGTGTTGCTGGGCTGGTTTGCTGCTTCTTTAGTTACCGTACGTTGTTTGTTGTTGTAGTTGATGATTAAGCGTTGCTTACGGCACTCTGGCCATGCCCCACTCAACTCGTCGCATGGGAAGCTGCACCCAAATGAGCCAAGCATGCATGGTGTGTGCTGAGCAGCCATGAACATGGTCGCTGAGGATCACTAGGAGGACTCACTCACCGCATCTGTACCTTGGGGTGAAGGGTAACTGAATGAAGCAGTGCCATCACCAACGAGCATCACAGCACGGGTCATGTTGAGAGCTGATGGCTTGATCAACACCCCTGCACCACCCAAGCTGACCCCATCAAACCCACCATCGTGCTCTAGGCTGACACTGACAACTGAGCTGACCCACCATAAGCCGCCTGTTGGGTTATGAGCAGGACAGGACACTCCCTTACACGTGCTGCATATGCTGTTGCGCTGGGATGGGTGGGTAGGGGGGAAGAGAGCAGTACGGTTACGGTACAAGGGCAACGGGGGATGAACCGGTTGAGAGGAGCAGGGTACTGTGTGGTCACTTGGCCAGGGGGTTGCATTGCAGCTGGTCCCACGCAGTGGTCCAGTGGGGTGAGCCAGGGGGTGGGCAAGGAGAATGTGCCTTGTACGGTAGCAATTACTGCTCTCCCTTTCCCCGTTTCCCCTCATCCACTACCGTCCTGGCACACCTCATCATTCTGCATGGCTGCATGCAATATAGGCAACCCATGTGGTCCCTTCTGTCTCGTGTATACACACACTCTTAACGGCATGTCTACTGTAACAAGAAGAGCCTTCAAAGGTGGTTCGCCTGCTGATTATTAGCAGAAGCAATAATGGAATGGCTAGCTCCTGTTTTCCCTGGCTACGAAAAAACTGAAACGAGCTACGGCAGAGCTGCAGCAGAGCTACAGTGGAGATACAGAAGCTACAAATCTATATACCCCAGGCAAGCGGCATGCAAGAGCTGCATGGTGCAGGCAGCAGCACGGCGACCAGCATGTCTCTTCATCCCCCCACCAGCAAGGCCTCCTTGCTTGCACCTCGCACCGCCCCGCCCACTCACTGCTCACTGCCCTCCCCCCACGCCCTCATCACTTGCGCCACCATCCTTTCCACCTCCGTCCTCTCCCCCTCCCCCATCGCCTCCACCACTTCCCCCAGTGCTGCGCGCACAGCAGGGGTCGGGGGAACGCAGGCGAGAGGGGGGATCCAAAGGCGGAGGAAGAGGAGGCGCGTGGGGGAGGAAGGTGGGAGGGAGGGGAGGAGGCGCAGGGCGGGGAGCAGCACTGGGGGGATGAAGGCGGCCAGGGGCGGCGGGAAGGGGCTGGCGGATGCGGGGGAGGCGAGATAAGGGGAGCAGGCGGGGGAGGGATGCGGGGACGGGAGGGCAGGGGAGTGCGAGGGCGAGGGCGAGGCGGGGATGGGGCGGGAGGCGGAGAGGAGGGCGGGGAGGTGTGCATCACATGCAAGCCAGGCGGCGACGTGGTCGTGCAGGCCCATGCCCGCCATGGCTCCCACCATGCGCCCCACCTGCTGCACCGCTTCCTCATACTCCGCCGCCGCCCTCCCCCGCTCCCCGCCTCCGCCCTCCCCCGCACCGCTCTCTGGCGGACTGCCCGCGCTAGGGGGTGTGGCGCGTCCCTCCGCGGCGTGGGCGTGCAGGAGGGCAGCGGCGGCGGCCTTGACGTGGCTGACGAGGCTGTGGAATCGCGCCACCACCAGCCGCCGCGTCATCTCCTCCCGCACTCCCTCCTCCTCTGCCTCCTCCCCCCTTGCTGCCTCCTCCGTCGCCCCCTCACCCCCTTCCCCTTCCTCCGTCACCTCTTCCCCCCTTACTGCCCCCTCCCCCGGCTCTTTCCCCACTAACCCCTCCGCAATCGCCTCTGGCTCTCGCTCCCCCTCCGCCGGGCTGCAGCCCTCATCTGCCGCCTCCTCTCGCGCGCGCCCTTCCTCCGCCTCCACGCCGTGCTGCTCCGCCTTGATCTCTGCAATGCACCCCTCCTTCCCCACCGCTGCACGCGGATCTCCCCCCTCGCCCTCCCCCTCATCTGCAGCCCTCCTCTCCCGCCTCCCCCCCGACGTGTGCCCGCCCGTACTTCCGCCCCTCGCGCCCCTCTCGCCCCCCGCCTTGCTGTTCCGCTTCCCAGGCTCCGCTGCCCCCCCTGCGCCCGCCTTCGCAGTCGCGCTGCCCCACAATTCCCGCCTCCCGCTCGCCTTCGCCCACGCGCCTCCGCCTCCTGCCTTCGCTGCACCGCCGCCACCGCTGCTGTTGCCCGCTCGGCTGCCAGCAGCGACAGGCGCCTTGGCAGCCCGCGCCGGCGCAGCAGCGACGGAGGCGGCAGCAGGCGCTGTGGAGACCCGGACAGGGCTGGCAGAGGAAGGCTGGGCGGCACACGCTGGCGAGGCGCCAGTGGCTGTGGACGCGTCAACCGCCGTGCTGCTGCTCCCTCCCGTCCCTGCCTCTACTTCCTTCTGCATCTCCGCTGCCTCTGCGTCCTCCTTTGCGTTTAATTCTCTTGTGGCCTCTACTCCTTCCGCCTCTGCTGCTTCCGCCTCTGCTGCTTCCGCCTCTGCTGCTTCCGCCTCTGCTGCTTCCGCCTCTGCTGCTTCCGCCTCTGCTGCTTCCGCCTCTGCTGCTTCCGTCTCGGCTGCTTCCGCCGCTGCTGCTTCCGCCTCTGCTGCTTCCGCCGATGCTGCTTCCGCCTCTGCTGTTTCCGCATCTGTTGCTTCCGCCCCAGCTCCTTCCGCCTCTGTTGCTTCCAACTCTGTTTCCTCCCCACCTGTGCCCGCATCTTTCCGTGCTTCCGCCTCAGTCCGCCCCGCCCGTTCCATCTCCCCCCCCTCGCTGCCGCCCCGCACATCCTGCTCGGTCCGCTCCGCTTCTTGCTTTTCCGCACAGCCCTCTTTTTCTGCCATCTCCCACTTACCAACGTCCGCAGCTCCCTCCGCAGACTTGTGTCCGCCAGGCGCAACGGTGTCCTCCGCCCCGCGCTCTTGACTACCCCCTGGTTCCCCAGCCCCCACACTCCGCTGCTCCTGTTCTACTCCCGCGCGCTCATTCCTCCCGACCTCTTCCGTCACTTCCATCACCTCCTCTCCTCTGCCCGTCTGCGCGGCTTCTGCGGGCAGCAGCGCATCGGGGGTCATTGGCGCGACGGGCGCGCCTGCCTCGCGCGCCAGCTGCAGCAAGTAGGGCGTGCGGGAGGGGGTTCTCCGCGGAGTCGCGCCGCCCGCCTGCTCGCCCGACTTCCCGCCGGCAGCAGCGGCGGCACTGGCGGCGAACAGCGCGGAGCCGCCAGACGAGCGGAGGTCGGTAGAGCGCGGAAGGGCGGGTAGGCGCGAAGGCAGGCAGGCGCGGTGCCCGGGGCAGGCGTGCGCGCAGAGGTGGTTGCGCGGCGGGGAGGCGGGGAGCGCGAGGGGGAAGGGGAAGGGGATGGTGGTGAGGCCGGGCGTGGCGTCGACGACAACGAGCGTGAGCAGACACGCGAAGAGCAGCAGCACGTACTGCGCCGCCAGGAACCACAGCGGCTCCACGCCTGCCAGAGAAAGGAATGCGTAGGGGCAACGGGGATAGGAGTCAAAGGGCGCACATGGAAGGTGCAGCAAATGCAGTGGATGGGGCGGGCGGGAAGACAAGCGGGGTGCGGGCGGTACCTGGGAAGAGCGGCTGGCGGACGGACTCGGTGAAGAAGCCGAGCGACGTGAACGCGACGGCGGAGATGGCGGCGTGCCCGACCACGTGCGCGTCGCACATCAGCACGAAGTCCGCCGTTGCCGTGCGCAGCACCCTGGCGCCGCCGTACCTGGCGGGGCAAGAGACCGTGGGGACGGGGAGAAGGGAATGTGGGGGGAAGGCAGCATGCGGCAAGGCTGATGAGAGCCACGTGGTGGGCGCACAGAGCATGGGCGGCACTGCTCCGCGGGACGACGCGGGGGGCGCAATTAAAAAAACCACGAGATTCAGCGTGCCTTGCGGTTGCGCGGGGGAGTCGTGCACGACAAGTGCATCGTGGAGCTGCCTCGGGCCAGCCCGAAGGCACTTGGGAAGCAAGCGCGCATGACTCACCGCGGCGAGTTGGGCGGGAGGCGCTTGAGGAAAGCGAGGAGCGTGGAGGCGAGGAGGCACCAGATGAGCGCCACGGTTATCGCCGTCTTGCGACTCGCCGCGTCCCCCGCGCACGACGCCAGCACCTGCGCGCATCCCAAACGGGCAGACGCACGAGGCGACAGCGAGAGATGGAGGGAGAGGGGTGGCGGCAAGAGAAATTGATGAGAAGGACGGGGCAGCGAAGGAGGAAGTAAGCGACGGGCAAGAAAACGAAGAAATGAAACAGCGAGAGGTGGGAAGAGAGAGAGGAGGGAGGGCGTGGAGCGGGACGCACGAAGGCGAAGTTGAGGACGAGCAGCGAGCCGAAGGGGAAGTACTTGGAGAGGCGCGCCGGGAAGAAACACTGCGTGCCGTCCGTCACACCCGCGGCCCTCGCTGCGCCCCGCCCCCGCTGTCGCTGCGCATGCGCCGGGCCTGCCATGCCGAGGAGGGGATGAGAGGAATGGCGAGGCGGGGATGGAGGGGGTTGAGTCAGCCCAAGCGAATAACCGCGGATTGTGAGACGAGTGGGCGCGGAGCACGAGTGGGCACCTACCTGCCCATACGAGGCCGCTCTTGCGATTCTCGCGCGGGCTCGTTCCGTCGTCCACTTGTATCCACGCCTCGCCCGCTGCCTCGCCCGACGGCTCTAAGTCCGCCCCCGACATGATCGCCCGCGCTCCCTGCTAGTCGCACTGTTATTCGCTCTGCTAATCGCACTTTCTGTTCGCCGCTAATGACGCTCCTGTTTCTACCAACTCGTCGCGTTCACGTTAGGAAATGCTCGCTTACACCTGGCTGCCTTGCTCGGCCGCCTTACGCAAATCACCCACCCAGCTACTGCAATCCAACCTGCTCCCTTCGCCCCACCTCTTCCTCCCCCCTCAGAGCCTTTTCTGGTCATCGTCAAGCAAGTTCGATTGGAGAAGACGCGGCTCGGATCCCGTGCATTGAGAATCGACGAACGTGAGTGATGTGAATTCGCCAAGGATGCCCGACTCGGACAAGGCAGGGACGTGCGAGATGAGTTTCGACCACATGTAGTGTAGTGACTCGTGATACACTGGGCTGGTTCTGTTGTAGTGTATAATAAATTATATATGTGACATTGGTGTAACCCTTTCACATGTCCTCGTTATTGTACTCATCGACCCCAAACAGAAACAGTGATTGCTCGTCATGAGCACTTTTGACTCGTCTGCGCGATTCGATACGTTTCGCTCAACCAGCTGCGACAAACCAAATCTTTGCCATCCCAGGGGAGATCAGGCAGGCGACTGCACATCGGCACTGTCGCTTGCGCCGTTTCCGACTTCACCACCGCGCGCTGCAGGGGGACTCTGCAACTCCCCCCCACACCAGAAGCACGGGGGAGCAAAAGCAGGTTGGTGTTGCCCTGCTCGCACACTCAAACACATTACCGCTTTTTTTCGTGAAAGTTGTTAGCGTCGCATGGAGTCGCACACTCGGCTACGAAGTACTGAAATTAGACATTGGAGCACACTTACAGATGCCATGCGAGCACCGTGTGCGATGAACGAGGCCCACTCACGCAACGATGCGTGCCGGTAGTTGTGCGCCCGTGCTATCGCCCCCCGTTCCTCTTATCCCACGTGTCGCCACGCCGCCATCGCCTCGCGCTCTGTCCGCGCCCACGCCTTCCTTTTCGCCCGTCCTGTTCCCGCCTTCGCGCCGCGCCTCCCGCTCGCCGCTATGGGCTGCGCTAGTTCCGCGCCCACCGCCAACGCGGCAGCGGGGGAGGTTGGGAATGGCGGCGAGGGCCAGGCGGAGGAGTGGACGCTGTGCGGATGCGGGGGGAATCGGCGCGCTAAGGAGGGGAAGGTGCGGACGCAGGCGGGCGGGGAGAAGAGGCGGATGACCAGGGAAAACGAGGCGCAGAAAGGGGAGGCACTGAGGGACGGGCGTGCGGTTAAGAACGAGCGGAACGCGGAAGTGATGCGCGGTGGGGACCGAGTCGAGGAGAGGGACGAGAGGAGAGAAGCGCACGACGGGAGAGTGGGAGGCAAGGTGCGCGCAGAGGACGGGCAGAATGGCGCGGAGCGTTGCGATGGCACGGGGATGAACGGCGGAGCAGGGGGCGGCAGGCTCAAGGTGCGCTGCACTGAGGGGGCTGCGGGCAGGGGGAGGGTGCAGGCAGGGCGCGCTCTGGCCTGGCAACGAGGGGGGCGCGGCGGGGTGGGGGGGGACTCGGGGAGGAATGCGCGCGGTAGATGGGCGGAGAAGGGGGGATTTAGGGATGCGCGGGATGACTGGGGGCGCACTGGATGATGGTGGGGTGTAAGGGGTGGGAGGCGGAATGGTGGATGTGAAGGAGGGAAGGGGGGTGGTGGGCGCACGTGGGCGTGCATGTGCACGAGTCCCTTGACATGCTTATGTGCGTGTGTGTGTGTGTGCGTGTGTGTGTGTGTGTGTGTGTGTGTGTGTGTGTGTGTGTGTGTGTCCCTGTGTGTCCCTGTGTGCTTTTATCCGTGATTGCAGCAAGCAGAGCAAGCAGAGCAAGCAGCAGCAGCAGGCACCCAGCCCGGCGAGGCAGCGACAGCAGCACAGGGCGACTTGCCACCCACACGGTGCGCCTTCACATGCCTTCGCCCTGCCTCTCCTCTGCCTGCTACCTTTCACATGCCGCACAATCGCCAGAACACGCCACTCCCCTTTATTCACAGCCCCCACCGCCCACCCCCCACGGCCCATCCCCCACCCACCGCCCACCATTGCAGGAGCGTGCTGCCCCCACGGCCCACCCAGCTCGCCCAATCCGCGGCCAGCACGCAATCCCCCACCAGGTGCCATACTCCCTTGCCACCACGTGCCATTCCACTTTGCCGCTCCGCATCCTGCCCGTGCCATCTCCTCAATGTCCCCCGCGTCATGCTCACTGTTGCTGAAGCCCGTGTGCGTGGCATGGCATGTGTGCGTGGCATGGCATGTGCGGGGCACACACAGCAGGGTGGGCGTGCTGGCGTTTGAGGTGGCGGCGGCGGTGGTGAGGGCGGGGGTGGTGCGGCAGTCAGTGGAGGGCGAGGACGTGGACGAGCTGCGCAGGGAGGTGCTGGCGTCTGATGGCATCGCCTTCCTGCTCTCCTCCGACTTCAACCACGTCTGGCAGATCGCCGCCCGCGATAAGTGGTCAGTCCGGCACATCCCTGCGTGCGCTGTCTGCTCGTTGCCTCCTTTCTCGCTGCGTGCAACAATCTCTCGTGCCTTCACTTGCAGCTCTATTGAATTGTTCCTTTATGTGCACCCCTACCCTTTCCCTCCCCCTCCACCACCCCCTACCCACCCACCCCTCTTCACCCCCATGGCTACTGCATGCAGGGAGGAGGTGGGGCGGCTGGCAGCGAGTGTGGCGCGTCTCGGCTCGCAGTGCACCGACACCGCTCTGCACTCCCTCGCCCTCCGCTTCTCCAGGTCCGCCTGCCACCCGGGCGGCACGCAACACTGTAGCAGGTGCACTGGGGGGCGGGTGGCAGGGAATGGGCAGAGGGCAGTGGTGGGGGGGGGTGGCAGGGCGGCCACAGTACAGCAGCGAGCGCATGATCACGGCTGTTACCCCCATTCACAGTCATCACCCCCGTGCTCCCTGTGCTGTGCCTACCCACCTTGCTCCCCAACTCGGGACCCAATGCCTGCAAGCCATAGATGCTTCTTACACCGCCTTCCACCCACCGTGCTCATCCCTCGCCCCGCGCCTTGTCCCCCTCTCCCATCTCAGCCTGGCTGCAGCAGTGAGGGAGCGGCAGGGGGGTGGGGGGGAGGAGCAGGGGGGGGTGGAGGAGGGGGAGGCGGTGGACGAGCTGCTGCTGCAGCTGGAGGAGGACGCCCAGATCACCATGGTGAGCCGCTGACGTCACTGGGGTGAGACGCTGACGTGGGCATTGTGAATGCGATGTGCTTTTGTGCATGTTGGTGCATGATGCCTTCACTGCCATGTGTTGACATGCCACCACCCATTCCTCCGGGTCACAGCCCACCTCATACCCGCTTGCTGACCTCCCATGCCCATGCCCCTCCTCTCCCCTGCGTTGCCGCCATGCATGAGTGCAGGAGCTGAGGCGCGAGGTGCTGCTGCTGGAGGCCATGCGCCGCGACATGGATGCCGCATGTGACACTGGTGCCCATGCTGGTGATCATGGGGGTCATGGTGGTGATGGTGGTGATGGTGATGATGGGGGTGATGGGGGTGATGTGGGTGATGGGGGTGATGGGGGTGATGGTGGGGGTGATGGGGGTGATGGGGGTGATGGGGGTGATGGGGTTGATGGGGGTGATGGGGATGCTGGTGCAGATTCTAGTGCATGTGGTGAGACTGTGCACTTGAAGAGACCTGCATGTGGGGAGGCATGCCAGTAAAGCGGCATGCATGTGTTGTGTTGCGGCACTCACATCACATGTGGTGCGGTGTGGTGTGGTGGTGTGTGCAGGGGAGAGGGCGGCGGAGTTGAGAGCACAGAAGGAGCGGGTGCGCGCCATGCAGGAGAGTTCCTTCTGGGACCGCCCCCTCCATGAGGTGATGCTCTGCCATGCACGGCGTGGCATGGGATGGGGTGGTACAGTCATGTGTTATGATGTGGGGATCGGCGCATGAGTAATATGAAAGGGATGATGCTCCTATTCGCATTACTGCACCACCAGAACCGTCTGACTGATCCTCTCAACCCAACCCGCCACCTTGCCCCCATGCAGTTGGTGCGGCAGCTGGCGCGTGTTGTGGACCACCTCATCCGCCTCGTCTCCTCCACCTTCGGGCCACTGCGTGAGTGCATTGTGCATTGCTCTCCTCCCTACCTCACTGCGTCCAACCCCACACCCTTCCTTTGTCCATTCTCACACCCTTCCATCCATCCCATCCCCCCACTCTCCCCCGCAACTCTCCCCCCACACTCTCCTTCACGTCTCGCCCCTCTCATCCCCCGCATGCCCCCAACGCCCCGCCAGCACCGGACGTCCCTCTGCTGCCCGTGCGAGGGAAGGGCGCACAGGCGGAAGGGGGGAGGGAGGGGCAGGCGGAAGGGGGGAGGAAGCTGGGGGAGTCGGGCATGGCGCTGGCGTATGCGCGGCTCATCATCGCCATCGACCTGCTGGTGAGGCGCCCGCCGCCTGCTGGATGCCATGAGATGATATGACATGCCATGAGATGATATGCCATGCCATGAGCTGATATGACATGCCATGAGATGATATGACATGCCATGAGATGATATGACATGCCATGAGATGATATGACATGCCATGAGATGATATGACATGCCATGAGATGATATGACATGCCATGAGATGATATGACATGCCATGAGATGATATGACATGCCATGAGATGATATGACATGCCATGAGATGATACGCCATGCCATCCACCTGCTGCTCAGACGGCAGCAGCGCTAGGGATGTGAGCACGACTGGAGATAAGAGGAGTGACTGTGGCGGGTCGTTTGTCTGCTTCACCACTGCACTCGCACTGCCTTCCACGTGTCTTCTCCGATCCCTCTCCCATGGGTACCCACTCCTTTCCTCTGCACGTCTGCACCTCTCCCCTTGAACCCTCCCCGTTCTCTTCCCCCGCTCCTTCCCCTTTTTGGCGGGAGCAGGTGGGAATGCAGGGGGCGGAGAGTCGGAGGGACTACCTGTACTCGCTGCTGCCACACTCGCTGCGCTGCAAGCTCAAGGGGGCGCTGCTGCAGTCCCAGCACATCTGCATGGTGGGCATAGCCTGTGCCGTGGCATGTCATGCCATGCTGTGACCCATGCTATGCCATGCTATGCCATGCTATGCCATGCTATGCCATGCTATGCCATGCTATGCCATGGTATGCCATGCTATGCCATGCTATGCCATGCTATGCCATGCTATGCCATGCTATGCCATGCTATGCCATGCTATGCCATGCTATGCCATGCTATGCCATGCTATGCCATGCTATGCCATGCTATGCCATGCTATGCCATGCTATGCCATGCTATGCCATGCTATGCCATGCTATGCCATGCTATGCCATGCTATGCCATGCTATGCCATGCTATGCCATGCTATGCCATGCTATGCCATGCTATGCCATGCTATGCCATGCTATGCCATGCTATGCCATGCTATGCCATGCTATGCCATGCTATGCCATGCTATGCCATGCCTATGCCATGCTATGCCATGCTATGCCATGCTATGCCATGCTATGCCATGCTATGCCATGCTATGCCATGCTATGCCATGCTATGCCATGCTATGCCATGCTATGCCATGCTATGCCATGCTATGCCATGCTATGCCATGCTATGCCATGCTATGCCATGCTATGCCATGCTATGCCATGCTATGCCATGCTATGCCATGCTATGCCATGCTATGCCATGCTATGCCATGCTATGCCATGCTATGCCATGCTATGCCATGCTATGCCATGCTATGCCATGCTATGCCTGCCATGCCAGCCCTCCGCCTGGAACCTGAATGCAAGTCATGCTGTGCTGCAGCCTCCAGGTGGGCATCCTGTGGGTGTTGAGTCGTCTCTTTGTATTCATGCCATGACACATGATTGCATCTGGGCTGTGTTGTTGTGGCATCATGTGCTGGGCTGGCATGACATGGATGGTATGTGGGTGGCATGGATGGTATGCGGGTGTGGGGTGCACGGCATGGGTGGCATGGCACGGATGGCAGGAGAGCACGGAGAGCATAGAGGAGAAGCTGGAAGGCGTGTTGGACTGGCTGGTCACCATGGCAGACAACACCATCAGGTGAATTCAACATCATCAGGTGATTCCAACAACATTAGGTGAATAAACAGCACGAGGTGATTCTAACACCACCAGCTTTTTGCAACTCCATCCGGTGTTCTATCAACGTTATAGATTTATCTTTCCTTTAATCCCCATTCTCCTCTTCCCAACCTGCTCCTCGCTGCCCCTCTCCCCATCCCTCCCCCTCCAAGCAGGTACGCGAGTGACGTGCGGGTGCGGGGAGGCAGTGCGTTGAGTCGCCTGCAGACCCTACAGCACGTGGAGGAGGCGCGGATGGAGCGCCTCGTGCTGCTGCTGCTCATCGGCCTGCAGCACCTCGCCAGCCGCCAGCAGCTCCCCCCTCCTCCCGCCCCCGCACCTGCGGCTCACGCACCTGCACCTGCCCCCGGCGCCGCCCCACCACACGGGGTGGGCGAGGGGGGGAGCGGCAGCAGTGGGGGCGGGCCCAGTGGCAAGTACGCCATGACAGGCGCTGGGGCCGGCCCGTGGGGCGCTGGCAGGGGCGTAGGCAGGGCAGGTGGTGGCGCAGCTGAGAGGAGGGGCGGGGGTGCGGGGGAAGAGGGGAGGGAGACGAGAGAAGTGGAGGGGCAGGAGGGTGAAGGGGGGAGCAGTGGCAAGGGGGAGAGCAGGGACGCAGCAGGCAGTGGAGGAGCTGGCTGTGGTGGTGGTGGTGGTGGCAGGGAGAGGGGGTGGGCGAGTCACACGCGGGTGTGGCACCCCATCCCATGCACCGCCATCAGAGCCCCCTGCCCGCCGCCTGCCGCCCACGTGGCAGCTGACTTGGCCAGTGACGTGGCAGGTATGGAGGGGCACTCGCCAAGCGTGCCTGCAGCAGGGCCCGCCAGCGAGGAGCGAGCCGAGAGGTCTGTTGCAGCACATGCAGCGGTGGGCCCGTGGGGGCAAGAGGCAGAGCGGGGAGATGCCGGCACAGCCGAGGCAGGGAGCGGTACGACGGCAGCAGAGGCGGGTGCAGCAGAGGGTACATGCGAGGAGACCGGCGAGGGCAGGGCGCCGAGCAGCGAGGGGCGCGTGGGCAGCCCCGGTGGCATGCAGGACGTTCCTCCCATCGACCTGCACGCCGCTGCTCTGTCAGCCCACCCGCAGTGGTCGCCGGGGTCAGGCAGCGACCCCCCGTCCCCCGCTCCCCTGCCGTGGTCGGGGCCGCTGAGCGAGCGCAGCAGCGTGGGGCGTGCGTCCCAGGCCAGCAGCCCCGGTGGCGTGGCGTGGAGCGGCGGTGTGCGGCGCACGGGCAGTGCGGAGGGCAGCCGGGAGGGCGAGGGCGTGGAGGAGTGGAGCGAGATCCTGGGCCACTTGTCGTCCGCCGCCCGTGGTGCCGTGGGGGGGTTGACCGGGGAGGGTGATGGGGGGATTGCTGTGGAGAATGCAGTGATGGTGGGGAGCGAGGGTGTGGAGAATGTGAGTGTGGGGAGTGTGAGTAGCGGGCGGCGGGAATGGAGGGTGCCACAGAGTGTGCCTGAGGAGGAGGAGGAAGGCGAGGAAGGGGAGGCCAGGGGTAAGGAGGATCAAGGGGAAATAGAGGAGCAAGTGGGCAGTACAGTTCACAGCGGCACAGGGGAAGTAGCTCCACCATCAGCAGAGCCAGCAGTGTTGCCGCCATTGGTGGAATCGGACTCGTGTCCATCTGTCCCTCCTGTATCTCATCTGCCCACCGAGCCTTTCACCCCTGGGTCTCTCATGCCACCATCGCCCTCTGCTGCCATGCCACCGCGCTCCGCCCTGCTAGCCGGTGCAGCACCTGCAGCAGGCAGTGTGGACGACGCCATGCCCGCCACTGTGCTTGCCACCGCCGTTCCCAGCAGCGTGGCGGCAGAAGGGGGCCCGGTGGCGAGGGTGCGGGCGAGGGCCCCGCGGGCGGGGTGGAAGAGCAAGAGCCAGCCGCTGGAGCGACTGGCGGCGCGCATGAAGCAGCGGCAGCAGCGGGCAGCGGGGCAGCTGCAGGAGAGCACAGGCGTGGCGGGCAGAGGGGGCAGCCCCCAGCTTCAGCTGCAGGGCGAAGGGGGAGGCAGGGGGCTGGCAGGGCGACAGTCGGTCTCGCGCACTCTGAGTCGCCTGCAGCAGCACCATGCCAACAGCCTTACCGCCTCCTCTGCTGGCGGCGCTGCCCTGGGCGCGGACTCCCCTCTCCACGCGCGTATGCTGCGCCGCGCTCTCACTCCCAACCCCGGCGCTGCTGCTGGCGGCAGCCACAGCGGAGGGCTGGAGAGGCGTGTGGGGAGGGGGCTGGGGGGCGCGTGGGAGGGGGACATGGGGGTGGGGGTGGAGGGGGAGGAGGAGGAGGAGGCAGACATCGACCGCATCCTGGACGCGCGGCCTGACATGGACATCAGCGCCCTCAGCCCCATGCTCATGCGCTCCCCCTCCTTTGGCCGCCAGCAGTACTGGATGGTGTGAGGTGCAGTGCGGTGCTCAGTGGCATGGCTGTGTGCTGCATGCTGTTTTTGCCCACTCATTCATTAGTAGCTCCCATTGGTCTTGTCCAAGCTGGTTGCATATCTAGGAGCACGTTGCGCAGTGATGTCACTTCTTCCATGCTGCCACCCCAGTTGATTTGACATCAAGTGTACCATAATCTCACCAGAGTAGTACGAACCACTGTATTGAATGTACGTAGCTGCTGCTCATGTTTCTTTCTGGCTGCATGCAAGATTCAGTGCACGGCTTATACGGTACATAAATTGCCATGTTGGATGAAAGTATGCATAATTACAACAGTAGCGTAGGCAACTCTCGCAACTCACCATATAATCTCGCAATGACAGTACGGTATGTACCCCCCCTAACTTCCTAACTCCTCAGAGCTCTCAACATCTCTTGGGGGGGTATGGGTCACATTAACCTTCTACAGTAATCAAGAGATGACTCAAGATATGACTCGAAACTTCTGCCTGTGCTCAGCTCAGCGCCATGCCAACATGCTGCCATGGCTAATTGGGACCGGAAACAGTGCCGGCCTCCACAGCCTCGTGACATGGCAGGGCACAGGCGGAGCGAGAGGCTGGCACAAAAAGCAGTCATTGCACTGCTGCTTGCCCCCAGAGCCCTTGAACCCGTGCATTCCTCCAAGCACCGCATGACGGCACTGCAGCCAACTCGCTCTTGCTCTACCACAGACCCCACGCTCGCTTCTTCTTCTCCTTGCCTCCCTCCCCGTCCTCTTTCTTGTCCCCTCCACTCGTCTCCCCCGCTGCCCCGCCATCCGCATCCTCCTTGCCATGCTGCTCTCCCTGCGCCCCCCCATCCCCCTCCTTCTCCCACTCCTCCAGCAGCTTCCTCTGCCGCTCCGTCAGCTCCCTGCACGGTCATGGTGGGATGAATGGCCAGGGCACAGGCAGTGCGAGAGGATCAGTGGTGGGAGCGGGTGCAAGGCTGAATCAGAAAAGCAGACCCAAGAGCAAAGCAGAGAGTCAGAGGATGTGCATGCAATAAGGGAGGTGAGAGGAGGGGCAACCAGGGAAGTGCGAGGAGGGGCAACGATGGAGGTGAGAAGAGGGGCAGTGAAGTAGGGGGGGAGGGGCAATGAGGGAGGCGCGGAGGGGCGAGTGGGCAGCAGACGCACGTGGGCACGGCGACATTGACGTGCACAAACTGACTCCCCACTCGGCGACTCGTGGCCGATCGCACTCCTGGGCGTGGGCAGTGGGAGGGATGGAAGGGGGAGAGGGAGAGTGGGGAAGAGATGGGAGGAAGAGACGGGGAAGTGAGATGGAGGTAAGTAAAAGGGTACGAATGTGGGAGTGAAAATGCCATGGGTGCACAGCAAACAGGAAACCGTATGGTTGAAGGCAGCAGACTAACGGTGGAGCAGATGGGCAGACATGGGGTGAGCAAGGGCAATTCTGGGTGCATTGCAAGGTGGCGCACCTTTATCGCGCAGCTGGAGCACCTGGCCTGGCTGCGTGCCCGGCTTGATCTGCACGCACACAGCATCGGCAGCAAGGCACATGCATGGTGGTAAGGGGAAGGCATGTGCATTGCAGCATGAGCAAGGCATGTGCACGCCAAGTGGCTAACAAACTGCGAGTGTGGGACGCAAATGCTTCTAGGCAACGGCAACAGCGTGAAGTCAATGCATCGACCCAAGTGGCGTGTAACTGCATCAACATGGCATGGCATGGCATGGTATGGCATGGCATGGTATGGCATGGTATGGCATGGCATGGTATGGCATGGCATGGTATGGCATGGCATGGTATGGCATGGCATGGCATGGCATGAGCAGCAGCACCTTAAGGATGACCTCCCCGGAGAGTGTTGGCACCGGCACTGATGCTCCCAGACACGCCTGGCACGCACACGGGGCATGGCAGGGGCCATGGCAGGGGCGGTGGCATGGGCAATGGCAGGGGCGTAAGGGGGCCGTGAGTTGTGGCTTGGAGGCGCAAGCAGGAGAGGAGAGGGGGTACGATGTTCAGGCAGGGAAAACAAGGGCAGGATACGTAGGGCTGGGAGGATACATATGGGAACGAGAGATGGTTCACAGCGCACATGATAGGACAGGGAGCATGAGGAGCAGAGGGGGAGGTGGCACCTGGGGGAAGGAGACGTGCAGGTCGACGTGGATGTCGTTGCCGTCCCTCTTGAACACCGCGTCCTCCTCCACCTGTGCCATGGCGCATGGCGCACGGGGTATGGAGCACGGGGCACGGGGCAGGGACATGGGGCAAGGGGCATGCGGCACGGGGCAGGGGGACGGGGCATGGTGCAGGGGGGAGTGAGTGGCTGAGGGAGATGACAAACCAGCTGGCAGCACCTGCACAGGACGAACCTGAATTTTCAGCAGCAGGTCACCTGAATGTTCAGCAGCAGGTCACCTGAATGTTCAGCAGCAGGTCACCTGAATGTTCAGCAGCAGGTCACCTGAATGTTCAGCAGCAGGTCACCTGAATGTTCAGCAGCAGGTCCCCAGGTGGCGCCCCTTTCCCCCCTGCGCCTCCCTGCCCCGGCACCCTCAGAGTCACTCCCGAGTCCACCCCTGCTCGCCACTCCACACCCGCCCGTGTTGACAATGAGAGAGAAGGGAGGGAAACGGAAGAGAGGGGAGGTGGGATGAGGAGTGGAAAAGAAGGGTCCCTAGAGACGGAGGAATGGAATGGAGTTGCAAGAGGATGTGAACGGTGCAAGGGTGGGCGGCAGGGAGTGGGAAGAGCAAAGAGGATGGGCAGGTTGAGCCGGTTGCAGTGCTCCCAGGGAATCGCTTATCCTCCCTGCTGCTGCCATCCCATGTGCTCCACCAACCATCTATTCCCACCAACCATCTATTCCCACCAACCATCTATTCCCACCAACCATCTATCCCCACCAACCATCTATCCCCACCAACCATCTATCCCCACCAACCATCTACTCCCACACCAACCATCTATCCCCACCAACCATCTACTCCCACACCAACCATCTATTCCCATCCCACCAACCCACCTGCTGGAATGGAGACATCCACTTCCCGCCTCTCCTTCACTGTGCCCTCCCCATGACATGTCTTGCACCACTCCTGACGTGTGCATGCATGCATAACGCCATGATGGCATAATGCCATGATATCATGCGGAATGAGAGGGCACCGACGGGAGGGCAGATGACAAGAACCACGGGACAAGGGGTTTTAGAGAAATTATAGATTTTGGGGACGTGACCAAAGGGAGTGGTGCAACGAAGCAGCACGACGGCAGCAGCACACACCTTGACAAAGACGCCCTGGCCGCCACAGGAGGAGCACGTCTGCATCACCACTGACGCCCCCATCCGCCGCATCTCCTGCTCCCACCACGTTGAGGGGGGGATTGGGGAGGACACAGGAGAAGTGTGGGTGGGAGAGGGAAGGGCACAGGTGTGCGAGGATGGAGAGGAGATGCGAGGAGAAAGGGAGAGAGAGGAAAGGGGAGGGGGGAGGGGGTGGGATACTGACCATGCCTTGGCCCTTGCACGCCTTGCATGGAGTGGGCTGGTACCCCTTGGGCATGCCTGATCCGCCTGCATTCAGGGGAAGAGCCAAGTGGGCGAGCAACACAGAGGCAGGGGGGACAGTGCCGCATTGTAACGAGTCACAGGTGGATTCACGTGGACATCTAGAGGGTTTTCATGCTCACATCCACACAGACATCGAGCAGACTGATAGCAGAGAGTGCTGTGTTGCAGCAGCACAGGCGGAGCAGCAGAGAGCACTCACTGCAGGAGGAGCAGCAGAGAGCACTCACTGCAGGAGGAGCAGCAGAGAGCACTCACTGCAGGAGGAGCTGCACAGAGCACTCACTGCAGGAGGAGCAGCGCACGGGAGCCGAGAAGGAGAGGTGGCGCGAGCAGCCGTCCACAGCCTCCCTCAGCGTCAGCCTCACCGCCATCTGCACACTCTCGCCGCCCCTCGGCCCCGCCGCCCCCATGCCCATGCCCATACCCATGCCGCCCATGCCGCCCATGCGCCCAAAGATGCCGCCCAGCATCTGGGGGAGCCGGGGCAAGGGTGGGAGGGGAGCGGGGCAGGTGAACGGAGTAGGGGAGGAGGGGGGCATGGGGGGCAGCAAGTTTGGTGCAAGCATGGGGTGGGAGAAGCAGGTGCTGGTGAGGGGATGGACTGCCACTAGCAGCCCCTACTCGCCCCTTGTGACATGCAGCACGGAGCAGTGCAGTGGGGTGCGGTGCAGCGTAGTGCACAGACCTCCTCAAAGTCCGACGGCCCTCCGAAGCCAGAGAATCCGCCGAAGCCCTGAGCGCCCGCCCCTGCGCCTGGTCCCCCAGCTGCTCCCCCTTCAAACGCCTCCGGACCAACCTGGGGCGGCAGGGGGGGGAAGGAGGGGCGGATAAGCAGGGAGACAGGAGACAGGGTGGAAGAGGAGGAACAAGGAGAAAGCGGAAGGGGAGGGCCGAGGGCCACGAAGAGTGAGGCAAGCTGTAAGGGCGTGCACGCAAAAGAAATATGAGAACAGCACAAGGAGGTGAGTGGGGTAGAAAGGAGAACGGATGCGACCGATCACGCGCATGGATGCGTCATGCGGGCATGTGATGGTGAGTGGAACATGGCATACCTGATCGTACATGGCATACCTGATCGTACATGGCATACCTGATCGTACATGGCATACCTGATCGTACATGGCATACCTGATCGTACATGGCATACCTGATCGTACATGGCATACCTGATCGTACATGGCATACCTGATCGTACATGGCATACCTGATCGTACATGGCATACCTGATCGTACATGGCATACCTGATCGTACATGGCCCTCTTTTCATCATCCTTTAGCACCTGTGTGGCGACACACACAAACACTCACACAGGCACATGCACAAACACGCACACACACGCACGCACGCACACACATGCACACACTTGCTCACACACATATCACACACATATCACACACATGTCACACACACGGCACGCATAGATGAAAGTTCAGCATGCAGGGCGGCACGCGAACAAGCAAGCAAGTGGCACTTCACAATTCACACAGTACAATGGCAGAGACAGACGAGAGCAGCACGTAGGGCGGAGAAGGAAGCGCACATGCGATGAGAAGAGCCCATCCCAGCCCTTCCCTGCCACCTTCCTCCCACTGCCTGCTGCCACCACCCCCCCTCCCTACCTCGTACGCCTGCTGCACTTCTTGGAACTTCTTGGCTGCATTGGGGTCGTCCTTGTTGGCGTCCGGGTGGTACTTCTTCGCCAGCTGCCACCCCACCACGCCCCACCACACCACGCCCCACCACACACCACCACACACCACGGCGCACCACAGCGAAGGAGGAGCGGGGGGGAGCAGGCCATGCAGGGAGAGGCAGGGGGGAGCAGGAGGAGCGGGGGGCAAAGACGAGGGCATCATGTCAAAGACGCGCCCAGTATACCGTGAAAGGGACGCAACAAGTCGCAGCAAGCAGTGACACTTGCGAGCACATAGTGGTATTTGCATGGTGACATGATGGCACGAACCGCATAGAAGGCCTTCTTGATTTCGGCGGCCGTTGCCTTCCTTGACACCCCCAACACCGCATAGTAATCCCGCCCCCTTGCCCCCGCTGCTGCTGCCGCTGCTGCTGCGGCGCCTGGGAGTGAGAGGCAAGCGAGGGGCGGATGGAAAGGACAAGGTGGGAAGAATACGAATGAAACTGCTGCTGTGGCCCACTTACATTCACAATCACACCCACACTCACAATTATTCAGCCATACTCACACTCGCTCAAACGCACTCATAATCACACACACATACCAACCAGCTCACATCCACACACGTGCACTCACATACGCATGTGCACATATACATACCATACCACACACCCCATCACACGCCGCCACAAAACACCACCCCACCGCCTCCAACCACAGCCCACCCCACCGCACAGCACGCACATGCTATCACGGCTGACGCCAGCTAGCAGCGCACCTGACGCGTGGAAGGCACGGTGAAAGAGCGAGCTGCGCTGCCACGTGGCAGTGGCTGATTCGAGTGGATTGGAAGCGGCGAATGGAGCGGCGCGAGCTGAGAGGCAGTGAGGGGCGGCGTGAAACACGCGGTGGAGGTTGCAGTGCACGCTACGGGAATGGGCGGGACTCAGTGGAGTGAGGCGGGGGGAATCGCGGAGAAGGGATGGCGTGTGGAGGGGTTGGGGCGCGGCGCCACGCGTGCCGCCCGCCCTCTCTGCGCCCTCAGCTGCCGCGTGGCTGCATGCTGCCGCCCGTTCACCGCCACACACCGCCCCTGACCGCTCTGCTCTCCACAGCACCTCCGCTGCTGCGACGTGGCTGCTCGCGACTTGCGTGGACGAGACATGCGTGCGCGCGTCCCGTTGAATCTCCTGCCCGCCTGATGGTGCGCCCGTCGCGCATCCGTCGCCTGCACACGCGGAAAAGGGGAGTGACGAGCCGTCGAGGGCAGTGGGAAGAGAAGAGGAAAGTAATTGCGGAAGGCGAAGGGTGACCGACAAGCGAGGGACGCAGGGCGAAGCGTGTGGGAGCGATGGCAGGAGCGGGGAGGACAATAGAGTCAATGCACTGCCGCCTTGCTGCTGCGGCCATGCGGCCGAGCGCCGTGCGAGGCGGGCTCTCGTAGCGCAATGGCGATCGGCGCGTGAATGTGCGCTGCGACAACCCACCAGCGCTGTGACTGCCGCATATCGCCGCGCCGCCGCGCGTGGGCGGCGGGAGCCTGGCGAGGCCGCGAGAGCGCGCGTGGCGAAGCATGAGAGGACTTGCGCGGATCGAGAGATGATCCGCTTTGGCGTTAAGAGCGGAATTTGTGGACGAGAGGGTGGAGTGCTTGCGAGGCAGCGAGGACGGTCGCACGGACGCGGGTGCAGGCAAGATGGGGAAAGCACAGCCGTGAGAAGCTTGGAAAAGTAGCGACACGGACGACTTCTGGAAGGATCCTCCCGCTCGGTGCAGCAACTGAACGCCTTTCATAAAAACCATCGGCTCCCACCCATGTACAGTGTGTGGTGGTAAAGTGTTCACATCCATCCTCTGATGTGTTCATAATTGTCTACCCCGAAGCTTAGAACGTTTGTAGTGCATGTACTATGTATAGAACGAAATATGCTTGTATGCTGAATTCCTTGACAGACTTTTGGTCCTTCTGCATCGCAGTTGCATCTTGAAAATCGCACTTCCGCAAGATAGGTAGAAATAGTGTTGCGGTATTATCTAGAATGGGAGTTCGTGATTCGGCGATGCGACCCTAGCTCGTTCTTTTTCGCCCCGTCGTCTTCCGTCGACACACGGCGACCGGCGCGCGAATTATCGGCGCATCGTTACGCTGTGCGCGAGCGCAATGGACGAGCAGTCGCCTGAGAAGCGCTTCGCGCGGGCGATGCAAATCCTATCGCCGCCACTGGCGGCCCGATCTAGGTCTGGCAGGGATGATTCGCCTGGCACGGCTTGGCTTGGGTTATGTTCGAGTTGACTTGGCTCGGCTTGTCTGTCTGTCTGATTAGTACTCTCGCTTTTAAAGCCTCGCCTGTTCTTAGGTTTCCGTCCTTCCGTTGTCGCGTGTTTCTCGCCTGTCTCTCGCCGTCATTCATTCCTTCTTTCCCGGAGCACAGACACGCGGTATTTTTTCCTTCGTTCCTCTCGCATGTCTGCCAGCTCAGCAGCCCGTCACACACTGACACCTGGATCCAGCGTGGCACCGTTCCGCGGCGTGGCGGCCCAAGCGGCGTTCAGCTCCAGCAGCGCGCCGCCGCGCGCAGCCCAGCCGCTCTCGCTGCGGCCGTCTCTGGGCGAAGCGGGAGGGGCGGGCTCCCCCGCGATGCAAGCGCACGGCGACGCAGCAGCGGCAGCGCGGGCGGGAGCGGCTGCGTGCCGGCCGTGGGAGCGCAACGACCTGCTGCGGCGGCTGGCGACGTTCAAGTCCACCACGTGGTTCGCCAAGCCGCAGGTGCGCCGCCGCGCTGCTCCCATGCTGCCTTGCTGCTCGCACGTGTTGCTCGCATGCGCGGATGTGTGCGTGCACGCTTCATGCGAGTAAGCATCCATTTGCGCCTCGCGTCCCGCCTCTCCTCCTTCCCCATCCGCCCCTCTCTCCTCTCCCCTCTCCCACGGCAGGCGGCGGGGGCGGTGGCGTGCGCGCGGAGGGGGTGGGTGAACTGCGACGTGGACATGCTGGCGTGCGAGGTGTGCCACGCGCGCCTCAGCTTCTGTGTGCCGCCCACGTGGTCCAGAGCTCAAGGTCTGTCTGTGTGCCGCCCACGTGGTCCAGAGCTCAAGGTCAGCTTCAGCGTGCCGCCCGCTTTCTCTCGTGCTTCTGGTCTCATGCGTGGCCCTCCTCACCACCTCACTCCCCTTCATATACTCAACATCTACCCATCTCCCCCTCACCCCCCGCCCCCCCGAATCCGTGGGCGGCAGTGGAGCGGGCGGCAGCGGAGGTGGCGGGGCGGCTGGAGTCGGCGCACAGGCAGCACTGCGCGTGGCGGGGCAACGAGTGCGACGAGGCGCTGCTGCTCTTCCCCCCCCAGCCGCCCGCCGCGCTGGCCGCGGCCGTGTTTGAGCGCTGCCAGGCGCTGCAGCAGCTGGCGCGCCTGCCCGCGCTGGCGCCCGCAGCAGTGGAGCGCATGCGGCGCTGCAGCCCGCGCGCCCTGGACGCGCTGCTGGCGCTGCCCGCCCTGCCGGTGGGCGCACCGTGGGACGACCCCGTGGGGCGCACAGCCACGCGCGTCACGTCAGACGCCGCTGCTTACATCGAGGTGGGTGCCTTGCCTCTCCGCACTCCCCTTCACGTCAACAACCCTGCCTGTGCGCTCGTCTGTCCCCCACTCTCACACGCCTTGCCTCACCCCACGGCTCCACTCCACGGTCCCACGGGTGCACATTGCTCGTGTGTGGGCAGGTGCAGCGCATCATCGCGGTGTGCGGGTGGGAGCCGCGCGCCCTGGGCGTGCTGCCTGACGCGCACGACCCGCCCCACGCCAACCACCGCCACGCGCCTGCACACCCCACCGCCCCTCTGCCCTCGCTGCCCCCCCATGGGCGCGCGCACGTGCCTGCGCGCCCCACGCCTGGCATCCCTGCGAGCGCGGCGGTGCTGCAGTGCGCGCTGTGCGGCGCCAGCGTGGGCGTGTGGAACTACTCCACGCTGCCCCGCCCCCCCGCCCCCCTCGCCCTCCCCCCCGCCTCGCCCCAGCTCTCCGCCCGCCAGGGGCCGGCAGGGGAGGAGGGGGCGAGGGAGCGGGAGGTGCAGGCGGAGAGGGGCAGTGAGGGAGGGGGGGAGAAGGCAGAGGAGGAGCAGCGGGAGGGCGAGAGTGGGGCGCGGAAGAGTCTTCCGCCCGCTCCTGCAGCAGCTGCCATCATTATCGCGCCGGTGGGGGGAATGAGCATCACGAGCCCCCCGCACAGGGCGGGGCTGGGCGCAGGGGGCAAGGTAAGGGGGCGGTGGGGAGCGTCTCAGGGGCAGGGGGGCGCGGGGGTGGCGGAAAGGATGGGGGAGGGCTCGGAGGAAGGGGTGGGGGAAGCGAAGGAAGGGTATAGGGTAGAGGGGGAAGCGGAGGGAGGTGCAGGGGGAGAGGGCACGGAGAGGGGCATGGGGCCCGAGGTGGTCACTTCGCCCAGGCGGGTGCATGGTCGGCGCGAGGGGGAGGACGCGATGGACGAGCAAGGAATCGCTGCCCCGCTTGCCGCTGCGTCCGCTGCCCCTGCTCTGCCTGTTGCTGCTGCTGCTACCCCTGCTACTGCCACTGCTGCGTCTGCTGGTGGTGCCGGTGGTGGTGTGGGTAGGAGAGCGGCAGCAGGCAGCATGGGTGCGCCTGCCTCTGTGGTGAGGAGGCGGAAGCAGGGGTTGGAGGCGGGGGGGGTGACAGCAGGAGTTGAGGCGGAGGCTGTGCGCCCTGCTGCCCCCGTGGCAGCAGCGCTGTCAATTGTAGGCAGCGCCACGCCACTCGGAGCTGCGTCCGCTGCTGCACCAACAACCCATCCCGAGCACCGCCCACCATCGCCAGCAGCAGCAACAGCAGCAGCAGCAGCAGCGGGAGCAGGGTTGGGAGCGGGCGGGGTGGCACTGGACCTGGGTCTGACCATCGCTGGCGGCCTCCCTCCCACGCACCTCTCCTCCTCGCCCCCTCCGCGCCCCTTCGGCTCTGCCTCCGCCCTCCCCCTCTTTGGCGCCGGCCTGCCCATTCCTGGCTGCCACCTCAGCGGCCCTGCCGGCGCCAATCTGGGGGCGGGCGGCAAGGCAGGCGCAGGGGGTGGGGGAGGGGGAGGGTTAGTGGAAGGGGACGGGGGAGGGGGACCAGCAAGGAGAGTAGGGGTAGAGGGGGAGGGAGGTGGAGAGGGAGGGGGAGAGGGAGGGGGCGTGGGCGCAGAGGGGTTTGGGCAGTGTTTGGGCGAGGTGAGCTTTGGGCGGGGGGGTGTGGCGGTGCTGCCGATGAACAGTGCGGAGGGCGTGGTGGCGGAGATGGAGGAGGTGTCGTCCGAGGAGGCCGAGGTGGAGGGCTCTCTGCGCGCCCGCGCTGCCCGCGCCAGGGGGGACGCTCGCCGCGCCGCAGGCAGCAAGGGTGCGCCAGAGGGCGAGGCGGAGGGGCCAGCGGGCGGGCGCGCAGGCAGGGGGGCGTGGGGAAAGGAGGGGGGGGGTGAGAACGAGAGGATGGAGGGGGGCGATGAGAGTGGGAGGGGGGAGGGGTGTGGGGAGACTCAGCGGCTGGAGGGGGGCGATGAGACCGGTAACGAGGGGGAGGGCGCGGGGGCGGCAGTGGCAGCACAGCAGAGCCGGCACGAGGGGGCTAGAGCCGACGTGGGTGTGTGCGTGAGCACGGGTCCCACGCAGGGCAGCAGCATGCAGGGCGGTGGCGGTGGCGGGGAGGGCCGTGACAGGGGTCGTGTGGAGCAGCAGTTGTCGGCAGCGGCGTTTCTTGTGCCGTCCACACGTGCTCCGGCTGCCAGCACGGCAGGCAGGGGAGGTGTGGGTGGGGAAGAGGGCGTGCCTGGAGGTGTGGCGTCAGCGGCAGGCAGTGGCGCAGTGGGGTGCAGTGCGGTGGGGTACGGGGATGGCGCACAGCAGCAGCGGGGCAGGGCGGTTGAGGGGCAGGGTAGGCGGGGGCGGGCGGCAGAGGGCAGGGCGGGCGGCAGTGAGTTCCTGGAGCCGCCTCAGAAGCGCCGCCACGTGGACGCGTCCTCCTCCCACGCGCCCCGCCCCCCTGCCTCGCGCGCTGCCTTGGGCGTGGGGCCACGAGGAAAGGCCGCGGGCGCAGGGGGAGGAGGGGCTGGGAGAGGGGTGGTTGGAGGGAAGGGGGCGGGGGGCAAGGTCGGCGAAGCCCTGGGTGCTGCTACTGCGTCTCCTGCTGCTGCTGCTGGCTCCTCTGCTCCTCTTCCTCCTGCTGCTGCTGGCGCTGGTGCTGCTGCTGAGGTTGCTGCTGCTGTGGGGGCTGGCGCTGGTGCTGGTGGTGGTGGTGGTGGCGCAGCAGGGGCAGGGGCAGGGGCAGGGGCGTTGGGCGGGGTGGGGGGCGAGTGGGCGCGGGCGTCGTCGGTGTATGCGACGAACACGGACTTCAGTGAGCGCGACGACACCAGCGCTGACAGCGTTGACAACCTGCCGCCCCCCCTCGACCTGCACGCCCAGGGGGCAGCGCAGGGGGGGGTGGCGGGGGCGGGAGGGCAGGGGGGCGAGCAGATGGAGGTAGCAAGTGAGGTGGCGGGCGTTGTGGAGCGCGGGGCAGAGGTGGGTGGGGGAGAGGAAGGGAGCAGCAGGAGGGGACATGTGCAGTTGTCACCTGGGGCGCAGGCGGGTGTGGGGGATGAGGCAAAGGAGAGGGCAGAGGCAGAGGGCCGCATGGGGGAGGGACGAGGCTTTGGGGGGGAAGCTGTTGCCGAGGGCATGGGGATGCAGGGGGGGATGGGAGGAGCGGAGCAGGGGGGTGTTGCTGCTCACAGCACTGCCGCCAGCGCTGGTGCTGCCACTGCCGCCGCTGCTGCTGCTGTTGCTGGGTCGGCCATGGGTGTGGGCGCAGGGGCTGTGGGTGCGGGCGTGAGTGCAGCGAGTGCAGGGCGCATTGAGGCGCGTGGGGGGGGGACGGTGGGGGCGGAGGGCGAGGAGGGGCTGAGCAAGAGTGGGGAGGGGGGGGGGCGGGGGGGGAGGGCGAGGCGGCGACGAACGCGGCGGTGATCAGCACGGGCACGGCGGGGGACGACGCGGAGGGGCCGGGCGGGGGCAGTGTGGCGATGGGGGCGAGCGTGGAGGTGGAGGCGCAGGCGCTGGAGGGCGACGTCGTGGACGCCTCGCGCGCCCTCGCCTCCACCGACGCCCCCGCCTCCGCCGGCGCCCCTCCCCACGCTCCCAGCGCCGCGCTGGCTGCTGTGGCGCTCTCTGCCTGCCGCAGCGTGGTGGGCGGCGCCTGGGGGGGCGCTGCTGGCGGCGCTGCTGGCACAGGGGCGGGCAGTGCGCCCGGGGGCGCGGAGAGGCAGCATGGGGAGGGCTCAGGGGGGAGAGGGGCAGAGGGGGAGGGGGAGGGGCATGTGGAGAGGGGAGGCGCCAGGCAGGTGGAGAGTTTCAGCTTTGCAGGGGGAGGATGGGGTGGGCGATGGGGTGGAGGGGAGGACGGGGGCAGAAGGCGAGGGGAAGCTGGGGAAGAGATCAGGGGGAATGCGGTGGGAGGGCTGGGTGAGATGGAAGCTGGGATTGGTGGGGAGCACCTTGGGCAGACGGGGGAGGGCATGGGGGAGGGGATGGGGGAGGGGATGGGGGAGGGTGCAGGTATGACAGGAGTTGAGCAGGTGACGGTGGGGGGTGTGGAGGTAGCGGAGACAGGAGGGGGGACGGGGGCGACGGGGGGAAGGGAAGGACGGGGCAGTGGCGGGCTGGGGGAGGGGCGGAGGGGAAGCAGCGTGGGGAAGGCAGGTGAGGAGGCGGCAAGGGGTGAGGTTGGAGGGGGGGAGGGGACGGGGGAAGCGAAGGAAGGGCAGGGCGGGGGGCGTGAGTGGGGAGTGCAGAGGGAGGGTGCGGGGGAGACGGGGGGCCCAGAGGAGACCCGCGACACCACCCAGGGGCTGCTCATTGGGGAGGATGCAGACGCGGATGGCGATGCTGAGGTGGACGTCCGTGCTGACGTGGCGAATGCTGGAGCAACAGCAGGGGCAGCGGGCGTGCAGGAAGCAGCAGAAGGCACGGGGGAGGTGGGGCTGGCAGCAGGTGGGGCAGAGGGGGGCGGGGAGGGGGCGGTGGGGATGGATGTGGATGAGGGGCAGGGGGAGGGCGGGGGGTTGGCGGAGCAGCGTGGGCGAGTGGGGGAGCGGGCAGTTGGTGAGCTCGTGAGTGACGGCGGCGGCACAGGTGGCGTGAATGGGCATGGAGAGGTGCGTGTGGGAGCAGGCAGCAGGCAGCACAGGGGTGGGGAGGAGCGGGGCGAGCATGGAGGCAGTGGCGGTGCACCTGGGGGGGATGCAGATGAGGTGCCTGTGCAGGGAGGAAGGGGGGACGGCCATGGGGGAGTGCAGGGGACTGGCAAAAATGGGCAGGGTGTGGATGGTACTGCCACTACTGCTGCCCTTCATGCCCCGCCCGTTCCTGCTGCTCGTGCTGCAAGTGGTGCTGCCAACGGCGTGGGTCCACCTTGTGTGGGGGAGGCTGAGGTCAGCAGCGGCTCACCTCCCGCTGCTGCCAATGCTGCCACTCCTGTCACGCCGCGTGCTGCCAGTGCTGCTGCTCCCGCCCCTATCTCTGCCCTTCCTGCCACTGACGTTGGCCCGACCTCTGGTGCGTGTTGTTGTGCTCCCACCACTGCACTCTCTTCGCCCTTGAGGCCGCTCACCACTCTCTTCGCCCTTGAGGCCGCTCACCACTCTCTTCGCCCTTGAGGCCGCTCACCACTCTTCTCGTTCCAAAGTTTCTTTCACCTCACATCTTTGTTTTCTCCTCGCGCCTCTGCTTTCACCTCACTCTGCTTTCACATGTAGAATAGCCCTGCACCGCCATTATTCATCGCCCATCACCAAGCTTCACCATGTTCCACCACATGCACGGCCCATGCCACCACACTTTGCCACATGTCTCCGTGCAACCCTTTGCCCACATGCCCCTTGCCTCCGTGCAACCCTTTGCCTACGTGCAACCCTTTGCCTCCGTGCAACCCCTTGCCTCCGTGCAACCCCTTGCCTCCGTGCAACCCTTTGCCTCCGTGCAACCCCTTGCCTCCGTGCAACCCTTTGCCTCCGTGCAACCCCTTGCCTCCGTGCAACCCCTTGCCTCCGTGCAACCCCTTGCCTCCGTGCAACCCCTTGCCTCCGTGCAACCCCTTGCCTCCGTGCAACCCCTTGCCTCCGTGCAACCCTTTGCCTCCGTGCAACCCCTTGCCTCCGTGCAACCCCTTGCCTCCGTGCAACCCTTTGCCTCCGTGCAACTCCTTGCCTCCGTGCAACCCTTTGCCTCCGTGCAACCCCTTGCCTCCATGTTCTGATGCAGATGAGCCGCAGCGCCTCTTTGACCCGCTGCTGAGCCACCGCCGCTTCTGCCCGTGGGTGAACGCCCTCGCCGCCTCCCACCGCCTCAAAGCCCTCGCTGCCCCCGCCCAGGACCTCAGCCTGTCTGCCTCGCCCCATGCCCACCGTCTCCCTGCCGTGCCCCCCTCGCACGGCGCCGGCCCTGAGGCGGTGGAGGGGGGAGCGCCCGGATGGCAGCAGTGCCTGGCCGCGCTGCACCACGTGCTGCCCGCCGCCGCTGCCCCCGCTCACAGACCGCTGCACTCCGCTGCCCACAGGGCTGCTGAGGGGCCCGACAGGGCGGTTGAAGGGGCGGCGGACTGGCTGCCTGGAGGAATGGACGCACACGACTCGGTGGCATCCTTCAAGGTAGGTGGCATTGTTCAAGGTAGGTGGCATCGTTCAAGGTAGGTGGCATCGTTCAAGGTAGGTGGCATCGTTCAAGGTAGGTGGCATCGCTCAAGGTAGGTGGCATCGTTCAAGGTAGGTGGCATCGTTCAAGGTAGGTGGCATCGTTCAAGGTAGGTGGCATCGCTCAAGGTAGGTGGCATCGTTCAAGGTGGGTGGCATCGTTCAAGGTGGGTGAAAGATCCTTTGGGGGCATGGGGCTCAGGTGCTGCAAGTGCGCGCAGCATGGTGGCTTGTGTTGCTAGGGATGCTCGTCTGGATGCTGGACACTAGCCCTGGCCCGCCTTCTAGGACCGTTAGAAGGAGTCTAGTCTGGGCAGGCTAAGAAACGTTTTTGGGCAGGTAAAAAAACGTGCGAAGGTGGGAGGGGAGGGGGTTGGGAGGGGAGGGGGGGGGGGGGGGTTGGGCGCAGAGCAACCACAATGTAGGCGAGGGGTTGTGGGTGGTAGCCAGGTACTGCTGAGACTTCACTGGCCAAGAAGTCATTTGGCGTGCCAGAACTCTTGTGCTCTTCCCCTTTTCCTTGCCTCCCTGTCTTGCTCTCCACATGATTGGTAATGACGGATGCACTATGTGCCATGCACCATCACATACCATGCGCATTCATGCATCCTGCCTCACGTGTTGTACATGCACGCATGCATGGTGGCTCATGCGCGTGACAGGGTGACACGGTCTCATCTGTTCGAAGACTCTTCCAAGGCCGGCGTTCCTCGTCCTTTGTCTCTCGCACGCATCACTCCCCTCAGTAGTATTTCCATTCCACATTCAAGCGGCCTTTCAGTTGCACATGTGGCCAGGCCACTATGGCTGAACTTCCTGTTTAGCTCCGCTCTGCACAACCTTCATGCTTACCTGTCTTGTGACTTGATTCTTTTCATCCATCCGCAGTACCTTTTGGCAGGGATGGGTTGAAAAACATTGCGTGAAGAAGAAAGAGAAAAAAGGAATAAAAACTAGACACCTTCATTGCCCAGATACACTCATGACTCATCGCATATTGTTGAGAAACATGGCAGCTTATACCGTCACCCCCCGGATAAACGCCACCCTGGGATAAGCGCCAGGTGCTTGTAATTGGCTGGCATATGGCGCTTATATCTGCTCCTCAATTATAAGCGCACCCCCTGAAAAAACTTGATCTACGGTATTATAAGTGCATGTAAACTATAAAAATTGAAATTGGCTCAAAACACTGTAGCGATTCTTACTTTAGCAGGCGGATGTGTTGCAAATTCGGTTCGCTTCACATTCGAACCCTGCACTGGATGCGAGTCTAGTCAGCAAGAGCTGTCAAGGGCACCTTGTGTGAGTCAGATCGAGTGTATCTCCCAGCGAACGCGAGAATTTCACTGAAGACCCCATGTAACTTTGACTCGATTGAAAAGGCAAGCACGAGATCTACAGTTTGGTGTTAGAAAACATTACATATATATATGCCAGTTTATAATTGCTCGCGCTTATAAATTTGACTCAGGGCGTATCCATGTTCGGGTCATGAGCACTGTTCTGGCTACTGTTTGGGTTGCTGCGATCAGAAGTTGATCGTATCCAGGATCACCTCAGGAAGGTTCGCACACTTCTAATCTAGCGGTGGTGGGCCCTTGACCTCAATAGCAGAGTGAATGTAAATGCTTGAGATGATAAAAACATGCACTGCAAGGAATATAAATAAGAGTACAGGGGAATACGAAACGACCTAGCTAGCCATGTACTCTGAGGGGTACATTCCCTTATTGCAGCGAAATCCAACCGTGTGACTCCGGGTGGTTACGGAACTGTTCGGGCAGAATCCTCGCCACTGCTGCTGCCTGATGTTGTCTGCCCGACGGTCCAGATGCTCTTCGTAACCGTCTGTCCCTTCGCATTACTTCTGCCTTTTCGTATTCACTCTCGATACTGCGTGCTTCGGCTTTGCTACGGTGAGGAGTGACCAATAGTATTTTCACTAACCACTATTCGTAACACCCCCCTTCACTCCTGGCCGTAGCGAGCATTGACCTGCTTGACTAGGCCGCTGAGTTCGGAGCAGTGCTGGTACTGTTGACGCGGCAATTTCTTCGTGAGGAAGTCTGCTGCCATGTCACCCGTTGGGCAGTATGTCAGATCAACCTTGCCCTTGTCAACTTCATCCTTGACGAAGAAGTACCGCAGTGCGATGTGCTTGGTGCGGTTGATGAAGCCAGGTTTGTTCGCGATCCTGATCGCGCTCTGGTTGTCGCAGTGCAGGCGAAAGTTCGTTGAGGACGGAATTTTCGCTTCTTGCAACAGCTCCTGAAGGTAGAGACCTTCGCGAACAGCTGCTGTTGCTGCGATGAATTCAGCTTCCGCCGATGACAGGGCAACCAACTCCTGCTTCTGAGAGTTCCAGGAGATGGGGCCGCTGGGCTCGAGGCGGAAGAGGAATCCTGTCCTGGACCGTCGATTGTCAGGATCAGCGGCGTGATCAGCATCCACGTAGCCGACGAGACTGAAGGATGCGGTTGGGATGGTGGAGTAGCTGAGCCCGACATTGGGCGTGGAGATGAAGAATTGAAGGGCTCGCTGAAGATCTGAGAGATTCTCAGCCGTTGGTTTGCGTGAGTACTGAGCCAACTGGCTTGCGATGTAGGAGAGGTCGGGCCTGCAGGTGACTGATGCGAAGAGCAGGCACCCCAACTGCTGCTGGTAAGTGTGAAGCCCAGCAGGGGACAGGGCTTTGTCGTCAGGCTTGTGGTTGGGTCCTGGAGTGCGGTAAGGGGTGGAGAGTGGTGCAGGCGCAATGTTGAAGCGCTTGCTAAGCTCCTCCGCATACTTCGCTGCTGAGAGATGAATGGCTTCTGGCGCGTAAGTTATGTTGAGTCCGAGGAACTGCTTCACGTCGTGGTTGCAGATGATATCGACGCGCCCTGCGAGACTCTTCTCGAATTGCTCCAGCAGTTCGTTGCTTGAGCCTGTGTAAAGGAGGTCGTCGACGTAGACCGTGAGTAGGATGTATTCGCCGCGGAAATCGCGGCGATACATCCCAGGGTCGTGAGGCAGCTGCTTGAATCCGATTTCAAGCAGTATGTTGTGCAGGTACTGCTGCCAGAGCCTTGGTGCCTGTTTGATCCCGTAGAGGGACTTGCGCAGCTGACAAACGCGTGGATCCCCGTCGCCGTATGTGCGTGGCTGCTCCACGTAGATCACGGCGTCCACTAACGCGTACAGGAAGGCATTCTTCACATCGATCTGCCGAAGTGGTAGGTGGCGTGCGGCTGCGATGGCGAGCAGGATTCTGACGGAAGTGTGACGACTAACCGGCGCAAATGTCTGGTCGAAATCAATCCCGTGCCTCTGATCGTAGCCGCGCACCACCCAGCGCGCCTTGAATCGCTCAATCGTTCCGTCAGCTCCCGTCTTCACGCGGAAGACCCATTTGCCGGAGAGGATCCTTCTGCCCTTCACTGCTGCACGGTCGACGAGCACCCAAGTGTCGCGCGACTCAAGCGCCCGAATCTCCGCATCCATTGCTTCGCGCCACTCCTTGCTTGCTGTGTGGGCCTGTGAGAGCTTGTCGTGGGTTCTTAGGCTCGATGATGCGCGGAGTAGTGGAGACGGCATGCAGTCCCAGGAGTTGAAGGCCAGTGATGGTGCTGTCATGGCGATGTTGGGTGACGACTTCCTGCACGTCGTCATCGTCGCTTTCTAGTTCAGGCGGTGCTGGTGGTGCTGTGTCTTCGCTGCTTCCGCTTCCTCCTGCTGCGCCTCCTCCCGCTGTGCCTCCTGTTGTGCCCGCTCCTCCTTCTCCTGAATCATCGTCGTCGTCGTCGTCGTCGCGGTGATCGCCTCTTGTGAACTCCCCTCTGGGATCCTGCTCCAGAATCGCCGATGCAGCTTCATCCTCAGGTGAAGCGTAGCTGTGGCCCTCGTTGGCGTAGACGCGGTTTGCGTTCGTCTGCTCGTCCTCACGGAATTGCTGCAGAAACAGCCGCTCGTAGAAGATAACGTCGCGCACATTTTTGATTTTCTGGCTTAGGAGATCCAGGATGATCCATGCCTTGTGTTCGTGACTGATGCCGAGGTGGATTCCCCAGCGCGCGCGGCTCTTGAACTTCCCGATGGTTGACGTTGGCGGTCGGTATTGAACCATGCACCCCCAGACGCGGAGCATGGAGGTGTCCCCCTTTCTTCCCGTCCATTTCACATGCGGCGAGGAGTTGCCGGTGATTGCGGTGGTTGACAGCAGGTTGTGCACCCGCACAGCGTGGTGCATCGCGTAGGTCCAGTAGATCGGCGGGAGCTTCGCCTGCCTCATTAGCGCCCGCACCTTCGTCATGAGGGTGCGATTCGTGCGTTCTGCTACGCCCTGCTGCTGATGCGCGTAGGGGAGAGAGATGTGATGCTCGATCCCCTTTTGCGCGAGGAAATCCTGCAGCTCTTTGCTCCTGAACTCCGCTGCGCCATCGGACTGCCAGATCTTCAATTTCTCCCCAGATTGCCGCTGCGCGTGCGCCAGCCACAGGCGGAATGCTTCGTAGGCTCCACGTTTACGACCCATACGTGGCGCGTTCCGGCGTCGACGAAGGTGAGTGTGTAGAGCTCGTCGTTGATGCCGCAGTGACCTACGTTGAGGAAATCACTGTAAACCTTCTCCAGCTTGGCGTAGCGATTGGTTCCTGGGTCGAGTAGGGGGAAGGGCTGGTGACTCAGCGCGGCTTCGGGGCAGACGGTGCAGCTGCGCGGGTGAGTTCCTCCTCTCACTTCGGAGCCATCAGGGCGCAGCAGCGCGCCAGGTGCGAAGATGCCGGCTTCGATGCAGTTCTTCAGAGTTGTGCGCGAAGGGTGACCTAAGCGCTGATGCCAGATGGCGTCATCGCCGCGGAATCCGGAGGTGCGCATGTAGCGCGCAAGTGCAGCCGCATGTAGTGAATGGGGCGGGGTGATGGAAAGCGGGAGAATGGGGTGGGGTGATGGAAGGAGGGAGAATGGGGCGGGGTGAAGGAAAGCGGGAGAATGGGACGGGGTGATGGAAGGAGGGAGAATGGGGCGGGGTGATGGAAAGCGGGAGAATGGGGCGGGTCGATGGAAGGAGGAAGAATGGAGCGGGGTGATGGAAGGAGGGAGAATGGGGCGGGGTGATGGAAAGCGGGAGAATGGAGCGGGGTGATGGAAAGCGGGAGAATGGGGCGGGGTAATGGAAAGTGGGATAATGGGGCGGGGTGATGGAAAGCGGGAGAATGGGGTGGGGTGATGGAAGGAGGGAGAATGGGGTGGGTGATGGAAAGCGGGAGAATGGGGCGGGGTGATTTAAAGCGGGAGAATGGGGCGGGGTGATGGAAAGCGGGAGAATGTGGCGGGGTGATGGAAAGCGGGAGAATGGGGCGGGGTGATGGAAAGCGGGAGAATGGGGCGGGGTGATGGAGAGCGGGAGAATGTGGGTGTGGGTGGTGCGGGTGTGGGTGGTGCGGCACCCAGGGGCGCCCATCGGGGTGCTTCCAATCGCGGCGAAGGATGTGTTCGAAGCGTAGAGGGACGAGGTCGATTAACTCCTGCGAGTCGCCGCTGCAGTCGGGAATGTCGAAGTCGAGAACGTATACGCCGTTCTCGGCGTGCGCCCGTCCGATCTGCTTGCGCGTTTTGTTCGGCATCATGAAGTGAAGCAGGATGTCGCGCGTCTCGGGGTCGGTGCTGAGAATGACTCCGCAATCCAGGAGTTGCGCCGCCGAGAGTAGATTAAAGCGTAGGTTCTGCACAATCAACACGTCGTTAAGTGTGATGTGCGTTCGGCTCC